AGAAAACAACATTGTAATCCACAGGGTAGAAGAAGCCAAAATAGATGACAAAAGTCAGAGGAAACAAGAAGATACTGAAACAATTAAAAGAATTCTTAGATCATGCAAGGTTACAGAGGAGGTGAACATCTCAAAGGTTATCAGACTGGGAAAATTCAAGGAAACACAGAGAGAAACGAGTGAAAATACTGCTAGGGAGAAAAGTGGTGGGAGGCCCATATTGGTAACCTTCACCAAAAACGAAACAAAAGCCGAGCTGTTCAGAAACATCAGGCATTTACACACAGCAGAGGAATTCAAAAACATACAAATTTCAAATGACCAGACTAAAACTGAGAGAGACCAAGAGAGACAGCTGAGAGAAGAAGCTAGAAGGATGGAGTCACAGTCGTCGGGGGAAGTAAGGTTCAGGGTATGGGGTCCACCATGGGCAAGGAGAGTGGTGAAAGTACTTCCTTCAAAAGGAAGTGCAAAGTAGATATGGATGGAAACGAAACAAATGTATATAGTGTAAATATGTTAGAAAATAATGTTTTAAGCCCAAGTAATGTTGCAGATGATGTTAACAATTCATCCCGGAGGTTTTGAGGGACCAGCAAAGAATATGCACTACAATATAAATAAATCTGAATTGGAGCTGCCAAACTACCGAGTTATTTCCTAGTGACTTCCCGGGAAATAGAAGAAGAGGTCTTATTGTTTATGTTACAAAAAGATTGAGTGCAGAAGAAATGCAATTTGAAACAGAGTGTGTGGATAAAAATATTATTAAACAAGGAAGATACAATGTTATTTGTATGTGTTTACAAAAGCCCTTCATCCAGCGAGGATAATCTAGAGGCACTGAATATGTTGTTGAATAAAGTTTGTGACTGCAGCTTTACAAATACGGTTATAACTGGAGATTTCAACTTCCCAGATATTGATTGGAGTGCATGGAGTACAAAGGAAGCGAATAGTGCAAACTTTCTGGAATGTAGCAGGGATAACTTTTTATACCAAGTTGTGAATAAAAACACCAGGCATGGGCAAGAATCTTCATTGTTAGACCTGCTGTTGGTGAATGACATTGACAATATTGGTACAATTGAATATCTGGACCCTGTAGGATCCAGTGATCACTGTGTCATTAGGTTTGAATACAACTGCTTCTTCAATCAAGATCAAACCACTCAGGAAAGATTGGACTACTACAGGGGAGACTATGGCACCATGCTGGAGGAACTTAACATTGACTGGGATCAAGAATTTAATGATACTTTGCAAATGTGGGACATATTCCTAGATAAGTTATCATCGGCAATTGAGAAACACCTTCCAAGGAGCATGCCAAAAACTACTAAGGGTTCTTTTCCACTTTCACAGGATACAGTAAAGAGCATAAAAAGGAAACACAGACTGTGGGAGAGATATATGGAGGACCGCAGTAAAGAACAAGAGGCCCATGGACCTTAACAGCCATCTGACATAAAATACAAGATCTCAAATTTTGAACTTATTTCACCTGAATTTAAGAATCAAGGGCACTAAGCCACCACCTTGAAAGTGGGTTAAGGTTATTCATTCCAACAAACTTCGTAAACCTTCATCCCAGCATGCTACAGGCCAAATATCATCACCCTGGGTGTTCTGGTTATTCATAAGATGTTTCTTCCAGTTTTTATACAAAGTTGACCCCTGTGACCTTGAAAAGGGATCAAGGTCATTTGTTTCAACTAAGAAGATTTTCCGGAACAGAGACTTTGGTTAGAAGGCTGACAAATCTTCTGGATGTCAGATCATTGAGGCAAGGAATGTTTCTGGGGTTTAAATAAGCGCACCCATCTTCTTTTCCATACAAAAGTATGGGGTGCGGTTATAGCAGCATGTGTGGCAATTAGGTCGAATATGGCATGTTGTGTATAGGTTATATAAGCCTTGAACAGCTGTGTATACCTAAACGGTCTTAGGTGCCAAATTTAACCAACTTTGGTCAGGATCACGTCACGATTATTTCATGTAAATTTAAGCTCAATGTCACAAGTAGAACTTGAGAAGAAGTTGAAAATGTATTTTCAATGTATTTTAAAAAATGGCAGCCATTGCGGCCATGTTGGATTTTGGACTGACCTGAAATTAACAAACTTTGGTCAGTGCCATGTCATGATCATTTCATGCAAGTTTTGGCTTAATCGTACTGGTGGGACTTGAGAAGAAGACAAAAATGTGTTTTGCCATGGATTTCAGGCCAACCCGAAATTAACAAACTTTGGTCAGGACCATGACACGATCATTTCAGGTAAGTTTCAGCTCAATGTCACAGGTAGAACTTGAGAAGAAATTAAAAATGTGTTTTCAATGTATTTTCAAAATGGCGACCATCTTGGATTTCGGACCGAAACGAAATTAACAACTTTGGTCATGACCATGTCACGATCATTTCAGGTAAGTTTCAGCTCAATGAGACATGTAGAACTTGAGAAGAAGTTGAAAATGTAAATTGTTTATGATGGATGCCAGGTGACGAACAACGGACAACGCCGAACAAAAGGTGATCGCAATAGGTCGTCAGACCCTTCGGGTCATATGACCTAAAAACACAGGGAATACTGTAAAGCGAGTAACAAGGTAAAGCAGTTGATAAGGAAGGAACGGAAAGACAAAGAAAGGCAAGTGGCGGAATCCGCCAAGGCAAATAGTAAAAACTTCTGGTAATATGTAAACTTCAAAAGAAAATAAAGGAGTGGAGTTTCAGAGCTTCATGAGAGGAAAGACACTGGGATTGTCATTGCCAGCAAGGATGAGGATAAGGCAGAAATTTATGGTACTTGCAAACTTTCTCAGTAGTGTCTTCACCTAAGAGGATTGTAATAATCTACCAGCACTGAGAAGTGAAGACATAATACAAGATATAGTAGTTGATATAACAATTAAGGAGGTTAATAATCTACTCAATAAGTTGAATGTTACTAAATCTCCTGGGACTGACAAGTTACATCCAAAGGTGTTGTATGAATTGCGTTCTGTGATAAACAAACCAATTTTGAGGATATATGAAATGTCGTTGAAGACAGGTGACATACCAGAGATATAGAAAGTTGCCACTATCACTGCTATTTTCTAGAAAGGAGACAAAGGTCAGCATCAAACTACAGACCAGTCAGTCTGACAAGTATTCTGTGTAAGATGATGGAAAAGTTAATTAGAACAAGAATGATGGAGCACATGGAAAAAAACAGTTTATTCAGTGATAGACAATTTGGATTTTTAGGAGGGAGGTCAACTGCATTACAACTATTATGTGTATTAGACAAATGGACTGAAGTTCTGGACAGAGGAGGAGTTATGCACACTGTATATATGGACTTCATGAAAGCCTCTGACAAAGTGCCACACCAAAGACTTATTAAGAAGCTCAGAAAGTATAGAATAAATAAGAATCTGTGTGCCTGGTTTGGAAATTTTCTTAAAAATAGGAAACAGTGTGTACAAGTCAATGGAGCACAATCTAAGTGGCATGAAGTAACCAGTGGAATACCCCAAGGATCAGTTCTTTGGCCTGTTTTATTTGTGATGTTTATAGATGACTTACCTGAATGTGTTACATCAGATGTGTTTTTATTTGCGAATGACACAAAAGAATACAGGGCGATTAAGGACGCTGATGACACTTCAATACTTCAGTATGATGTCACAGGGTAAATTGGAGTAAGTGTCTGTAACGTCCTGTTTAATCTGTATTCGTTACTGTCCGTGCATTTACGTGTATGTCCTTATTTGGTGTTACCTGTTAGGTATTGTCAGTGTCTGTCCTTATATGATGTTGTCTTGAGACGTGTACATGTCCAGGTGTGACAGGTGAGGAAGTCGTGCAAGAGTGAGCGTGTAGGGTAACAAAACTAGGGATACCCCTGGTTGCTGGGCAGAATCACAGACTAGCCACGTCGCTCTGGACGTCCTCGGGAGTCCAGGCGCCACATATAGCTACAGTTAAGTGACTGACACTCCCCGACGGTCGGTGTAGTGATGTGATTGAAATCCGAAATCAGGGGTATTAATAAAAAAAGTTCAACACGCAACGAATTCGAGTTGATGGTGTGACATGATCTTGACTAGCTGTACCAATGGAGTGAAAGATGGTTGTTAAAGTTTCATCCAGATAAGCGTTAGGTTTTATCCATCCACAACAAACCTAAGACTATTGAGGAAACTAAGTATAACATGAATATATACGATAGTGGTAGAGAAGTCCTGGATAATGTTGGAAGTGAGAGGGATATTGGGGTAACCATAGACAGGCATCTTACATTTGAGAAGCATATACAAATTCAAGTAAATAAGGCAAATCAGATTGTTGGGCTTATGAGACGTAGCTTTATATATTTAGACAACAGAACATTCTGCTTATTATTTAAATCTCTGGTTAGGCCTTATAAGTTATATGGAATATGTAAGCACTGTCTGGTCACCTTATAAGAAAAAGGATATGGAGGCAGTAGAAAATGTCCAAAGGCGAGCTACAAGGATGCTACCAAATAAGAAAGACATGAGCTATGAACAACATTTAAACGGCTGAAGTTACCAACCCTCAAATTCAGATGAATGTGCGGAGACATGATCGAAGACTTCAAAATTTTGAAAGGAATTTTTGATCCGAAAATTACTTCTGATTTGTTGAAATTAAACATGTCCAGCAGCACAAGAGGAAACTCGTTAAAATTAGTGAAAGAACATTGTACCAGAGACATTAGGAGATACGTGGAACAGTCTTCCTGATCAAGTAGTCTCAGCCAGGACAATAAACCTTTTTCAAGAGCAGAATTGACAAGCTCTGGGAAAACCACCCTCTACGGTTTGACTTCACAGCAAGCTATGGACCAGATACCGGAAGGACGGCAATTCATTACGTGGTGTTTACGAACAATTCTGAGCTGGCTATAGAGGACCAGTTGGTCCTGCAGGCGGAAACAACATAAGCTAACATAAGCTAAGCTACAGTATAAATGTAAAGCATACCATACCGTTCAATATTCTCCCATCTCCATTGTTGGGGATTTCCACGCGTCTGTCTGTAAAGTCCGAGGCTAAACCTAGATATCGTCTAATGAAAGAATGTTGTCGATAAGATCCAGTGTCTACCTTTAAACAGTTCTTCAACCTCAGTTATTCAGCTCACATGGCAACGGTGTCAACGATATAGCCACGATCACAGGAAATAACTTCATTGTGAAGTGAAACGAAAGGGCTGTACAACATACTCGGTGAAAAGCTATATGGACTAAGACTAAAATTTAAAAAAAAAAGTGTCCTATAATAGGACTAAGACCACAATTAAATACTTCCGGGTTCAGTACCCAGGAATGAAGTCCCTAAAAAATGTATGTATATTTGGGAAAAAAATAATATGCCTCTTTGAATTGGATGTTTGCCTATAAATTTGCTGTAGATGTGTTATGGAGATGATAATCTAGCTGTCAGTGTGTAAATCATTCATATTGAACATGTATTTTGTGCTGCAGGATCCGGTGTAAAAAGTCCTGTTTTCACCTTCACCCCTGACCCGGATGTATATAATTGACGTTGGTGACACATGTGGAGGTATATCTCCAGAAAATGCCCAACATGATGGGTTGAAACTTTTACATTTTGCTTCTCAGACGTTGATCTTGGTCAGGTGAAATGGAAATTTGCAGATGAAACTTTGGGACTTAGTTATGAATTTTAATGTTACAATGAAACATATAGTGAAATTAATTGTGGTCTTAGTCCATGTACAAATTACAAGCGTCTCAACGACGGTTAAGGAACGACAACTCTGATAGAAATTGTTACGTAGAATTCGTGCTGATGCTGGAACTGGATTTAGGGGAGAGTTGACCGAGTGTTTAATATGCAGATTTTTGGGGCGATAACGAGGCTGATTGATAGAATGGAAAGTAATTCTGAAAATAAATATCTGATGAGTAAAATATCACCCATTCTGTCAATGATAATATCCACTCTCCAATAAGATAGATTCAATATACGCACATGTGCATGGGTGGTACCTTTCAAAGACGATGTGATTCCGTCAGTACACAGTCCTCATTCTATTTACTCGACCTTCATTTGTAGGACTGATTTGAAATCAAGGTGGCCCACAGGCAGCCATCTTGGATGTCGACAGTAATACAGCACAAGCATATTGTCCATTATCCACCTGTAACTGACTGCTATCTGATAATACTTTGGGATCTTTTTTAAATGATATTTGCTAATAGGTGCTTAATAAAAATATCTTGTGCCATCATTGAGTACATTCAATGAAGACCAGTTCATGAACATTTACAACACCTGTAACAAACAAAAAAAAAATAAACAAATCTTTAAGAACTGAAAACAGATCCTCAAATGGTGGGCGCCATGATCCCTCTGGGATCTCCTGTTTATAATTATTTTGTTTTTCAAACATTTTTGCAATACATTATAAGAATTCAAATGACCTTTCATACACCATTCACATTCCATACATCTCTTCAGTGTCATAATTGATGTTACATGTGCATCTTCATTACCAACAGCATCTTCACCCATACACCACCTCATCATCCTCATCACATATATCCTGATACAATACATCAATCCACCGCATCATCATGTGATATATTTTTCATAACCACCATACAGTCATACACATTGATACATTGTCATCATTATCACCATACACAACATGAAACAAGTTCAGAACAATATCATCATCATTACAAGGCATATGGTTAATGTTATTTCTCCATCATCATCATCATCATACACATCATCATCATCATCACCATCATCATCATCATCATCATCATCATCATCATCATCATCATCATCATCATCATCTTACACATCATCATCATCATCATCATCATCATCATCATACACATCATCATCATCATTATCATCATATCATCATACACCTCATCATACACATCATCATCATCATACACCTCATCATACACATCATCATCATCATCATCATCATCATCATACACATCATCATCATCATCATACACATCATCATCATCATCATCATACACATCATCATCATCATCATCATCAAACAAATCATCATCAACATCACCATCATCATACACATCATCATCATACACATCATCATACACATCATCATCATCATCATCATACACATCATCATCATCATCATACACATCATCATCATACACATCATCATCATCATCATCATCATACACATCATCATACACATCATCATCATACACATCATCATCATCATCATCATACACATCATCACCATCATCATCATCATACACATCATCATCATCATACACATCATCATCATCATCAAACACATCATCATCATCATACACATCATCATCATACACATCATACACATCATCATACACATCATCATCATCATCATCATCAACATCTTCATCATCATACACATCATCATCATACACATCATCATCATCATCATCATCATCATACACATCATCAACATCATACACATCATCATACACATCATCATCATACACATCATCATCATACACATCATACACATCATCATACACATCATCATCATCATCATCATCAACATCTTCATCATCATACACATCATCATCATACACATCATCATACACATCATCATCATCATCATCATCATACACATCATCATCATCATCATACACATCATCATCATACACATCATCATCATACACATCATCATACACATCATCATCATACACATCATCATCATCATCATACACATCATCATCATCATACACATCATCATCATCAAACACATCATCATCATCATACACATCATCATCATACACATCATACACATCATCATACACATCATCATCATCATCAACATCTTCATCATCATACACATCATCATCATCATCATCATACACATCATCAACATCATCATCATCATACACATCATCATCATCATACACATCATCATACACATCATCATCATCATCATCATACACATCATCATCATACACATCATCATCATCATCATCATCATCATACACATCATCATCATACACATCATCATACACATCATCATCATCATACACATCATCATCATAGACATCATCATCATCATACACATCATCATACACATCATCATACACATCATCATCATCATACACATCATCATCATCATCATACACATCATCATCATCATCCACATCATCATACACATCATCATCATACACATCATCATCATACACATCATCATCATACACATCATCATCATCATCAACATCACCATCATACACATCATCATCATACACATCATCATCATCATCCACATCATCATACACATCATCATCATCATACACATCATCATCATACACATCATCATCATCATCATCATCATCATACACACCATCATACACATCATCATCATACACATCATCATACACATCATCATCATCATACACATCATCATCATACACATCATCATCATACACATCATCATCATCATCATCATACACACCATCATACACATCATCATCATACACATCATCACATCATCATCATCATACACATCATCATCATACACATCATCATCATCATACACATCATCATCATCATCATACACATCATCATCATACACATCATCATCATCTTCATACTCATCATCATCATCATCAAGACACTGTGATAAACAACTTAATAAGAGAGATAGGAAAAAAAAACAACTAGAAAACAGAAAGAGAGGGAGGAAGGGAGAGGGAGATTGAGAGAGAGTGAGATGAATGGACAGGAGATCAGACAGCCATTTTAGTAATTAGTATTCTGGCTTCAATTATTAACAATATGGTAAGTTTGCCATCCTTCTTCACAAAACAGACTGATGATCAAGCTGTTATCACTGCTGAATGCCTCTTTGCCAACTTCATCTGTGAACACAACCTGTCCTTCAACACCGCTGACCACTTCACAAAGCTATGTAAGCAGATGTTTCCAGACAGTAAAATTGCACAGAAGTTTCATTGTGGAAGGACCAAGACAACACAGATCATCAAGAGGTCACTTGCCCCGGTCTTGAAAGAAGAGGTTGTAGAGCACTGCCAGAGCCATCCATTTTCACTGAGCTGTGATGAAAGCAATGACCACAACGGTGAGAAGAGTTTAGCCATTCTTGTGCGATACTTCGACAAACTTGCCACAACAAAGTTTCTTGCCCTGCCGATATGTAACATTGGAACTGGACAGAACATCTTTCATCACCTCAATCAGGTCCTGACGGATTACGACATACCATGGAGAAACTGCATCAGCTTCATGTCAGACAACTGCAGTGTGATGACAGGACGTCATAACTCCGTCATCAGTCGCATTCGGGAGGTGCAACCAGATATATTTGACTTGGGGTGTGTGTGCCATTTGGCCAATTTGTGTACTGTGGCAGCTGTTAAAACCATACCATTGCCTGTTGAGGACCTTCTGATCGACATCTTCTACCACTTTCATCATAGTGCCAAGCGCACAGAAGAATATAAGGAATTCCTGGACTTCCTTAATATTGAGCCAGCCAAGATCCTCAAGCACTGTTCAACCAGATGGCTTAGTCTTCAGAGAGCAGTTGAGCGAACTCTCCATCATTGGCCAGCCCTGAAGTCGTACTTCTTATCTCACGAAGATGTGGAGAAGCCTGGACGTGTCAAGAGATGTGCTGACCTGTTGTCTAACTCTGAGATGTTGCTCTACTTCCATTTCCTGCAATTTATTCTCCCCTTCCTTGTGGAATTCAACACCATGTTCCAGGCAGATGACACTCGTCTTCCATACCTGGGAAAGGAGATGCAACAACTCTTGAGGAAGCTGCTTGGAAAGTTTGTCTTGGCGAAGACGATAAGGGAAGCAGAGGATGTGACAGCCGTACCTTACAGAGACACCACTGTTCATCTGAAAGATCCATACCTAGCTGTTGGACTTTGCACTCGGGCTTACCTAAGTGAGCATGATGAAGACACTCAAGGAGTCACAGCAAGGTTCTTCAGCAGTGTGAGGAGATTTTACATAGCAGCTGTGGACAAGATGGTGAAGAAATTCCCATTTCATGACCCAGTCATCAACAAACTTCAGTTTCTTGTGCCTTCCTCACGGGATCATGTAAATCCAGCAGATGTTGTGGAGATAGGGAAGAGATTTCCTTCTGTCATTCAGGATGGTCAACTTGGCACCCTTGAGGAGGAATATAGAGAATTTCAGTTATGCCCGGATGCTGACTTGCCAAAGTGGGAGGATGGGAAAACACCTGTAGACAGTTTCTGGGGAGGGATTGCCAGCTGTAAGACTGCAGTAACCAGGTCCATGCGATTCCCCATTTTATACAAACTGGCCACATCATTGTGTACCCTGCCGAACAGCAACGCTGACTGTGAACGAGTGTTTTCAGTGCTACGGAAGGTACAAACGGACCAAAGATCACTTTTAGACCGGTCAACTTTGTCAGCTTTACTGACCTGCAAGCTGAACAGGGATGAGGACTGCTACAATTATAAGCCATCGACAACGACTTTAGCGACCGCGAAGTCTGCATGTGTTAGCTACAATAAGGAACTGTCATGTTCCCCCTCTATCTTCAGAGATTAGACCGAGTTTCTATGCGATAAAATTAAATTATTTAAATTAGTGACATGTTTCTAATGGTTTGGATGCAAGATTATATTGTGAGGTTGTTGTGATTGGTTTTTTTCTTTATGGAATTGTGTTCAGAGTCAGAGTGAGACCTCTATTTTGATATAATTTATTTCTACAAAAAAGCATCCATTATCAATGCAAGATTTGATTATTAAAAACATAAAAACCAATTGCACTTGTCTGGTTATTTAAAATTTTCCATCAGAAAGAAACAACATTTGATGCAAATAAATCACATTAATTTCTCAATTCTGTTGTAGAAGAATTGATCAAATTTGTTAAATGAAACAAATAGCTAAAACATCAAATGTTGTTATTTCTGTAGGTCTATACTAGAGTGATCTCAAATGCTTTGATTGGAACGTTTACTGTATTTACCCTGCAATAAGCCCAGGAAGCCAGTGTTTAGTGATATTGAACAATATGTGGGGGTGAGCTTGTTGCAGAATGCAGGGATAGTTTATGTAGGGCAGAGAATTTTTAAATCTCTGAAAAAGACATGGATGGGCTTATTATATGGCATGGGCTTATTGCAGGATAAAACAGAACTGGATTATGCAAATTCATGTTGATGTGGTTATTCCTGATAACGCGAAACTGAGCGACCGAGTTGAAAATGTCGTTCACGTACTTTTCTCCCCCATGAGAATTTCAAAAAGTTGGCAAGTATGATGATAACAGAAATTGTCACACTTGGTTAAAATAGTAAAAGTGAAGAAGATGAACTATCTGATAAGTTTTCCCATTTACTCCATTCATTTTTATGTTTCAGCTGTGCACCTTCACCTTTATTACTGGCAATGTGTCTTGGAAAAATGTAATGTTCTTTAATTGTATTAATTAAAGCATATGTACACAAAACTTTATGTAAACATCTTGTTTTGTAAATATAAAACTTAAAAAATAATCAATATTTCATTGTCTGGTCTGTTTATTGTTGAACATCTGTTATTTAAAAATACACCAAGTAGATAGCTTTGTTTATTATACTGAAATGGGATATACAGTGCATCATACAGTGTCTCCACACTTTGCAAAAATTTCTCTGCATTCCCATAAAATATGAATTATAGTCTCTCTTTCTAGGTTACATAAACTACATATTGGGTTATTTATCCTGACTAATTAATTTATCTAAAACTTTAGATTAGCTATACATCCTGAAGCTATTTTATAAACTATATTTAAAAGAGTAATGGGTCACCAGTTTTTTCAAAAATTACCCGGGCTTATCTCCCTTAGGAGTACATGTGATTACACCTTCTATTTGAGTTACAGACAACATCCCCTCCATATATCCAAAGTTTATAGATTGGACGATGAAAACCCCAAATTGCTTCCAGAAACATTTTAAAAATTTAGGAGTGAAACCATATGTGCCAGGACTTTTATTATTTTTCATGTTTTTCAAAGTTTTAGCTGCCTCATTTATAGAAATCATCCCTTCCTAACTTTTTGCGTCATTATTGTCTAATTTTGTAACATCATATATGTCTAAATAATCTGTTAAATCAATATCATCTATATTGTAGTTATTATCATATAATTTTTCATGATAAGAGTTAACCTCCTAAAGAATATCATCTTGATCACTTAATGTAACATTATCTTTTTCAATTCTAGGTATAATTTTAGATATGAAATTTCTATTTTCTAAATTAAAAAAAATATTATGTTGGCTTCTCACCTTCTTCTTGTCATCTTGCCCTCGATCAAATAATACTGCCTTTAATTCTATTTACCTTAATGTTTTCTAGTTCTTTTTTCTTACCCTCCAATTCTTCAATATCTATCTGTTCTTGGTCTTCTAAATTTTGAATAGTTTTCTTAAGATTATCCTTATTCCTATTTAGCTGTTTCTTTTTAAAGGATGAATATGAAATACTTTTACCCCTAATTTCCATGAGCACAGTTTCAAGGAAAATCTGATCGTTAATAGAAAATTCTATATCTGTGTCTGGAATATCACTAATATTTTCCCTTTTTTAGACTGGTAAACAAAACTGACCTTTTGTGTCCAAAATAACTTTTTTAACTAACTTGAGGTACTCTTTATCATATAACAACGAGGAGTTGAATTTTCAAAGCCCCTTTACGCGTTTGAATGTATTAAACTTTAAATTAAGCAAAGGAAAGAAATGATCGGATCTATAACCTGCTTCAATTGTTGCGTTAACTACACTTGGTAACAAATTATCGGAAATCAAATAAAAGTCTAACCTAGCCTGTTTTAACAGAGTTTTCTTTCTCCAAGTGTAGCGTCTTAAATCTGGGTGAAGATCTCTATAAATATCAATCGGTGAAAAATGTTCAATAGTTTCTAAAACTTTATCTCTTGCCTTTGGGTTATTTATACTTTTATAGCCACTATCATAGTCCAGATCTGTGTTCATAACTAGATTAAAATCCCCAACAGATAATATACTTGTCATTATCAAAACCTTCTAAATTATTTGCTATAGAGTCATAAAATGTAGGCATATCAATGTTTGGCCCGTAAAGTGTATTTAATGTCATTTCAGAACCAACCAGTACAATATGAGGAGCTGAAAAATTTCCCAACAAATCCTTTTGGTAACCTTAATTTCAAAATTACTATTCAACAGAATCACAATCCCCCCCCCCCCGGCATTAGATTTAAATGAACTAAAAAAGCAGTCAAAACCCCATTCACTTTTTATGATGTTTTGATATTCCTCCGTAAAATGAGTGTCTTGCAAACAATATATACTACAATTTTCAGCCTTTAAATAAGAGAAAACGTCTTTTCTTTTCATTTCATCCCCGAGCCCCTGGCAGTTTACCGATAAAATCAACACACTTTTCATCACTTTCTACTATAGTTAACTGTTCGAAAAATGATCTCCAGTCCAGACATAAAAGAAAGAGGAAAGATTAGAAGATAAGAAGAATAAAACATATCAAATTGGTCAAAATTAGTACCACTGTTGACTCACGCTACTTCACACAATTGCATATAGCTGCTCGGTGGAAGTAACATGTATAATGATTAAAGTTTATATAAAATACATAACATTGTTAAATCATCTGAAATATTGCTTAGGGCCACCATCTCTATACTGATAGGTTTGGTTGCTTAGGGCCATCATCTCTAAACTGATAGGTTTGGTTGCTTAGGGCCACCATCTCTATACTGATAGGTTTGGTTGCTTAGGGCCACCATCTCTATACTGATAGGTTTGGTTGCTTAGGGCCACCATCTCTATACTGATAGGTTTGGTTGCTTAGGGCCACCATCTCTATACTGATAGGTTTGGTTGCTTAGGGCCACCATCTCTATACTGATAGGTTTGGTTGCTTAGGGCCACCATCTCTATACTGATAGGTTTGGTTGCTTAGGGCCACCATCTCTATACTGAAAGGTTCGGTTCCTTAGGGCCACCATCTCTATACTGATTGGTTGATACTGTTTTTCAGTTTTCAAGGTATGAAGATTTGTCGCAACGTCATTGAACTTTCCGATGACTTGTAAGGAGCGCCCAGGATGTTGTTTGTTGAATTATAGTTATTTTGCAAGTAGTGACTTTCTAAGTCCTCTAGGATTGCCAAGATACATTTATATGGTACCTATTTACACTGAGTAAGGTGAACCAGAGTTTTTCTAACAGATCATAGGATATGTAATATAATTATGTATGTAATAGGAAGGAATAAAGAAACACTCTGCCATCGCTGGGGTTCAAACTAACGACCCTTCAGTCTCTAGCCGGACACTTTACCGAACGACTAAAGAGAAATTCTCACTAGCTGTGGCTAGTCGGTGAGTGTAACTTACTTCCCCCTCCTTCACAAAGTCTTCAGCAAGAAGACAACAACAGCAACAACCCAAGTTCAATATTTCTAAGGAAACATCTCAATCTCCTAGAGCTTCTTCCCTTGGAGTGGACAATGACGCCAAATCTGTAATAGGAAGGAGTAGTGAAAAAAACACCCTGCCTCCTTTGGTCTCTAGCCAGCTAACGTTACTGTTTGACTCAAGGAAAAGTCCCACTGAGGCTAGTAAGGAGACCTCTACCCTTAGCTTCTACATGTACACGTTTTGGGTGAACTATAACCTTATCAGTTCTTTGTCATATAGTTTGTCATTATGATCTCCCAGAGTTACTGCAGTTCGTTTTACTCTGTCAGTATATCGATCAGTTTGACGGCCAATGGGGGTCCAGAATGTGGGAGAACAGCATTGTTCGGTCTCAGCTTATCTGACAGTGAAGGATTGAGTCTAAAGGAATTTTGATAAAGGTTTCTTCATTATGCAAATCCATGTGGTATCTGATAAAACAGATATTTCACATCTAAAAAGTGCATGTGTAAGCAATTCTCAAGTTGAAACCCTCTGTATCTCTGATCTTTGAGTGAACTAATTCTTGTTTATGATTATCGGTGTATGTTGATCTCATTGATATCAGACCTAAGCATTGTCACTGACTCGATATTAATCAAAGGAATTTTGAATTTGTTTTATAACGCCACATGTCTAAAATTGGTGTTGGTGTTTGGTTTTCCCGCCTTTTCCAGTATCATTGATCACACAAACGCTTATTATTAATACAAGCTTACAAGTCACACGGATTATGCAGCACAGGTCAGAGAAGACAACACCTTGCCGTCTTCGGAGCTCTCCTACGACTACTTGGAGTTAAGTGTGCATACAAGGTGATTTAAAGAAACAGCAATCGAATAAAAATTGCACGATATCTTATGGTTTGCAATAGCGCAAATTTGGTTTACTAACACTTAAAATGACTCATTCTTTTTTTAGCAGAATCTATTTATAGAATGTTTCTTCGAATATATAAATTACGCTGTAAGTATTCATATTCCACTGTTTTGATCCTATTTTACTGATATGTTTCTTAAACATTTGACGGAAATAATTTCTCATGTGCTATTTTACTAGGTATCTAAAACTAAACCATTTTTGTTGTTGTATTTTCGCTATATATGTGATGTAAGCACTCAAAACAACTGCAATAAGCTCCAGGGTAAAAAATGGACGAAGTCATTAGGTGTGACGCTTTTCAGTTATGAACTAAAAATGAAACGTGAGGAGTTTTCTAAAGAGAGATCATATATAACATATTGGTAGCACAAAGCTTATGACCAGAATACATGTAAATGATGGGCAAAGGTTTTTCTGTGGGGTGATGTTCTTTGGAGCATTATTTCTACTTTCGTTTTATTACTTATATGGAATGTCATGAAGCCAATACAGTCAAAGTGTTAAAGTTTCCTAATTTCTGTTGACAAGAACAATAAATGCAGTTTTAACATCATAATTGTCCTTTATTTTTGTTGACAAGAATTATGCCGTGTAGACTTGTCTGACTAGTGCTCCAACACATAGGATTTAACTCAAACTGAGTCACCTGGTTACATTGTTTGTTGAGTTTTATGTATTATTCCATTTGGACACGCATGTAACTTCTTATTGGCCAATTAGTATGTGTGTAAATTTTACTTAATGTCCATGGATTTCAAGGGAATTTGGTTAACAGTTAACAGTTTACCATCCTTTAGCCAGGCTTTAGCTGCCTTTCAAATTAACCATTGAAAACAGGTTATATAAAAGGTATGAGCTAGTTTTTTTTTTCAATTCATATACAGTAATATTAATGTAAATTTATACTTTCGTTTTTGGAAAAAGTTACAAAAGCCATTAATGTAATTTTTGATAAAGCATACTGTACAAATTAACCACTGAAAGCATGGGATATGAATAGTACAGTTTAGTTTGTTTCTAGTATTTTTATGTAACTTTATATGATAGAAGAATAAATATGCCATCAATGTTTGTTTTAATCAAACCGTATGATTGTATGATGGCATGGAATGACTTGAAGCTCATGATCATGTTCAAAACAAAAATAGACTTTATAAGTCAAATTGTTTCCCATTACTCACCAAGTGCTGATGATTTTAAAAACATCATTTGAGCATTTTGGGAGGAAGTTATTGAAAATATTTTTTAAAAAAAACATAAATACATAGATTAATTATTTGACACATAGTTCTTAAGGTTAAAATTTTTAAAAATTAACAGTAGAATCTATGTCATTATGTCATAAAACTTTACTCTAAGAAAATCTCTCACATTCCTAGTATTGCAGTTGATTTTGAAATGATTTGAATAATCATACTTGGGTGGGGGGGGGGGGATATGTCAAAAATGTCTTGAGTGTCAAAAGTATTATTTCACTGATAGTTTTATCATAATGTGCTTCTACCATATTTTACAGCAAGTAAGCCTTCTGCTGCAGTAAAAAAAATGACCAAAAGCATCCACCAGTACATTAGTGTCTGCTATATTGCATAATTGTTGTGCATGTACCTTGCTTTGATCAAAGATTAGGGTTTTCCATAATTTTGTTAGTAGTAGGCCGTGTAGTGAAAGTAGGAGACTGGCCTGCCGTGTACGTGTAGTCGTGTGCGGAACATTATTACGGAACTGGATTGGTGTAGACGGCCAAATGATCAAAGTAGCCGGTCAAATTTGGCGGCGACCGGCTCTTTTGGAAAACCCTGAAAGAAACAAGCTATTACCATTTATTTTCAAAAATATTGCTTTGTATAAAGCATTATATTGTTTTTATATAGAAGTTTAAGGGAATTATTGGCAACAGTTCTTAAGGTATAGCATTGGTGTGATTAAAAGATGTAAGACTATAATTATCTACAGCAAATTGGTAATCCCAACAAATTTTGTTTTTGTAGAACCCATGCTAACATAGGAACAGTTAAAAGGAGTGAAGATGGAGTAAGTATTCTGATAAACTGTTGACATTTGAGCGTAGTAGACATCAATTTATAACTCTCGATAGATGTTACTTAGGACTGGATACGTATGTTGTTAATCAGAATGACAATTCGTCAAATGAGGAAAAAAACATTACTAGGTGTCTATGCCAGATAGTATGTGCCTTAGACTTGTGAAGGACATCTCACCAGGGGCTCCTCACTTGCACTGTATGCCAGTCATCTGTTCAGACTTAGTCCTAAAGTAAGTCATCTTGCCCATCATTTGTTCTATAAGCTGACTGGGCAGTCTTTAACATTAAGGCAGACTTACAGTATATAAACCTGCTTTTATGTTCATGTTGACGAACGGCCAAACTTTCCTGATAAGGCCTCTGGTCATGATCATGTGAATTAAAGGAAAAAGTGTCGTTTTTAATTCCCCTAAGACCTGTTGTGATCAGTTTTTGTCTGGTGTCATCTGCTGCAAACAATTAACATTTTTGATTGCTTCTTTAAAACCAATAAATCAATCTTAATGAAATTTTGCAGAAGATTTTCACATCAAAAGGTGAATCAAAATCTTAAATTACATCTAACCCCACTTCTCAGGGGACATGAGTGGTTGGCCAAACAGAATAAAATTCATTTAGATTTTAGAAATCTTTTTCTGATATCCAGATATGGTAAAATGAAATACTCTTTATAGATGGAAAGATAAAAAAGTGCTTTAACAAAATTGAGATTTTCTTGACTGCAGTGTCTCACTTTGCAATCTGGGAAGGAAAGTTTACCATAGTTCATATATGAAAATGACATTTTTGAACACAATTTGTTTGATTTCCATTGAAGAAACTCCAATTTGGTTAGAATTACCAACATTGGATGACAGTAAAAGTTATATACAAATTACATTTACATATACAATGTAGTTTAAGTAATCTTACTTTTTTAAAACAATGATTTCTAGTTATGTTACAACAACACAACAGAAGCTTTTATAGAAGCTTGAGATTCCATTCAGGCCCCTTTGGCCTCTTCAGAGGTAGGTGACTCTTACCTACCAGTTTGTACCTTGTGGCACATAAGGCCATGACAGAGCTTTCCCATCTGTCTCAGTCTACTGCGTTCCAGTATCTCCAGCCTGCTTTATTTCTCTCCTTCTCTATCGTTCTCCTCCAAGTTGTCTGTAGAGATTAAATTACATATACCAGATGATATGGTTTGCTTTACACTGAAACAAGAAAACGAGTAGCTGTAACCTGTTAGACAGTTCCTGTTGTACAGATGGCCTCTATAGAGATTGAATTACTATGTTTTGTTTTACTCTGGGATCAGATAATGAGTAGCTGTAACCTGTTAGACAGTTCCTGTTGTACAGATGGCCTCTATAGAGATTGAATTACTATGTTTTGTTTTACTCTGGGATCAGATAATGAGTAGCTGTAACCTGTTAGAGCGTTCCTGTTGTACAGATGGCCTCTATAGAGATTGAATTACTATGTTTTGTTTTACTCTGGGATCAGATAATGAGTAGCTGTAACCTGTTAGAGCGTTCCTGTTGTACAGATGGCCTCTATAGAGATTGAATTACTATGTTTTGTTTTACTCTGGGATCAGATAATGAGTAGCTGTAACCTGTTAAGCGTTCCTACAGATGGCCTCTATAGAGATTGAATTACTATGTTTTGTTTTACTCTGGGATCAGATAATGAGTAGCTGTAAGATGGCGTTCCTGTTATACAGATGGATTGAATTACTATGTTTTGTTTTACTCTGGGTCCAGATAATGAGTAGCTGTAACCTGTTAGACAGTTCCTGTTGTACAGATGGCCTCTATAGAGATTGAATTACTATGTTTTGTTTTACTCTGGGATCAGATAATGAGTAGCTGTAACCTGTTAGACAGTTCCTGTTTTACAGATGGCCTCTATAGAGATTGAATTACTATGTTTTGTTTTACTCTGGGATCAGATAATGAGTAGCTGTAACCTGTTAGAGCGTTCCTGTTGTACAGATGGCCTCTATAGAGATTGAATTACTATGTTTTGTTTTACTCTGGGATCAGATAATGAGTAGCTGTAACCTGTTAGACAGTTCCTGTTGTACAGATGGCCTCTATAGAGATTGAATTACTATGTTTTGTTTTACTCTGGGGATAATGAGTAGCTGTAACCTGTTAGAGCATTCCTGTTGTACAGATGGCCTCTATAGAGATTGAATTACTATGTTTTGTTTTACTCTGGGATCAGATAATGAGTAGCTGTAACCTGTTAGAGCGTTCCTGTTGTACAGCTGGCCTTGAATTCTTCTGGTATCTTTTGGTGTCCACCTTGCTAATTAAGTAGATAAATACAACTGAACCTGTTACAATTCAGGATGAGACTTTTAAACACTTTGTGATCATCTGAGCACAAAAAATGTCCTGTTATGTATTTTTGTGAGATTTTTCAACTTAATGGCAGCAGAAGTCAAATAACTTATTGTGTGTGTAAATTTACAGTGCAGTTGTTCGTAAGGTGTAAGTATTTGCATCTAAAGTATGATATGTACATGTATGTTGACTAACTTCCTGTCATGTTACTTTTCCCTTAATCTGCATATATACATTTTTGTTCATTGAATGCTTAAAGCTCGACTAACTCATGGTCATCATTTTTATCTCTCTACCACAAGCTGGAAGTTGGGCGAGGGAACTAAATAAATTTTGAGATCAAATGCTGGGTGATATTGCTTTGTCCTTGTTCTCATCTGTGTTGAAAATTTGCACAGATTTTTAAAAACTTCATTTATTGTCAGGTATAAAACCTCCCCCTTCCCCCCTCCCCATAGCTACATCATGGTCACTGTACACATAATAATTAACTATATGCACTTTCTTCATTATTACACAATTGCAGTGTTGAATAATGGTACATGTTTCTCCATAATTTATGTTTCATGCTACCACCAATGTCGTCTGACCTGAATGGTCATTGATGACCTATAGTCATTGTGCTTCATCGGTCTGCTGTTCGCCATCCACCATCACTAAGTTAACCTTTTGACATTTCAAACTTTTTCTCAAGTTCCACCAGTGGGATTGAGATGAAACTTTCATGAAATGATCTTGAGATGGTCCTGATTAAGTGTTGTTATTTTTCGACATGCCTGAAATCCAAGATGGCTGTCATGGCAGCCATCTTGAAAAACATATTTTAAACTTCTTCTACAGTTCCACTGGTGCCTTTGAGTTAAAAATTGGTGGGAATATTAAGGAAAGGTAGCCAACAAAGTGTTGTTATTTTTTGACCTTGTCTGAACTTTGATGCAACAACCAGGGAGATCATTTTTAACATGATTGTGTAATCATGGTTTTTGCTGTGCAACACATATTTCAAACTTCTTTTCAAGTTTCACCATTTGGATTGATCTACAATTTTACCGTCAAAAAATAATTAACACTTGTTCTAGTTACCTACTCCTCACCAAATCTACCATTTGCATCATGGAAAACAACTCCTTAATGATATTTCATTCAAAGAAGAAAAAATAACCGTTCTCCCTGCGGAAAGTCTTTTGTAGTCAGATGACTGTTAAGGCCCATGGGCCTCTTCTTTTGATTGAGATGTTTTTCAATAGGTTTTCCGTGATTAACAAACCATCCACCAAGTATGCCAGTAGATTGTCAGGCATTACTCACGTCAGCCTCGTACCTCTGCTCGTCCAAACAGTCGGTCATCCATAATTTTGTCTTGGCCATTATTTCCTCCCTAACCTGAATGAAACTTTAAACACATACATTTACTTGTAAAATTCAACTTTTGTATGCCTTGGACCAAGGTTAGGGTCATTTGTAAAATATGAATGATTCAAATCTTATCCTAGGCTCACCTATTGCATAGTTGCTGGTACCTGAAGAAACTTCTCAAATAGAATGATAGGAATAACTTCAAAATAATAGTTTCTAATGCCACAATTGCTTTCTTTTGGCAAAAAATAAGGTTAGAATGCCTAATATTGAAAAAGGTATGTAAGGAGACTTCAAAGACTTTTTACATTACCTCCAGTTAATGTGTCATGTGCCACTGTTGTACTCTTTGGGGCAAGATAAAGTCTCTGCTGAAGGTCAAATTGGCCATATAACAACTTATCTTTGGCTTTGATTCTTCACGGTTACAGATCTAGATATACAAATAAAACACTATTTACTGTATATATACATTATCTCCAGTGTGTTTGCATGTCACTTTGCAGCATTTGGATCAAACATCAAAGCAATCAGATACATGGATGATCAAAATCATGATTTTTGCTGTATGTACATCTTTCTTGTTGTAACTGAATGAAACTTCATGTACAATTTTTTAATTGTGTTTTTAATCGCTTGGTCCTTAGTACAAGGCAAACGTCACAGTTCAAATATTTTAAAATCTGCTTTTAAATCAATTTCTTCACAAAATTTTAAAAAAATACCAACTTTTCTTAATGCCAAGCACGAAAGCATTTCAATGTAATGCCCAATTTTTATATGAAATTAAATCGTTTTTAAAGGGAACATGGCAAAACAAAGGATGAAGAAATGACATGTTAGATAGACAATGTGTTGGTTGTAAGCTGTTTTTTTAATTCAAGTCATTTTCAATATTCTTAATATTATGGTTAAACAAATTAAAGGATATACAATTTTTCTTTACTCCTATCTGACCTATGTATTTATGTATGTATTGTTGATATATTTCTACTGATAGATGATTGTGTATTCATACCTGTACTGATTATTAATACAAAGTCTAACATACAACTCTTTATCTTTAAATGATATATGTGGTATAAATAACAAAATATACCTTGTTAGAAATGAAAAAAAGTCTGCATTCAGTGTTGTGTAAATGTTTTCAATTTTTTCCTATATGAACTAAACATGTTTCTTGAAGCATTAAATACACACATGTTGTTCCTGGAGAATGTTTACTGCGTAGGTTATTATTTGAAACAACATGATGTTGATTGGATTTGTTTAGTTTACTATTGGGGGCCAATCTCACATATCATGTATTGCTGAGGAGTGTGGAGGGAAATCAGTCGGATATCCCATTTGAAAATATATTCTTTACAATCTGAGTGTGTGATTCATCAACCTGTGGTGTTTTTCTGTTTGTTGTAGTATCTTTGTTGCTACTGTGTATAGTGGGGTAGTTACAATATGCAGTTAAAGCACAGGTTTGAAGGATATAGTTAGTTTTTGTTTCCATCACTTTGGAAAATAGTTATGGTCAAGGGGTCCTAGAAACCTTCTGTGTCCCTAGATCCTACATGAATACTTAAACCATTTTATTAAAAGAAAAAAGTTGTCTGGACACTAGCTCCTTCAGATGTAATCATGGGCACTTCATACTTTGTATATTGGTTTACCATGTACAATTTTACTACAAATAAAATTTATATTTGTATCATAAAGGTCATGATGAAGGTTAAAGTTCGGGTGAAATTGGTTGATATTTCGTTTTATGAAGTTCAACTTATCCTGAACTTCTTAAAATTGATTTCTACACCAAGTTTTTTTGGGTGTATCCTGCATAATCGGCAGTATTCAGGCAAGGATATATAAAACTGAACAAACCTAATTAAGGGGAACATTGTTTTCTGAAGTTAATACACCTCCTGGGACTGAAGATAACAAGGTGCATTGTTTATTAAAATGTCACACAAAAACATTTCATTGGTTATTTCCTGTAAAGTTAAATGAGCATTTAATTGACTGCAGGAACATTTCTACAGTTTGGTGTGACTTCAGTTTAAATGCTCTTTTAATAATTTCAACCTTATAAATTTGTTTTGTTGCATTTGGTCTGAAATGACCAGAATTTCTAATACAATATTTTATTTTGTAGGATAGCTAGAAACAGAGCGAGGAAATTTCTTGGGTTAGAGGATGAAGAATCCAAGGAAGAGCGTAGACAAAAATGGCAGAACCGTCGTGAACTTATCTACCGGGGTGGTATCGCACCAGAGAAACCTAAAACGGAGGCAGATGGAAGAGGTGCTCGCCGCTGTCGAATTCAGCCCCGGAAAAAGAAGGAAGCAGTGACAACCATCACATGGAACAAAGCAAAGACCATAGTGGTAGGCTAATATAATACTGGTCTCCCTGATATAATACTGGTAATGTTGTCTGTATGTGGTAGACTGATATAATACTAGTAATGTTGTCTGTATGTGGTAGACTGATATAATACTGGTAATGTTGTCTGTATGTGGTAGACTCCCTGATATAATACTGGTAATGTTGTCTGTATGTGGTAGACACCCTGATATAATACTGGTAATGTTGTCTGTATGTGGTAGACTGATATAATACTGGTAATGTTGTCTGTATGTGGTAGGCTGATATAATACTGGTAATGTTGTCTGTATGTGGTAGACTGATATAATACTGGTAATGTTGTCTGTATGTGGTAGACTGATATAATACTGGTAATGTTGTCTGTATGTGGTAGACTGATATAATAATGGTAATGTTGTCTGTATATGGTAGACTCCCTGATATAATACTGGTAATGTTGTTTGTATGTGGTTGACTGATATAATACTGGTAATGTTGTCTGTATGTGGTAGACTCCCTGATATAATACTGGTAATGTTGTCTGTATGTGGTAGACTCCCTGATATAATACTGGTAATGTTGTCTGTATGTGGTTGACTGATATAATACTGGTAATGTTGTCTGTATGTGGTAGGCTGATATAATACTGGTAATGTTGTCTGTATGTGGTAGGCTGATATAATACTGGTAATGTTGTCTGTATGTAGTAGACTGATATAATACTGGTAATGTTGTCTGTATATGGTAGACTGATATAATACTGGTAATGTTGTCTGTATGTGGTAGACTGATATAATACTGGTAATGTTAGCGGTATGTGGTAAGCTCTCTGAAAGGTTACAGGTTATGTTGGTTGACAGGATGCTGAAAATGATTTCTACCATAATAATTTTAAGTATAATACGTAATTATTTTCTAGATTGATCATACTTATACATGTATATTAGCAAACAGAGATTAACAGATTTTGTGAAACATAAACAACTTAATGGTAAAACATATATGGACCCTGTACCATTTAAGTATGGGATCCAGAAAACATGCTCTTAATTCAATTTGTCGTACTCATTCCAGGGAGTTAGTAGATTGAAGAAAGAGAAGAAACTTGGAGTGTATGGACGAAGTTTTGCTCCGGCTTGTCTGGACAGATATGTGGATTCCAAACCAGAGTTTTCTAAGGTGAGCTGCTGTCCTTGGGAATGACCCTTGTGAGTTGTTTGAAATGTGTGATTAAGTATCTGACATTACTTTTGCAAGACTAATTGGAATTAGAAGACATTTTCTCATTAATTTCTTAAAGAAAAAGTTTGCCCTTACACCGCCTTTTACACTACTAGTCACCAGAACTTCATACTTATATGGGTTCACCATGGTGAGATTGGGTGTCATGTATCAAAAGTAGGTCACTTTCACCTATGTTGTGACCTTTGACCTACCTACAAAGAAAGAGTTTGTCCTGGCTCAATCTCCTACATTTGATTGGAATTTCATACTTTAGATATGAGGTCACCTTGGTGAGGCAGTGTGCTATGTATCACAATTAGGTCACTCTGTCCTACATTTTCACTTTGGACCAAAATCAAAGAAAGTATTCGTCCGCGCTCTATCTCCAACACTGCGAGTCAATGGAACTTCATACCTGGTAAAGGGGTTCACCTTGATAAGGAGGTGGTGTGTCATTAGGTGACTGTAATTCTTCAAATTGATATGTTCAAGTGCCCATCCCACAGTGTGGTTTATTTTGTACAATATCTGTTGGATTATTTCTTCTCAACCATTACATATTGCCTTTGCTTAAATGGTTTTCCACACATTACAAATAAAAAAAAACAGAAATTTCCCGTCACTTCCTTCTCCATTGAAAAAAGCTTCTTTACCTGTTAACAATATAAAAGGGGACTGAGGCACAATAATTAGGATTACTTAAGTTGTCAGAAAGCTCTTTTATGAATCCCTCAAACTCAAAGCAGTACATGTTCCAAATGGTGACTGTAGTAATGTTGGGTCCCTTTAAAGATATCACAAGAACAATAGGTATAATAGGCAAGTTTAAGACCTGTAATTATGAATAATTCCTTTCTATTTGACAATACATCAGAAAACTCAGAGGAAAAAAAGAAAGGACTGAAAAACACACAAAGAAACAGCATCTTTCAGTACATATTTAGAACATCTACATTAGAGCTTAGTTATGAACTAAAGTGCATCATAAAGCTGTTTTGTACTTCTTGAAACCCAGAGGGAAATTAAGAAAAATGAAAATTGGTAAATGTTTTGTAATTTTCACATTCTGATAATTTTTAAAGAATGACAAGAATATGTGTATTCTGAACTGTGACACTATTTCAATAAATTAAAACGTGGCATGCAGGTCAAAACAAATATTCGGGACAAAAAGAAGAAAGCTATGTATACTACCTGCAATCTCAAAGATATCTCACAGTAGGTTCAAAAAGGAGGATGAAACATTAGATCTTGGACTTTCTAGACAATCTGTGTGTGCTTTGTTTCAGTTTGTCAATGAGAGATTTTATGATGAGTTACCACCTAGTACCACTGATGACACATCTCACGCAGACCGTCCCTCCTTTCCCAGGTAAGTACTGTTGTAGCAAAATAAACTCCAGATGACACATCTCATGTCGACCGTCCCTCCAGCTTGTTAAGAGGAAAAGGGGCAGTAGATGTTGGTCTGATTATCTCACATTTTATACAAATAATAATCTTCTGATATAGTGTTGTCTTTGAGAAATTTGTTATCTGTTTACAATAAGAATGCCTTCTTAAACAAATGACAGTAGTAATAGTAGTCATAGTAGTAATAGTAACCTTGCATATCAAAAGTCTTCAGCACTGCTAATTACAAAGATATGATTCATCATCTTGGATCAGAAAATCTTAGATCCCAAGCCTAGTTATAAGCCCACTACTATTTATTGCAGCTTTGAGAGGAATTCAAGCAAATGCTTTATTATTGCCTTGTAGTAGTCCTGCCTGCCTTTGAGTCAGAGGTTATGTGTTCGCCCCATGGGGTTAGTTATTAAAGCGATTGCATTGTTGACTAATAGCCTGTCTATAATTATCTACATAGTTTTGTGTGTGTTTGCTGATTATGGTTTTTAACAATTCTTAATGGCAGCACTACAAGGTTTGATGACTTGCCCATGAGAGATTTGTCCCCCAGCAAGCGAGAGAAGCCTGTGCCACGAGAGCCTGGGATGAGCAGACTGTTTCCGCAAGTGGGGGAAACAGAGAAGGAGCGACGACAGGCTCTAGTTCTCAGCATGGAAGAAAACACTTGTGAAGCACTCAGTGGAAATTGCTGCGGTGAGGATGACAGAAATGATGAAACTAAAAGGTAATATTAATCACTGTCACTAAAGCCACTTAACCACTAAATGATATTACACTAAGAATACCACCATGCTTCAATGTCTCATCCACTTTCTGACCCTTTTGGATTTTCATTGCCCATGTAGATGGACATAAAAATCACACACAATGCAGGTGCTATAATGTTTAGCATGTAGTAACAATGTCCTGAACAAACCGCTAAAAGTAAGCCCTTTGAAATATGCTATCCTACCTGTCTTTACTTCTCCAAGATCATCTACAACTATCGGAAGGTCAGAATGACATCTTGAAGAAATAATGTCTTATTTACTTTACTTCTTGCATTTCTGTTTTACTAATGACCATGACTACATACTAGAATAGGTGTGATTTTACTTTACTTCTTGCATTTCTGTTTCACTAATGACCATGACTACATACTAGAATAGGTGTGATTTTTAACATTTCAGACTTATCCTTGATTTACCTCTTGGGTTATTTCAGGCCTGACTTACCATGTTGGTTTATTTCAGCTCTGATTTACCATGTTGGTTTATTTCAGGCCTGACTTACCATGTTGGTTTATTTCAGAACTGACTTACCATGTTGGTTTATTTCAGAACTGACTTACCATGTTGGTTTATTTCAGGCCTGGCTTACCATATTGGTTTATTTCAGCCCTGACTTACCATGTTGGTTTATTTCAGAACTGACTTACCATGTTGGTTTATTTCAGGCCTGACTTACCATGTTGGTTTATTTCAGCCCTGACTTACCATGTTGGTTTATTTCAGGCCTGGCTTACCGTGTTGGTTTATTTCAGGCCTGACGTACCATGTTGGTTTATTTCAGGCCTGACTTACTGTGTTGGTTTATTTCAAACCTGGCTTACCGTGTTGGTTTATTTCAGGCCTGACTTACCATGTTGGTTTATTTCAGCCCTGACTTACTGTGTTTGTTTATTTCAGGCCTGGCTTATCGTGTTAGTTTATTTCAGGCCTGACGTACCGTGTTGGTTTATTTCAGACCTGATTTAGCATGTTGCTTTATTTCAGACCTGACTTACTTTGGTGGTTCATTTCAGACCATATTTTACCTGGTTCATCACATTTACACAAACAGTCATTATGATAACAGCTCTGGCTTTGTATGGTGTGTCTAACTTTGGAGCTGATGAGGTCTCCATTGATGACTGGGTAAGTTATATCTAACACATGATATAGATTATTGTTTGATGTTCCATTAGTACCTGTATAGTTTCCTTAAATGTCTATAGATGTCAGACTATGCTCACAAATCAAGGCTCTGTAGTGTGTATTTACACAGAGGTTAGATGTCAGACTATGCTCACAAATCAAGGCTCTGTAGTGTGTATTTACACAGAGGTTAGATGTCAGACTTACTGTGTTTGTTTATTTACTGGCTTAAATCAAGGCTCTGTAGTGTGTATTTCACAGATTTAGCATGTTGCTTTATTTCAAGGCTCTGTAGTGTGTATTTACACAGAGGTTAGTTCATCACATTTACACAAACATCATTAGATAACAGCTCTGCTTTGTGTGTGTTTACACAGAGGAGCTGATGACTGTGCTCACAAATCAAGGCTCTGTAGTGTGTATTTACACAGAGGTTAGATGTTTGATGTGCTCACAAATCAAGGCTCTGTAGTGTGTATTTACACAGAGGTTAGATGTCAGACTATGCTCACAAATCAAGGCTCTGTAGTGTGTATTTACACAGAGGTTAGATGTCAGACTATGCTCACAAATCAAGGCTCTGTAGTGTGTATTTACACAGAGGTTAGATGTCAGACTATGCTCACAAATCAAGGCTCTGTAGTGTGTATTTACACAGAGGTTAGATGTCAGACTGTGCTCACAAATCAAGGCTCTGTTGTGTGTATTTACACAGAAGTTAGATGTCAGACTGTGCTCACAAATCAAGGCTCTGTAGTGTGTATTTACACAGAGGTTAGATGTCAGACTGTGCTCACAAATCAAGGCTCTGTAGTGTGTATTTACACAGAGGTTAGATGTCAGACTATGCTCACAAATCAAGGCTCTGTAGTGTGTATTTACACAGAGGTTAGATGTCAGACTGTGCTCACAAATCAAGGCTCTGTATTAGAGTGTGTATTTACACAGAGGTTAGATGTCAGACTATGCTCACAAATCAAGGCTCTGTAGTGTGTATTTACACAGAGGTTAGATGTCAGACTATACTCGCAAATCAAGGCTCTGTAGGGTGTATTTACACAGAGGTTAGATGTCAGACTGTGCTCACAAATCAAGGCTCTGTATTAGAGTGTGTATTTACACAGAGGTTAGATGTCAGACTGTGCTCACAAATCAAGGCTCTGTATTAGAGTGTGTATTTACACAGAGGTTAGATGTCAGACTATGCTCACAAATCAAGGCTCTGTAGCGTGTATTTACACAGAGGTTAGATCAGTGATTCTTACTCATTGTTGTTCTCACCTTTATCTGTGATTTATCAAATTTAGAATCATGATATTAGAATGGATGGTTTAACTGGGCTATATCTGACCTTTCGCATTATTCATTATGAATTTTGTACATCTTGTCATTGCCTCAGATTCCTATTCCAGGTAAGGAAGCCAAACATGGCCATCGAGTCGGTTCGGCGGTCAGAATTTGGAAACATATGGCTTGGTCCATCACAAGCTGACTTGATACATCTAGGAGCTAAATACTCTCCCTGCATGAGGAAAGACCCAAATCTTGCCCATGTAATGGACCTTGATCGTGAAGAAGAACGAACTTCAGGTTGCTGTATCCGTGATGACAACACTGGATGTGTTCAGACTGTCAAGTCACGCTGTAGTGTATGTATGACATGATGAAGTATCTGTCTCTCAAAGGATAGTACTTTGGCCATAACATGATTCTTAATTTTGAGAGAAGGGATCACATTTTCCACAATTAATATCCTATGGTTCATTATGAAGATATTTTGGTCAGTAGTTCATTACTACTACTTAATCTGATTTGTTACTGAACTGTTGGGGCCCTGCATAAGAAATATCTGTCTTGCCATCCTTCTATCTACCAAACACTAATTGTTATTTTGAGGTAGACATTACCGATATCCTTTTATCTCATCCACAATCCTCAAGACATGATATCTTGTTGATGTTTGTAATTTTGCAATGTCTATTTTCTTACATTACAGGGGATCTTGTCTACATTTGTGAAGTGGAACAAGACACACCCCAGTAAAGATGGTTTCACATCTGGACCTGTTTGTGGACAGGATCCAGAGTAAGCTAATTCTGATGTTTTAAATCATGTTGTTTTTTATCACTTGTCTATAAACTAGAAAACAACGATAAGGAAGTAGGATGAGTTATTTTTTATTTATATTTGATCTTCATTCTCATTTTGTAAAAAGATTATTCAGTGAACATTTATTCCAACCACTTCCTATAAATTCTGTCATGCATCCTGATTTTCCTATCCTAAATGAATATTACTGTATGTTACTTCATACATGGAACATTAAGAACAACACATATCATTTAAAAACTTAATCAACTGCTGCGGCATGACCATCTCAGCAATTATATTAAAAGCTTGAAACAGATTAAACTGTGTAAACATACAAAAAACCTGTTTGGCTTCATGACAAATTTAGCCAGATATGTAGTGTGCTAAATTTTCAAGGAAAGAATTAGTGGCCATTTAATGGTGGCAGGTGGATGTACAGTGAAATCTATAATTTGTCACCTGCAGCTTAACTTGCTCAGCTTCTGCCTTTAGCTTTTGTTATAATCTTTATGATTGCTTTTCAGTTATTGTAAAAATCCAGTGTCCAAGGCTCCATTTGAATGGGATAAAAGTGACATGACACAATGGCCTGTGAGTTTGCTCTGTAGCTTTCACTTCTCCTGCTTAAGCATCATCAGTATGACCCTGTCAAATAGATCTTCCCAAAGGAGTTGTAGTCTAACTGCTCCTAATGCATGCACCACTTGTGTGTTTAATTAAAATTTATTCAATTACTCCCATATTTCCACATTAACATATGGATACTAACTAACCATTATATCATGTACTAAATTGCTTCATGCCTCAGAAACTTCAGTAGGGTGGTTGTATGGCTCAGTGGTAACACTCTAGCCTTTTACCTAGCAGTCCTGGGTTTGATTCCCAGAACGAACTTGAAGAGGTAGTGGTCACCTGCCCAACCACGTGGGGTTTCCTGGGGTACTCCGGTTTCCTCCCACAAAAGTCCCCTTGCCCGCTTACATCTGGGCCAACAAGAGTGATTAGTATAAGTTCAAATAAATTGTTTCACAATTGTTGTAACAGAAAGTTTATATTTATTTTCTTAAACTTCAGATCATGTTATCAGCTATTTTTTTCTGGAAAAGTCTATTCTTACATGAAAACCTCCTACAAAAAACAAAGCTTAAATAACAGATGCCTGTAAAATTCTATTGTTGTTAAAATCTATTTCTTCTGTTACCAGATATGTACAGACACTAATACTCCAGGACATCTGGGCGCAGTCTCTGTGTCTCAGGAAGATAGACACATGTCATGTGACTTGCTTGGTCGACCTTGTTGCCATGGTATACAGGGCGAGTGTATGATCACATCTCGAGAACACTGTACATTTCTGAAAGGTTTTTATCATGAAGAGGCTTTCCTATGTTCTCAGGTAAGAAAAGCTGAATCTATATATATTTTAATCATGAATTTTGTAATTAATTTCTGTATAGTTCTGGCTAATTACTTTATATCTTTTAGCTGTGACAGAACATACTGAAGCTAAAATCTTGAAAAACTTTTCAGATTTAGGAGTTAATCGGAGTGTTTTCCTAAGGTTTATGAACTTTGTTACAGGTTAACTGTATGGCAGATGTATGTGGTATGATCCCATTTGTTTATGAAGATAGACCTGACCAGTTCGGCCGTGTTTTCTCTGCTTTCCTTCTCCATGCTGGGCAAGTATTTTCTATCTTCTCCCATCTAGGTAGTGGTTTTGAAGCTAAAAACATATAGGATGGGATTGAGTGAGGGTTTTTAAAGGTCAACTGTGAAGGCTGTGGAGGTCACTTGCTACAATAGACATTTATCACCAGTTTTAGGTCCCGGCATCAAAGATGAAGGAAGTAAAGTTTGTCAGAATAACACCAGCAGTTAACTGATCAATGTTCAAGGTCACTGTGTCAAAAGGTCAAGGTCAAATTTCATGTGGATACTGATAGTGTAACTAGAATGGTTAAATTTACCCTTAAAATTCAGACTCAAAGCCGACTCAGTCTGGTAAAACAGTTAAGGAAATGGTAGTTAAAATGAGACATCTGTTCATTGCTATCAGGGTCAATATTGCTTAGAAAATTAAATTAATGGCAGAGGACGAGTGTTGCATGCAACACTAACTAGGCTTGTTTGTTACATATTAACATCTTCCACCTTTGGCATTCATACTGTTTCTACTATGGTCATTTAAATTGATGTATTTTGCAAGTAAATTATATTTCTGTTTTAGATAGAAAATTTTTGTAATCTGGTGTGTCTCTCTTTGCTTCTTTGACAGGCTGTTCCATCTCCTGATCAGCATTTTGTTTCAAATGCTTGTTATGCGGTATGCAGAGAATTTGATTGGCTGGAAATTCATAGCTATCATCTATTGTGGCAGTGGTGCTGTGGGAAGCCTTGCTAGCGCAGTTCTGCTTCCTTATCAAGTCGAGGTGAGTTATGCCACATCCTTACCAGGTTGAGGTGATTGATATGTCCTGACCAGGATGAGGTGAGTTGTCACATCCTTACCAGGTTGAAGTCATATGTCCTGACCAGGAGGAGGTGAGTTAGTCATATGCTCTGACCAGGATGAGGCGAGTTATGTCACATCCTTACCAGGTTGAGGTGAGTCATATGTCCTGACCAGAATGAGGTGAGTTATGCCACATCCTTACCAGGTTGAGGTGAGCCATATGTCCTCACCAGGATGAGGTGAGTTATGCCACATCCTTACCATGTTGACGTCATATGTCCTCACCAGGAGGGGGTGAGTTATGCCACATCCTTACCAGGTTGAAGTGAGTCATATCATGTCCTGACCAGGACGAGATGATAAATATTTCTTCTTCACCAGGTCAAGTTGAGTCATGCTACAAAAACACTACAACAAAAGCCAGAACTCTTACGTGTAATGTTATTCAAGATAATAATAATTAGGGTAAACTGAATTTGTACTCACGATAATCTGAATAGATTCTCATTAAACCATTCCAGTGTATAGAAGTGTATAAGGTATTTATTGGAGCTGTTTTGTCCCTCTAGTGAAGATAATAAGGAAACATCGTAAATGTCCATCTGTCAGTTTGTCCTTTCCATTTATGTTTTTACTTCTGTTGAGTCACCTTTACTGAAACCTTACAGGTCTTCCTCTTTGAAAGTGAAGTATTTTTCTGATTTAAAGGGCAAAATTCGAGGAAAAGAAATGATTTCTTCAAAATTGCTGAAAGTACTCTTCTCACAAGAATGTTTTAAGGCCAAAGTTACTATTACGGAAAACATAATCTGTTTCAGCAAAATACCACTAATTCTTTGGGCACTATTCCCCTCACACATCACACAAAGCATTGTAATAGAAAGTTCTTAATTGGTTTAACCATTCAGGACTGCTCAGATTGTTATTCAGAACTTACAGGTAATATTATTATACTTGTAACTCTGAAATCCTTCATCTACATCATATTCTCTTTCATTTTTTTTTTTTTGTACTAATTATGAACACAGTGATATTAGCCACACTTAATTCAACAGATGAAAGGTATTGCTATTGCTGTCATAACTACAACATCGTTTTGTTTACATTGCTACTTCATCATAGATAGATTCACTAACTGTTTTCTATACTATGTTAATTAAAATAGACAAAAATGGCTGAGTTTGGAAATTTAGATAATGGATTTTGATTATTTCTTGTACATCTTGACTACAGCATACTTACTACATAAATTTTGTCATCCATCGACCCCAACAGGTTGAGGGGTTACTCATGTGATATTGGTTTCTGATTGCTTGTTTAGTCTTACAAATAAATTCTCTCTTCACATGATTTTACAGGTGGGACCCGCTGGAGCTCAGTTTGGAGTCCTCTCCGTATTTTTTGTGGATTTGCTGGGACATTATTTACAGCACCGACAGGAAAAGGGCAGTCGTGAGCGAAAAAGGCGTTTATGTACCTGGCTTGCAATATTTGTTGTGATAATGTTGATTTTGTTTTTCTTTGGGCTGTTTCCTTGGTTAGATAACTGGGCTCATATGTTTGGATTTTTCTTTGGTCTTTTGATGTCCACAATTTTCGTAGAAGACTTTGGAGTCGATGTCAATTTCTTGAAACGTTGGGTTGTAGTTTTGGTCTCTTCCATTCTTGCCTTACTGATGATCGTGATGCTCATTATCATATTCTATGTGGTGCCTATTACCGAGGGCGAGATTATCTCTTACTTCAATTGTATCCCGATCACAAAAACTTTCTGTAAAAACATGGACGTTAGCATCAACCGAGGATCTACCTACACTGCCCTTCTGTAAGGTACATAGAGTAGTGTTTTGTAGTGCTGTATTTTAATCCCTATACAGTCATATAGGTAGGACTGTTGATATCCTACATAAAGTTTATATATTGCTTGATAGGAACTTTTCTTGAAGTTTATAAATGAAAACAGAAAATGGCTTAATCTCCTGGTTTGTGATTTAACTGTGATTTTATGATGTATATACATGTGCCTTTCCTTTTTCTTTTAACATAGTACTAAATTTAAACAGATTAGTCTTTATAAGAAATATTTGTCAGGGGAGATAACTCTTCAGTCAACTTTTAACATAGTACTTAATTTACACTGATTAGTCTTTATAAGAAATATTTGTCAGGGGAGATAACTCTTCAGTCAATAAATTTTATTACATCAGTGATGTTGCTAAGCTTTATGCCTTGTCAATTTATTCTATGGATGTTTTTTGTTTGATTGTGCAGCTTATTGTTTTACTGCTCAGATTTTGTTGTATTCTAGTGATAGATTTGATTATTTTTAATACTGATTATAATGCTTCAGTCTATCAAATACTCCAAGATATACAGATCGTATAGAGAAATTGGTTTTATTCCATTGCAACGTGTAATGATAACTTGTTCAATTGTCTATATTGAGCATTCAGCTTATATATCAGTCATTGATATTCAAGTCACTTTGGTTCATAATTCTACCATAGTTGATTATATAGCTCCGTAACAAGGTGATAATTTAGTCACGTTGTCTCCAGTGACTCAATTGTGGGATATGTTCCAAAACTTTCTGAATATGTAAACACCTTATCCCCTACCACATCTTTGGCAAGCTTTCCTTAACACAGTGACTGGACAATTCATCCTTCCCCTAGAAATATTGTCAGATCAAAGGAGACAGGTTATGATGTACTCTTTCTTATTTATCGACAAAGGTTATATTGGACATGTGCAAATGACAGATTTGTTGTAAGAACTCTCTCAGGGCTTTTTCCCTTCACTGGAACTACAGGACTCTGCTTTTGTAAAGCTTGATTGTTGCTATCAATGTGTTCTAGACATGCAGCGTTATTAAAAAAGAAAGACTGTAAAGTCTTCCCTTGTAGAGATGTATTATTAAGACTGTTAATTTTGTTATTTGAAATTTATCACTGTCCTGTTCAGCTGTTGATGCAAAGACTGAACAAGAAGGCTTTTTGTAGTAATATCTATTTGTCTTTCATTTACAATGTTGTTTAATGGCCTTAAATATCTATGCTTAATTTTATACAAAAATGTGTGCAAACAAATTTATTTGAGAATGTAGTAAAGTAATGGATGTCCTAGGTAGTATATATTCTAGAGGACTTGAGCATGATGAAAGGCTTTTTTTTCTGTTTGCAAGAATGCTAAGCATAATTTACAGGCAAAGGTACTGATTTGATATAAATCAAACTGCATCATTGTTTATTATATTTTTTTTACAATCTTCACTGATTTGAATTTATGTCATTTTATTTATCTAAGATATATCTTTGATCATTCTTCATTCCATAGAATACTTCTGTTTGTTATAGATACTTTTTTAATATGATTGGTGCATTGTGCATGTTTAGCGTTAATTTTCTTCAATTTCAATAGGTTACCTCCCTTTATTTATACCCTGAGGTAATTAGTATGGACCCTCTACTCTTCTGCTAAGTTCAGTTGATATGTTATAATAAATAGTCAGTTGAAAGTCTCCATGAACATAAAATATCATCACTGATTGGCTGATATTATCTGATTCTGGGCTTACAGTTTGAATACATCACGTCTTGAAAAGGAAAGTTGTAGAAATTGAGACTACAGGTCGCCTTACTAACCTCAGCTAGTGGGAATTTCCTTTTAGTCGTATGGTAGAGTGTCTGGCTAGACACCAAAGGGTCACTATATCAAACCTGGGTGGTAGGCTATTTTTCATTATTCCTTCATATTACAAAGGTATAGATACATAGGAAAGGTATAGAGGCATTCCAAATGGCTACCTTCCTGTCTCTGCTCAATGACATGATCTTTGTCAGATGATGTATACTTAATTAGGTTGGATATGGGGGTTTATTCTTCACTTGTTTATATTTTATACTTTTGTGTGTTCCAACTGAATACACTTAAAGACTGAAGTTAGAGATGATTCTATTAATAGCCATTTGACTGGTTGTTTTGTAGTGGAGAGTTGAACATATGTTCAATTCATTTTTCATGAGGAAGAAACTGCACAATGAACACACTGATTTTGTTGTTACAAAATAACAGCATTTTTTTTTTTTTTTGGGGGGGGGGGGGGGGGGGGGGGGGGGGGCCAATTGATTGACATTTAGTGTACAGATAACACATTGTATACTTTTCTTTTAAAGTTCTCCTATTTTCTCCAGATAGATATGTTAGTGTTAGGTTTGTTTTTTTTATTAGATTGTCTTGTTGGGCATGTATTGCTGACTTATAAATGTAGGGTGTTACAGGGCCACAACATCTGTCTGTAAGTGTTACAGGGCCACAACATCTGTCTGTATGTGTTACAGGGCCACAACAGCTGTCTGTATGTGTTACAGGGACACAACAACTGTCAGTATGTGTTACAGGGACACAACAACTGTCTGTATGTGTTACAGGGCCACAGCATCTGTCTGTATGTGTTACAGGGCCACAACAGCTGTCTGTATGTGTTACAGGGCCACAACATCTGTCTGTATGTGTTACAGGGCCACAACAGCTGTCTGTATGTGTTACAGGGCCACAACATCTGTCTGTATGTGTTACAGGGACACAGCAGCTGTCTGTATGTGTTACAGGGCCACAACAGCTGTCTGTATGTGTTACAGGGACACAGCAGCTGTCTGTATGTGTTACAGGGCTACAACATCTGTCTGTATGTGTTACAGGGCCACAACAGCTGTCAGTATGCGTTACAGGGCCACAACATCTGTCTGTATGTGTTACAGGGCCACAGAATCTACACAAGGTATCATACAAATGGTGTGTGTCTATATAAGGTATCAAACAAATGGTGTGTGTCTACACAAGGTGTCATACACATTTGTATCTACACAAGGTGTCATACACACAAATGTTGTGTGTCTACACACGGTGTCCTACAAATGGTGTGTGTCTAAACACTGTGTCATACAAATGGTGTGTGTCTACACACGGTGTCATACAAATGGTGTGTGTCTACACACGGTGTCATACAAATGGTGTGTGTCTAGACTAGGCTTCATGCAAATGGTGTGCACACAAAAATTCATATATATGGTGTCTACACATGGTTTTATACATATGGTATGTATCTGCACACGGTGTCATACAAATGGTGTGTGTCTACACACGGTGTCATACAAATGGTGTGTGTCTACACACGGTGTCATACAAATGGTGTGTGTCTACACACGGTGTCATACAAATGGTGTGTGTCTACACATGGTGTCATACAAATGGTGTGTGTCTAGACTAGGCTTCATGCAAATGGTGTGCACACAAAAATTCATATATATGGTGTCTACACATGGTTTTATACATATGGTATGTATCTGCACATGGTTTTATACATATGGTGTCTTTACAGGGTTTCATACATCTGGTATGTATCTGCACATGGTTTCATACAGTTGTGTCTATACATGGTTTCATACATCTGATATGTATCTGCACAAGGTTTCCTACATATGGTATCTACACAAGGTTTCATACAGATGTTGTATACACAGGTTTCCTACAGATGGTGTATACACAAGGTTTCATACAGATGGTATCTGCACATGGTTTTATACATATGGTGTCTATACATGGTTACATACATATGGTGTCTATACATGGTTACATACATATGGTGTCTGTATATGGTTACATACATATGATAGGTATCTGCACAAGGCATTCCTCTTTCAATCATTTTGATGCCTTTGCTTCAAAAAAGCAAGAATTTTTTTAGATGAAGTGAACTTTTATATTGTTCAGTATGTTATTGTGATGAATAAAGGATGTAACTTGCTATTTTGTGTTGCTTGTCACCATTAAAATCACTGTGAGAACATGGCCAGACTGTTTTGAATATAAACTCAGACTTATTGTGTGAAGTTATGAATTTTAGAGCCCTTTTTGATAACTTGTGTTGTATAGCAAGGCCATATTTTAATGATAACTGTTATGGTAATTTTGTCTAGATTATAGTAGACATTCATTAGTCTAATCAAGAAACTAGCACTCAACCAAATGATTGTATGAGTGATAATTTGTCAATCATTGATTTCATCATTGTCACCCATTTTTATGTTTTTGTAACTTGTGGATATGTTACACTAGGAGGGATGAATTTTTGTTACACGGGGTTGTGTAGTTTTACTACAGAATTATTTCATTTGGAGATTAATTTCATCATTAGGGGATAAAATAGATCACTAGAGGGATGGAGGATGGATTTTGTCATGGTGAAGTGTGTTTGTGTTTTAGGGTTCCTTGCTGAAATAAAGCTCAATGTGAAGTGTGTGTTAGAAATATCTCAATGATTGCAATAATAAATTATATTTTGAATATTCATTTTTCAGAATGTGTGACTGAATAATCATAATTTAGTGATAACATTTAGTGATAGCATGGCAAACTGTGGTAAAAAAAAATATAGATAGCTAATGATCTTCAGCAGTTCATTGTAATGAGGATTTTAAAGGTTTCAAACAGTCCAATATACCTGTACATTAAAATTTAAGTCTCCTGTTATTAGATACCAGTAATAGCGACTATTGAAAGCAGTATAAGTTTTTCCTACATAATGCCTGGTAATGACAAGTTCATTTTATTAAAAAAAACCTTTGTGTTAAAGAGTAAAAGCTTGATTTACTAAGATTGATAAATTTCTGTTTTCTTTGATAGCTATCAATATTATTTAATATGATACTGAAAGAATTGAAGTTTTAACCTGATATTTGTCTGTCATAAAATTTGATGTGAAAATACATTTTCAGAATTTGAAGATTTCTCTTTTTGAATTTGAGTTTTGAGTCTTTCATTGATTTTGATTTTTTAAAGAAAATTTGTGTGCGTGTGTAGTCATGGATGGTCTACATGGATGTGCTTTACAGTTATGTATTTACTTTGTATAATAACTATATTTTCTAGTGAAGAATTTTTATATTCATTTATTATTGAACTAATATATAAGATTTCCATCCATTTCCTTTTGTTGGTGATCAACTAATTTGCGTTAATAAATGTACTAAAACATAGATTTTGTTTTTTGTTTTTATTTTCTGGTTAGCCATCACATTATATTCATACGACATCTTCTCAATAACCAGAAGTCTCCAGGTACTGATATTGGTATGAAGGGCTACCAAGTTTGTTGATATGAATGACCTTGGCCTGCTTTTAAGGTCACAGGTCAAATGTGTAGAAATATTTGAACAACTTCTCAATAAACAAAAGGCCTATGGTGCTGATAGTATAATGTAGCATGCGTGAAATAAAGGCTAGTAAGTTTCTTAAAATGAATGACCTTAACTTGCTTTAAAAGTCACAGAAGTCAAATATTTTAATATTACCAATTACCAAATGTCCTTGGTGCTGATATTTGGTCTGTAGTATGCTGGGATAAAGGGCTTCCAAGTTTGTTCACCTTGACCTACTGTTAAGAGCACAGGGGTCAAATGTGTTGAAATGCATAAGCAACTTCTCAATAACCAAAAGGAGAAGGGTTTTGATATTTTGCTTGTAGCTTGCTTTTTTCAACAAGCAATATGTCCAGAGTAATTGCATGTGTAGTGCATGTATAGAGAATATGATTCCAAGTTTGCAAAAATTGTCTTTATGAACCAACTAATGTCTTGTATGTAAACTGTAGTGTAGTTGACCAATTTATATTAGGCCTATTTAGCCTCTTTCTTATATAGGTCTTTAAAGAACTTTACGATGGAGGGGTTTGACCCATGACCAATAAGACTAATGAAGGTAAATCTTAAAAATCATGGATATTAAGGGATAGGGGCAAATAGAGATAAACTTTTGAAATTCTTGTTTTGGTTTTTGTACTGAAAAGTATTATGTTTGAAGTCTGACCTTGTCGACAAAAAGGTGCAACCCTGGTGACCGAGAGGAAGGTACTTCAATTCTCCAGAATCTTCCATGGAGCCCAGTCCAGAATTATTGTTGTTTAAAAAGAGGAGAAAAGTAAAAGAAATTCAGTACAGAAATACATCTTGGAACCAACAACCTGGAAAAATTTCATCGCACCAAGTGTCTTTTCTAAGTCAAAGCATTATACAACATATTGTTGTAGGATTTGTCGGTAATACTAGTAAGTAAACTGATGAATGTCAAAACCAAACATGTTTATCTCTACCAAACTACTTGTGTCTAATTTGTATTCAAATTGTGTATAATAATAATTATTACAATGTCAACCACTGCAATGTAGTGACCTAGGAACCAAAACCCCAGATGTGTTGGCCATATTACTGGGAGACTTGTTTTATTCATCACTCCTTCATTGTGCGATCAAATTGGAATCTTGACAACTTCCTAATGATTATCCATATACACTCCTACCTCTTGACTTCCTGTAGGGAATTTCAGACACTACCTGAGCCCTACATGCTTGAATTGGTGATCAGTGTAACCAGGCCAACATCACACAAGAGATATGGCCAAATTGCCATTTGATAACAAATTTAAAGGGATTTGACATTCTGCAGTGGCACAAAAGGATATTTTTCTCTGTCCATTGTTGAAATACCAAGTCAGTTCCTAAGTATAACCTTCACTTGACCACTGTATACTAAAAATCACTGGTCATACAAGATTGTTATTAGCTCACCTGCCCGAAGGTCAAGTGACCTTTTGCTGCGACATGTTGTCCATCTTCAACTTTTCACTTTAATTGATTTCTTCTGAATAACAGTAACTGTAGGTCAGAGTCATAATGGGCTAGTAACATGCTGGAACAAGGAGCTACCAAGTTTGTTCAAATAAGTGACCTTTACTCGAAGTTCAAAACAATTAACTTATCACACTTTTTATGTGGCTCCTTTGCAATTACCAACAGACCCTGGGGACATGTTAGATGACTTTGTTCAAATGAATCACCTTGGCCTACTTTCAATGTTATCAGACGGAAAAAAAGATAAAACCTTTAAACAACTTTCCAGTTATCAAGAGGCCTTGTGTCAAGACATTAGGCATATAGTAAGCTGGAATGAAGGACACAAATAAACTACCTTGATCCACTCTTCAGGTTACATTAGTAAAATGTGCTGATTTTTTTTTCAAATGTGTTCTTTCAGTAACCTTGTAGCATCTCGGTCATGTTAGGCCACTTGCATTCTGAGATGAAATGCTACAAAGTTATTTCAATCAGCTGTAACATATATGCCATTTAAAAAAAAAAACATGGGTTTTCAATATGAACTAATATGAATATAAAACTGGTGTTTTTTCTTTCGTTAAAAACGAAAGTACACATCACTATGAAATAATTTCAATTTATGGTCTAGATTTGGACGATATTAAAAACAAAATAAGAATGAAGTGACGACCCTTCCGTTATTCGAACTCCCTTTCCTTCTGGTTCGGTTCATCTCTTAGTGTTACAGGCTATGACACATTGAATGCATGGTAGCGACTTCTAAAAAAATACTTGACAAATAGGACGAAAGTATACATATATATAATATTGCTAATTATGCTATGCTGCAAAGTGCCAGAGTAGAGTGCCACTGGCATTGTCGGCAAACAGAAAGTAGGATTTATTAAGAACCGCTAGGTGGCGCTCGCGTACTTCCTGTTACTGGTAAACTTGTGACTTCTCTGCAACGAGTCTGAGTCTCTGCTGATATGGCGATATCTAATTATTCTTAATACGTTACGTTGAAATATGACTTTCAAACACGAGATAAGTGTGTTCAGCTGCAAATTTTATGTTTCAGAGTCTTGTAGAAAATATTTGTCTTGATTACGTACTTTAACAGCGGTGTTGGTAGAAAGGGGGTGGGTCACATCTTGCCCAAATGTAATATTTACATATTGGTCCTTAAAGTGATGTTTTCAGTTAAATATCTTAAATGATTTATGTCAATTCATAATAGAAGTTGGAGATTGTGCGGCAGAATTTCACTGAAGGTCAACGGAAGCATATAGGAAAATGGCTGATTTCTTGGCTGAAAATAATCCATGTGGACAGAACATTTTGAGACTTGTGGCGCGGGGAAGTTCTATCATAGCGGAGCTGTTGAGACTTTCAGAGTTCATACCTCCTGTGTTTCGACTAGACAACCAGGCAGATAAAATAAAATATGGAGAACTCATCAGTGACTTCAGCTATTATAGAAATTCGGAATATTTTGAAAACAAAATTGAATCAAAAGTTGTAAGTATGAATTGAATTATTGAAAGTACATATTACCATGTAACATCATCAGTGCCTACTGTTGGTACATATTGTCACATAGTCTATTTTAGGATTGTTTTAGCAAGTGTATATCTGTATGGATACGTCGTGAATTATTTTATCGAGTGCCTGTGTTATTGTTTATCTTGGGACATGTGTGTGTACCGCTGTCAAGGTGAGTCAATCTATATTTAGCCGTCACACTTGTCCAACCGGTCTGGGGACCTGTTCCAGTGTTAGCATGCGTGGGTCGAACTGTCATATTTGTCGAGTTGTCTTGTATTCTTTATTGTAACAGTTTGTAAGGGGCGTAAGAGTGTGTAAGTCAAGTGGCCATGAGTTTTCTTTGTAAATCGTCCGCCTTTATTCGGACAGACTGAGCTCGTTCGTTGTGCTGTGCAGACGTGTTACTGACACGCTGTTTTACTATTGCTCATGTCTTATCCCATTGTCCCTTTGCTTATTTCATTGTACTCAAACATGTTCAACTGATCCTGAATACACATCTTAAGTGATTTTTCAGTCTTTGAGTGATTTTTCTCATAAATTCGCCCTAAAATGATACATGGCCCACAGGCCGAGTCCCAAACTAATATGTTGAAAATGGCAATTGTCACACATATGATGCTCTGTTTACAGAAAATAAAGTGTATTATTTGTCATAATAATGATATGGTAAAGATTTTCTGAAATCTGCAAGTCAAAGTGTTAATGCTACATCATGATCTGTGACTACATGTATAGTTTTGCTTGCCGTAAGTAATGTTAAGTAAATTTCTCTTTTAATGGATTGATTTGTCTTTACAGGAGCTGCAAGACTTAGACCAAGAGTTCAATGAGAATAATATAGAGATATTGACAAGATTCTATCAGGCATTCGCAAGCGTACACAAATACGTAACCGATTTGAACAGGTTTGTATACATTGTTTATTGCACATCAGATGAACAAAGCTTTTCTGTGAAACTTGATTGCTGACATTTGAGCAGCATTTTTATTTATTCTGTATACCATGTAAAATATTAAGTGGGAGTTATCTATTTGTAAAGTAGTCCTATATTTTTTAAAATGTGGCTAGCGTTTGGTCTCATGTATATGAATTCTCTTAATTTCTAGGGTATTCTGCTTCTCTCCTACTATTTTTTTGTCAAGCTTATACGATCATTTGTCACTCGTGAAAAGTTGGTTGATATATTATGATCACTGATGTTTTCTTTTACAAACTCAGGTTTCTGGAAGATCTAGAGGAAGGTGCTTATATTCAGCAGACTTTGGAAAGTGTTCTTCTGAATGACGATGGGAAACAGCTGATGGTAGAAAGATGGCAATCATCCTGTCAATTATTCCCATGCCATAGATTTTGGCGCAATATTCATTCAAAACATCTGTCTGATTTGTACCTGCAATGTTACTTATATTTTGTGTGGAGAAGTTCATTTTACTTTGTATTTTCAAGTAGAAAGTCAAAAGAATGGTGTAAAAATTTAAAAAAAAACTGAGGAGCAGTTAAAATCAGAATATAGGATATAAACCAGAAAAGGAAAAAAAAAGTATGGAGCATCAATTTAATCTGAATAATATCTGAATGACAACTGTTCAATAAAAACAGCCAGATTTCACAAGTACCTCATTTACATTTAATGAAGACTGGCAAATTGATATCAGTGAGTTTAAGTGTAGGAGCCTGTTTCTAGTGGTAATCATAGAGATACAGAGATTTAAATACTGTTTCAGTGTGTGTGCCAGTTCCTACTGTTAATCAAGGACATGCAGAGATTCAAGTACTGTTTCAGTGTGTGTGCCAGTTCCTACTGTTAATCAAGGACATGCAGAGATTTAAGTACTGTTCCAGTATGAGATTCTATTTCTTATGTTAATCAGTGACATACAGCTAGAGATTTTTTGCCATTCCAGTGTGAGAGCCTGTTCCTGTACGGGGTAATGTTACTGACCATTGACATGAAAATTGATGGAGTAATCCGGGAAAGAATACTGGTTTCTTACTACAGATACAGGTAAATATTGATAAAAAATTACAAAAGATAAATTTTATTATCTAATTTATATACAAATACAACAGGTAATCATTGTTTATATTCAATACACATTTTATAGATGATGTTTGGTTGATATTACTGAGTATTGTCATATCTGGTATATATATTACAGTGCCCAGAAAGCTGCTGCAGCAGATTCCAGTATAGACGATGTCTGTAAACTCTTAAGAAGTACTGGGTACTGTAATTCTGCTGGTGCTAAACGACCACAAAATTATCCAGAATCCTACTTCAGGTTAGTTAACGATTACCAAATAACCTTGACTCCTACATCAGGGGGTTAGAACATGACCACCAAATTACCCAGAATCCTACACCAGACGGTTAGAACATGACCACCAAATTACCCAGAATCCTACATCAGACAGTTATAACATGACCACCTAATTACCCAGAATCCTACTTCAGGGGGTTAGAACATGACCACCAAATTACCCAGAATCCTACACCAGATGGTTAGAACATGACCACCAAATTACCCAGAATCCTACATTGGGAAATTTTTTAACAATATAAAAGAAAACAACCACTTGAGAGATATAGTTCTTCTGTCTGATATTGAATGACCACAGGGGTAAATCACACACATCTTTACCTAGTACTTGAATTCTGTGACATTATTTACAAAATATTTTGGCACACTTTTATCAGATACATTTCATTGATCAGTATGGTGAAAAACTGCATACAAAATGACCTTCAGCTAGCTACATAACAGTTTAAAAATTCTATAAGTTCTCTAAAACAAAATATCCACTCTTTACATATTATACAGAACATAATACAAAAACACTTGAAATATCTTTTTCTCACCAAACACAGTCGTGTTCCACTGCCTGAAGAATTCATTAACATGGTGATCGGCCGGCTGCGATCAGATGACGTATATAACCAGATTTCAGCATATCCACTGCCCGAGCATCGGTCAACAGCTCTAGCCACCCAGGCCAGCATGCTGTATATTATCTTGTACTTTGAGCCAGAGATTCTACACAACCAACAAGCTAAAATGCGGGAGATAGTAGACAAACATTTCCCGGACAACTGGGTAGGTACATTTATCTACATTCATCAGAGAGTCAATTAGTGGATTGGTTGGTATATATTGGTTGTTATATACAGGTTTTACTGTCTGTCTGTAGGTATTAAGGGTATATATGATGGTTGTTATATACAGGTTTTACTGTAGGTATCAAGGGTATATAAGATGGTTGTTATACTCAGGTTTTACTGTAGGTATCAAGGGTATATATGATGGTTGTTATACACAGGTTTTATTGTCTGTAGATATTAGGGGTATATATTGGTTGTTATACACAGGTTTTACTGTCTGACTGTAGATATTAGGGGTATGTATTGGTTGTTATACACAGGTTTTACTGTCTGTCTAGATATTAGGGGTATATGTAATAGTTGTTATACACAGGTTTTACTGTCTGTCTGTAGATATTAGGGGTATGTATTGGTTGTTATACACAGGTTTTACTGTCTGTCTGTAGATATTAGGGGTATATATTGGTTGTTATACAAAGGTTTTACTGTAGGTATTAAGGGTATATAAGATGGTTGTTATACTCAGGTTTTACTGTAGGTATCAAGGGTATATAAGATGGTTGTTATACACAGGTTTTACTGTTTGTAGATATTAGGGGTATATATTGGTTGTTATACACAGGTTTTACTGTAGGTATCAAGGGTATATAAGATGGTTGTTATACACAGGTTTTACTGTAGGTATCAAGGGTATATAAGATGGTTGTTATATACAGGTTTTACTGAAGGTATCAAGGGTATATATGATGGTTGTTATATACAGGTTTTACTGTAGGTATCAAGGGTATATATGATGGTTGTTATATACAGGTTTTACTGTAGGTATCAAGGGTATATAAGATGGTTGTTATATACAGGTTTTACTGAAGGTATCAAGGGTATATAAGATGGTTGTTATACACAGGTTTCTTTTCCTTTCGGTAGGTATTAGGGGTGTATATGGGACTGACAGTGAACCTCCTTGATGCTTGGTCACCCTACAGAGCTGCACTCACTGCCCTAAACAACACACTGGATCAGGCTAATGTCCGTGAGCAGGTGAGTTATGTGAATTTTAGTCTTGTCTTTATTAACTTCCTGCAGATATCACTTCAACCGGTTGCTGTTTTTCACATATTAATTTCCATAGTAATCATGTTTAAGATAGCATGGATATGTTACTTAGCAAGTTCAGTTGGGATTAAGCCCTGTCAGTGAAAACAGAATGAGAAATCTTGTTCTTGCAGTAGGTTTTACCTGGAGTGAAACTGATAAATCACAGATGTTCCATAAAAAGGGGCATGGTGGTAGATAATTGTTTCTCATTTTTAAGATTTTACTTATGCGAAATGATAAATGTTTTACCCAAAACACTCATTTTTGTTTCTGTTCTTTTTTTTGGTAGGCAACAAAGTATGCAACAAAACAGGTGAAACTGAAGCAGCCACTAGAAAAATATCTAAAGGAGGGTGTGCTCACTGAAGAGTTTGTTCTGGACAATATTCCAAAGATGATGAATGTAATGAGAGAGGCAAATGTCACGGTCCGTTGGCTAATGTTACACACTTCACCGCTGTCTCTTAGTGAGTTCCAGGTTTGGGGGTTTTAGCGTAAGGTTTTGTATTTTGGTGAGTGCGACCAATGTCACAGTCTGCTGGGTGATGTTACACACTTCACTGCTGTCTTACAGTGAGTTTCAGACTTTCGGAAATATTGCTGAAGGTTTTGTATTTTCATAGTTAGCTTTATGATGTTTTCATAGGTCAGTAGAATACATCGCGAATCTCACCAATGTTTAACTTACAGAATGTTAGTTTGTTAAATGGTGTTTTTTTTTGTGCAGTAAAGCCATCACATATTTTTTCTGTGTTACTATGTATTTTAAAAATTTGAGTCACTCTAAATATATGTATAATTAAGACCAAACAATGGTGGACGCTAAGATCCCCTGGGATCTCTTGTTTGTACAACAATAATTACTATCCAGGTCTAAATATATAAATCATGTGATGTTGGCTTCCATTCAGTGTTCCATTTATTACATGTAGGTGCAGATGCAAATAAACGTTGTCGGTTGTTACGGGAGCAGGTTCTGGCAGATGCCAAGTACAACCCTCTGGAAACATTTCAGCTTCTCCTCAATATCGGCCAATTTGAATTCAAGCTTAAAGAGGTAAACACAGGACACCCTACAACAAGCCCAAAATGTCATCTCCTCATTATAACTGGATATGATAGTGAATTATAAAACCCAATAATTGTATACTACTGTGTCATATAGTGTCATATAAGTTCATGTCGGGTCGTAACATTCTGGGTAAACCTATCTGAGTGTTTTCTAAGGTGCTTTGTTAGATGGTAACAGTGACGTGCTTGCCTTGTAGATGTTTAAACAGATGTTAGCAGACAAAGAGAAGAAGTGGGAGGAACACAAGAAGGAGGGTAGTGAGAGAATCCAGGAGCTCAGCGAGGTCTTTTCTGGCAGTAAACCCTTAACTAGAGTGGAGAAAAATGGTAATCTCATAATTTAGTAAACACATGAAAAATGTCTTTATTTTTATTACCTAATAGGACATCACATTGATTGTGATGGGAGATAAAGACTTTTACACATTGATATTTTAATGATTGGTTGGTGGTGTGGTAAAAATTGTTTTTTTAATATCAATAAGAGAGACTCACTACACATAATTGAAATATAAAGATTATTTATTTTACAACAATTGTTGAACAAGTCAACTTATACTAATCACTCTTGTTGGCCCGGATGTAAGTGCACAAGGGGTCTTATTGTGGGAGGAAACCGAAGTACCCAGGGAAAACCCACATGGTTGGGAAAGGGACCCTTACCTTTTCACGTCCGTTCCGGGAATCGAACCCAGAACGGCTAGGTGAAAGTGAGTGCATTACCACTGCGCCATCCGACCACCCGTAATTTGAAAATTGTAAAGACTGGAAAATCTTTAAAAACTTGTTTGGGGTTCAAGACTGGAAAATCTTTAAAAACTTGTTTGGGGTTCAGTGAATCTTCTTGTGTGGAGGCTGATTAAACACGATTTGTTTGGAAATCAGAAATGAATTTTTTAGTGGGATCAGACAGCGACCCAGATTGATTTATCAAACATAAGCTGTAGAATCAGTGACTTACATTTGGTTTTACAGATAACTTACAGAACTGGTTCGGTGAAATGGCTAAGCAGATCACATCTCTCAGCTTTGACGATTCTACATCAGCAGGGAGGAAAATCGTACAGCTTATACAGGCCTTGGAAGAGGTGTGTTATCATGTCATTAAGCAGTTACCATTATGAAAATTTTTTCACGCATGTTGTAGAACTTATTCAGACGAAGATGTACATTGTCTTGTGATCACAACATTATTCAGTCCTCGAACTCATAATACAGTGTCATTTCATTAATTCTCTTAAAACTCTTTTTTTTGAGGACACTGCCTTGTTTCTCAGAGAGTCTGAAAGCTTACTGATATCTAGCAGGTTTATCCTGGCCTTACAGCAGTATTCAGCTCAGCAGGATCAGCTGTTTGTTCTTAGCTCTGTCACCTCTTGTGATGAACATTCTCAAGTGGGCTTACTTGGGTAGCACACTGGAGTGGGCTTGTAATGATAGTATCCAGAAAAGGGCTTATTATGGTAGCACCCAGGAGTGGACTTTTAATGGTAGGGTTCCTGAAAGTGCTTACTAGAGTAGCACACTGGAGTGGACTTGTAATGATAGTATCCAGGAGAGGGCTTATTATGGTAGCACACTGGAGTGGACTTGTAATGATAGTATCCAGGAGAGGGCTTATTATGGTAGCACACTGGAGTGGACTTGTAATGATAGTATCCAGGAGAGGGCTTATTATGGTAGCACACTGGAGTGGACTTGTAATGATAGTATCCAGGAGAGGGCTTATTATGGTAGCACACTGGAGTGGACTTGTAATGATAGTATCCAGGAGAGGGCTTATTATGGTAGCACACTGGAGTGGACTTGTAATGATAGTATCCAGGAGAGGGCTTATTATGGTAGCACACTGGAGTGGACTTGTAATGATAGTATCCAGGAGAGGGCTTATTATGGTAGCACACTGGAGTGGACTTGTAATGATAGTATCCAGGAGAGGGCTTATTATGGTAGCACACTGGAGTGGACTTGTAATGATAGTATCCAGGAGAGGGCTTATTATGGTAGAATCTGGAGAAAGCTTTCTAAGGTAGAATCCTGGAGAGGGTTTACTATTGTTACATAATGGTTTTCTAAGACAGCACTCCAGAAAGGGTTTACAGGGGTAGCCCTATAGAGAAGGCTTACAAGGGTAGTCCCCTGGAGAGGGCTTTCAAGGGTAGCCCCCTGGAGAGGGCTTACTAGAGTGGCACTCTAAACAGATAGTATCCTTGAAAGAATTTACTAGTGTGGGTAATTTGGACCCAATGCTAAATATTGATTCCTTGTGAGCAGATGAGGAAAAACTACAATAATAATGACGTTCTTTCACAATTTAATGGATGCCTTGTGACTTCCATTGTGATGTTATATAATCAGTCAATGTTTGGATTGTGTAGTAACCTCACAGTGAGATGAATGTATACATTTTATACAATATTTTTGTGTTTTCAAGGTACAAGAGTTCCATCAGTTAGAGAGTAACCTGCAAGTACGTCAATTTCTGGCAGATACTAGAAAGTACCTGCACCAGATGATACGCACCATCAACATCAAAGAGGAAGTACTTATCACCATGGAGATAGTGGCTGACCTCTCCTACGCCTGGGAAATTATTGATGGGTGGGTAATTTTGTAGAGATAGAAGCTGACCTCTTCTACATCTCAGAAATTATTGATGGGTGGGTAATTTTGTAGAGATAGAAGCTGACCTCTTCTACATCTCAGAAATTATTGATGGGTGGGTAATTTTGTAGAGATAGAAGCTGACCTCTTCTACATCTCAGAAATTATTGATGGGTGGGTAATTTTGTAGAGATAGAAGCTGACCTCTTCTACATCTCAGAAATTATTGATGGGTGGGTAATTTTGTAGCAATAGAGGCTGACCTCTTCTACATCTCAGAAATTATTGATGGAAGGTAATTGTGTAGCAATAGAGGCTGACCTCTTCTACATCTCAGAAATTATTGATGGAAGGTAATTGTGTGACATGAAGTTCAATAGAACTTGCCTCCATACTTAATGTTGATGCTTTATATGGGCTTTTAGTATGTTAATTTGTTCCCTTTACTGAAAATTCAAGATATATAATGTCCCACTTTGTTTCCTTTTAAAGAAAAGAGATTGATTTTTTAAACTTACATGACAATAGGAAGCTGATTATGTCAGTCCTTGAAATGCTGAAATGACAGAACTTTCATTGTTAAACGTCAAAACTTTTGTTATTGTTTAAATGACAAAATTATTTTCATTGTTGAAATGACAAAGTTTTCTCATTATTTAAGTTACAAAGTTTTCTTTATTGTTTAAGTGACAAAACTTTTCTCGTAGTTTAAGAGACAAAACTATCCTTGTTGCTTTAGGTATACTGAATACATGCAGCAGGGTATTAAGAGGGACCCATCTCTCGTCATCAAACTCCGTGCAACCTTTCTAAAGGTGAGGTCATATCACCCTCTCCAAACTTATCAAAGTCAGATCTCAAGCATTTATGGAATATACCAAACATTTCAATCATCCTCATTTTCCTATGGTAACTTGTAACAAAGTGAAATGACAATTAACGAAAAACAATTTTTCCTGTGGTTTTGATTTATTTTTCTGTTATGAAAATGCAGAATACCTTGAATTGAGCTACATTAACTTGTTATAGATGGCATCAGCACTTGACCTACCACTAATGAGGATAAACCTGGCTCTGAGTAAAGATCTGGTCAGCGTGTCACAGTACTACTCTGGGGAACTGGTGGCCTATGTCAGGAAAGTCTTACAGGTAGGTCAGCGTGTCTCAGTACTACTCTGGGGAACTGGTGGCCTACGTCAGGAAAGTCTTACAGGTAGGTCAGTGTGTCTCAGTACTACTCTGGGGAACTGGTGGCCTACGTCAGGAAAATCTTACAGGTAGGTCAGGGAGTCACAATACTTCTCTGGGGAACTTGTAGCCTACATCAGGAAAGTCTTACAGGTAGGTCAGTGTGTCACAGTATTACTCTGGGGAACTGGTGGCTGAACTGAAAATCCTCCTTTTTCAATTTGAAGGAGGTCAAAGTTTATTGTCAAACTTTAATCAAGTGTTCAACAGTTGGTAAATAGATCAGTGTTAATGTACACTTCATGCAAATTCTGGTAGATAATTGTTGTTTGTGGACAGTTTAAGTTTAAGGGGTGATTCAAATAACTTTAATTTTTCTGCAATAAAATATCATAAACGTGAGTTAATACATGTAGGTAGTTCTGAAAATGTAGAAATGGTTGATAAAAGTGCTACCTATTTTTCTAATTTTCTGTTTTGATTAAAATTTCATTAATGAGGAGAGGACTAATTCAGCTATTCCTTGCCAAATATATCAGAATGAACTTGAAAGTATGCTTTATGTTACAGATCATTCCACAGACAATGTTTGGACTACTGTTTCGGATAATTAGTATGCAGACCAACCAAATCAAGGAAGTACCAACACGTCTAGAGAAAGACAAAATGAAGGAATTTGCCCAGCTTGATGAGAGATATGAGGTCTGTTACAGAATATACTAGAGAAAAAATTGGTGGTATTGGTGATGGTTGATATGTAGTAGAGTAAGGTACATCATGAATAGATTAGAGGTAGAGGTGTGTAGATATATAGTAGAGTAAGGTACATCATGAATAGATTAGAGGTAGAGGTGTAGATATGTAGTAGAGTAAGGTACATCGTGAATAGATTAGAGGTAGAGGTGTAGATATGTAGTAGAGTACAGGTACATCGTGAATAGATTAGAGGTAGAGGTGTAGATATGTAGTAGAGTACAGGTACATCGTGAATAGATTAGAGGTAGAGGTGTAGATATGTAGTAGAGTACAGGTACATCGTGAATAGATTAGAGGTAGAGGTGTAGATATGTAGTAGAGTACAGGTACATCGTGAATAGATTAGAGGTAGAGGTGTAGATATGTAGTAGAGTACAGGTACATCGTGAATAGATTAGAGGTAGAGGTGTAGATATGTAGTAGAGTACAGGTACATCATGAATAGATTAGAGGTAGAGGTGTAGATATGTGGTAGAGTACAGGTACATCGTGAATAGATTAGAAGTAGAGGTGTAGATATGTAGTAGACTCCAGGTACATCGTGAATAGATTAGAGGTAGAGGTGTAGATATGTAGTAGAGTACAGGTACATCGTGAATAGATTAGAAGTAGAGGTGTAGATATATAGTAGAGTACAGGTACATCATGAATAGATTAGAGGTAGAGGTGTAGATATGTATTAGACTCCAGTTACATCATGAATAGATTAGAGGTAGAGGTGTAGATATGTAGTAGAGTACAGGTACATCATGAATAGATTAGAGGTAGAGGTGTAGATATGTAGTAGAGTACAGGTACATCGTGAATAGATTAGAGGTAGAGGTGTGTAGATATGTAGTAGAGTACAGGTACATCGTGAATAGATTAGAGGTAATAGATATGTATTAGGAGGTAGAGTAGAGGTGTAGATATGTAGTAGAGTACAGGTACATCATGAATAGATTAGAGGTAGAGGTGTAGATATGTAGTAGAGTACAGGTACATCATGAATAGATTAGAGGTAGAGGTGTGTAGATATATAGTAGACTATAGGTACATCATGAATAGATTAGAGGTAGAGGTGTGTAGATATATAGTAGAGTACAGGTACATCATGAATAGATTAGAGGTAGAGGTGTAGATATGTAGTAGAGTACAGGTACATCATGAATAGATTAGAGGTAGAGTGTGTAGATATGTAGTAGAGTACAGGTACATCATGAATAGATTAGAGGTAGAGGTGTAGATATGTAGTAGAGTACAGGTACATCATGAATAGATTAGAGGTAGAGGTGTAGATATGTAGTAGAGTACAGGTACATCATGAATAGATTAGAGGTAGAGGTGTAGATATGTAGTAGAGTACAGGTACATCGTGAATAGATTAGAGGTAGAGGTGTAGATATGTAGTAGAGTACAGGTACATCATGAATAGATTAGAGGTAGAGGTGTAGATATGTAGTAGAGTACAGGTACATCATGAATAGATTAGAGGTAGAGGTGTAGATATATAGTAGAGTACAGGTACATCATGAATAGATTAGAGGTAGAGGTGTAGATATGTAGTAGAGTACAGGTACATCATGAATAGATTAGAGGTAGAGGTGTAGATATGTAGTAGAGTACAGGTACATCATGAATAGATTAGAGGTAGAGGTGTGTAGATATGTAGTAGAGTACAGGTACATCATGAATAGATTAGAGGTAGAGGTGTAGATATGTAGTAGAGTACAGGTACATCATGAATAGATTAGAGGTAGAGGTGTAGATATGTAGTAGAGTACAGGTACATCATGAATAGATTAGAGGTAGAGGTGTAGATATGTAGTAGAGTACAGGTACATCGTGAATAGATTAGAGGTAGAGGTGTGTAGATATATAGTAGAGTACAGGTACATCATGAATAGATTAGAGGTAGAGGTGTAGATATGTAGTAGAGTACAGGTACATCATGAATAGATTAGAGGTAGAGGTGTGTAGATATGTAGTAGAGTACAGGTACATCATGAATAGATTAGAGGTAGAGGTGTGTAGATATATAGTAGAGTACAGGTACATCATGAATAGATTAGAGGTAGAGGTGTAGATATGTAGTAGAGTACAGGTACATCGTGAATAGATTAGAGGTAGAGGTGTAGATATGTAGTAGAGTACAGGTACATCGTGAATAGATTAGAGGTAGAGGTGTAGATATGTAGTAGAGTACAGGTACATCGTGAATAGATTAGAGGTAGAGGTGTAGATAGTAGAGTACAGGTACATCGTGAATAGATTAGAAGTAGAGATATGTAGTAGAGGTACATCGTGAATGATTAGAGGTAGAGGTGTGTAGATATGTAGTAGAGTAAGGTACATCATGAATAGATTAGAGGTAGAGGTGTAGATATGTAGTAGAGTACAGGTACATCGTGAATAGATTAGAAGTAGAGGTGTAGATATATAGTAGAGTACAGGTACATCATGAATAGATTAGAGGTAGAGGTGTAGATATGTAGTAGACTCCAGTTACATCATGAATAGATTAGAGGTAGAGGTGTAGATATGTAGTAGAGTACAGGTACATCATGAATAGATTAGAGGTAGAGGTGTAGATATGTAGTAGAGTACAGGTACATCGTGAATAGATTAGAGGTAGAGGTGTAGATATATAGTAGAGTACAGGTACATCGTGAATAGATTAGAGGTAGAGGTGTAGATATGTAGTAGAGTACAGGTACATCGTGAATAGATTAGAAGTAGAGGTGTAGATATGTAGTAGAGTACAGGTACATCGTGAATAGATTAGAGGTAGAGGTGTGTAGATATGTAGTAGAGTACAGGTACATCGTGAATAGATTAGAGGTAGAGGTGTAGATATGTAGTAGAGTACAGGTACATCGTGAATAGATTAGAGGTAGAGGTGTAGATATGTAGTAGAGTACAGGTACATCGTGAATAGATTAGAGGTAGAGGTGTGTAGATATATAGTAGAGTACAGGTACATCATGAATAGATTAGAGGTAGAGGTGTAGATATGTAGTAGAGTACAGGTACATCATGAATAGATTAGAGGTAGAGGTGTAGATATGTAGTAGAGTAAGGTACATCATGAATAGATTAGAGGTAGAGGTGTAGATATGTAGTAGAGTACAGGTACATCGTGAATAGATTAGAGGTAGAGGTGTAGATATGTAGTAGACTCCAGGTACATCATGAATAGATTAGAAGTAGAGGTGTAGATATGTATTAGAGTAAGGTACATCATAAACTTGTGAACAATCAGGACAGAAATGAATTAGATTTGTTGTAAAGGGTAGCTTTCTGTACAGCAGTTATAGATTATCAATAAATGACAGAGTTATAATATAGATATTAGAATAGAAATAGAAAAGGTTTCACAGAACCATTTATCTCAGTTCTTGAAATTTTGCTTCTTCAGGTTGCAAAACTGACTCACTCCATTTCTGTGTTTACGGAGGGAATACTGATGATGAAAACTACCTTAGTTGGTATCATTAAGGTAGGCAAGGCATTCCTATTCCAAAGCACCTGTCCTTTATTGTAAAGGCATTCCTATTCCAAAGCACCTGTCCTTTATTGTAAAGGCATTCCTATTCCAAAGCACCTGTCCTTTATTGTAAAGGCATTCCTATTCCAAAGCACCTGTCCTTTATTGTAAAGGCATTCCTATTCCAAAGCACCTGTCCTTTATTGTAAAGGCATTCCTATTCCAAAGCACCTGTCCTTTATTGTAAAGGCATTCCTATTCCAAAGCACCTGTCCTTTATTGTAAAGGCATTCCTATTCCAAAGCACCTGTCCTTTATTGTAAAGGCATTCCTATTCCAAAGCACCTGTCCTTTATTGTAAAGGCATTCCTATTCCAAAGCACCTGTTCTTTATTGTAAAGGCATTCCTATTCCAAAGCACCTGTCCTTTATTGTAAAGGCATTTCTATTCCAAAGCACCTGTCCTTTATTATAAAATTGATGTAATTTCAATGTTGTTTGATCCTGTTTAACAATTTTGAACTAAATGAAATGAGATAAAATTTCGTAGGTAATATTAAGCAGTAGTATAACTTGATGCTGAAACACTGTTTGATTGAATGATAAGTAAGGTCCTTGTGCACTTGTAGGCTTAATTTTGAAAATCATCTTCTACTCGCACAGAAGTCCTATAATGCCAGTGTAAAGGTTTTAACATTGAAGTATATGACTGTTCATATTTGTATAGAGGTTTAAAGAAATAACCACATAAAGCAGTCTTATATCATAATTTAGATGAGCTTTAAATAAAGCAGATTTTTTATGTCTGTAGATTGACCCAAAACAGTTGTTGGAGGATGGAATCAGAAAAGAGCTTGTCCAACAAGTCGCTCTAGCTCTCCATAAGGGACTCATATTTAATCCAAAGGCAAAGGTAATGGTTTGTAGCATACAGCTGTCATAAAGTGTAAGGCAAAGGTAATGATTTGTAGCATACAGCCATCATAAAGTGTAAGGCAAAGGTAATGATTTGTAGCATACAGCCATCATAAAGTGTAAGGCAAAGGTAATGGTTTGTAGCATACAGCCGTCATAAAGTGTAAGGCAAAGGTAATGATTTGTAGCATACAGCCGTCATAAAGTGTAAGGCAAAGGTAATGGTTTGTAGCATACAGCTGTCATAAAGTGTAAGGCAAAGGTAATGGTTTGTAGCATACAGCCGTCATAAAGTGTAAGGCAAAGGTAATGATTTGTAGCATACAGCTGTCATAAAGTGTAAGGAAAAGGTAATGATTTGTAGCATACAGCCGTCATAAAGTGTACGGTAAAGGTACTGAACTGTTTGTAGCATACAGCTGTCATAAAGTGTGAGGCAAAGGTAATGGTTTGTAGCATACAGCTGTCATAAAGTGTAAGGCAAAGGTAATGGTTTGTAGCATACAGCCGTCATAAAGTGTAAGGCAAAGGTAATGGTTTGTAGCATACAGCTGTCATAAAGTGTAAGGCAAAGGTAATGATTTGTAGCATACAGCCATCATAAAGTGTAAGGCAAAGGTAATGATTTGTAGCATACAGCCATCATAAAGTGTAAGGCAAAGGTAATGATTTGTAGCATACAGCCATCATAAAGTGTAAGGCAAAGGTAATGATTTGTAGCATACAGCCGTCATAAAGTGTACGGTAAAGGTACTGAACTGTTTGTAGCATACAGCTGTCATAAAGTGTAAGGCAAAGGTAATGATTTGTAGCATACAGCTGTCATAAGTGTAAGGCAAAGGTAATGATTTGTAGCATACAGCCGTCATAAAGTGTAAGGCAAAGGTAATGGTTTGTAGCATACAGCCATCATAAGTGTAAGGCAAAGGTAATGATTTGTAGCATACAGCCGTCATAAAGTGTACGGTAAAGGTACTGAACTGTTTGTAGCATACAGCTGTCATAAAGTGTAAGGCAAAGGTAATGATTTGTAGCATACAGCCATCATAAAGTGTAAGGCAAAGGTAATGATTTGTAGCATACAGCCGTCATAAAGTGTACGGTAAAGGTACTGAACTGTTTGTAGCATACAGCTGTCATAAAGTGTGAGGCAAAGGTAATGATTTGTAGCATACAGCCGTCATAAAGTGTACGGTAAAGGTACTGAACTGTTTGTAGCATACAGCTGTCATAAAGTGTAAGGCAAAGGTAATGGTTTGTAGCATACAGCCATCATAAAGTGTAAGGCAAAGGTAATGATTTGTAGCATACAGCCATCATAAAGTGTAAGGCAAAGGTAATGATTTGTAGCATACAGCCATCATAAAGTGTAAGGCAAAGGTAATGATTTGTAGCATACATCTGTCATAAGTGTAAGGCAAAGGTACTGAACTGTTTGTAGCATACAGCTGTCATAAAGTGTAAGGTAAAGGCAATTTCTCTCATGTCCAGTGGTTAGGGGTTCACCTAAGAGGTTGCTAATTTGAAATTAGTGGTTGGGCACTTAACTTGAGGGCAAGAGACAGCTAGTTTGAGCTTAGTGGTTAAGGGCTTACCTCAAGGGCAAAATGATGCTAGTTTGAACCCTATGGAAGTGTGCCTAACTTGTGAGCAGGAGACAGCTAGTTTGAGCCCAGTATCTGGGTGCTCACCTTCAGGATAAGAGGCTGCTGGTTTGAATCCTGTGGTAGGGTGACCAAATTGAGGGAAACATGTGTCCAGTTTGATCCCGTTATTATTTCTCATTCTTTTACACAGTATTTTGTGATTAACTTGATTCCTTTGATATTTGTATATCTCAGAAATAACTCCTCTGTATCAGGATCAAGTTTTGACAGAGAAATGTAGTATTAAATTGCTATTATTATCAGAAATTCCTGTATCAGGATATGACAGAGAAATGTAGTATTAAATTGCTATTATTATCTCTTGTGATATATATCTCAGAAATAACTCCTCTGTATCAGGATCAAGTTTTGACAGAGAAATGTAGTATTAAATTGCTATTATTATCTCTTGTGATATATATCTCAGAAATAACTCCTCTGTATCAGGATCAAGTTTTGACAGAGAAATGTAGTATTAAATTGCTATTATTATCTCGTGATATATCTTGTGATATATATATTAAAATATTATCTCTTCTGATATATATCAGAAATAATCAAGTTTTGACAGAGAAATGTAGTATAAAATTGCTATTATTATCTCTTGTGATATTGTTCTGTAGTCGAGCGAGTTACTGCCACGCCTGCATGCCTTAGGTGAGAGGATGGACGGCTTCAGACGCTCTTTTGAGTACATACAAGATTATGTCAACATCTACGGACTTAAAATCTGGCAAGAGGAAGTATCACGCATCATCAATTACAATGTAGAACAAGAATGTAACAGCTTTCTAAGGACAAAGGTTAGTAGGTCAAGGATGAATGTATAATACCTGAAGGTCAAAAGGTCAGGTCAAGGGTGAATGTATAACACCTTAAGGTCAAAAGGACAGTAGGTCAAGGGTTAAAACAAAGGTCAAACAGCAGGTCTTACTTGGAAAAATCCAATATATAATATTGTGTTTAATATATATAAATATATATGTATACATGTGTAATATCATAATATCTGTAGCAATGTGTCATATACTGATGTGTAACCACCCCTAACATGTGTTATAAGGTCCTCTTTTGATTTGTGATGTTGTCCTTACGTTGGGGACAGAAATATTGATTGCTTGAGCATTGTGTCTTGTTAATTATAAAGGTTCTAGACTGGCAGAGTGTGTATCAGTCAACAGCGATTCCAATCCCACGCTTCCTGCCTGTCGATGAGAGCGTCAACTTTATAGGCAGGCTGGCAAGGGAGATAATCAGGATCACTGATCCCAGGTGAATTGATTCACAGAAATTTATTAGTTATAATCTTATATAGATATTTTATAGATAAAAGTATTTAGTAGATATAATCTTATATAGTTATTTTATAGATAAAAGTATTTAGTAGATGTAACCTTATATAGTTATTTTATAGATAAAAGTATTTAGTAGTAATAATCTTATATATATATTTTATAGATAAAAGTATAGTAGATATAATCTTATATAGATATTTTATAGATAAAAGTATAGTAGATATAATCTTATATAGTTATTTTATAGATTAAAGTATTTAGTAATGTAATCTTATATAGTTATTTTAAATAAAAGTATTTAGTAGATGTAATCTTATATAGTTATTTTATAGATAAATTTAGTAGATGTAATCTTATATAGTTATTTTATAGATAAAAGTATTACGTAGATGTAATCTTATATAGTTATTTTATAGATGAAATCGTTTTGTAAAGCTCTATATGCTATAAATGACTTCTTCCTATTCAGGGTGACATGCTACATCGACCAGATGAAATCCTGGTATGACTTAAAGACGAAGCAGGAACTTGTCAACAGGAACCTGTTCCAGCAGTTACAGGTAAGTGTCACTCATACGTATCTACAAAAAACAGGATTGTACCTGTTCCAGCAGTTACAGGTAAGTGTCACTCATACGTATCTACAAAAAACAGGATTGTACCTGTTCCAGCAGTTACAGGTAAGTGTCACTCATACCCATCCATCCACAACAACAGGATTGTACCTGTTCAGCAGTTACAGGTAAGTGTCACTCATACCCATCCATCCACAACAACAGGATTGTACCTGTTCCAGCAGTTACAGGTAAGTGTCACTCATACCCATCCACAAAAAACAGGGTTTTATAGGTACTGTCTATAAAACTCATAGATAGATCTACAGATCTGGAATTTGTGCTGGGTACTTAATCCTTCAAAGAGTTATATAATTTGGTACACATCTTAAGTAATGAATATTCTTTAATATTTAGAAAATGATAATGAAGGTTTTGTGGGTCCAAAAGGCAGAACATCTGTGGAATTTGTGTTTGTCTGATCTAAATTGACAGTAAGGAACCATTTTTTTTTTTTGACAGAGGGCAGTAGGAAGCTTTGGACTGGCGGGTCTAGATCGATTACTGTGCTTCATGATTGTGAAGGAACTACAAATTTACCAGCAGCTGTTTAAACGAAACCTGAAGAACCCTAAGGATCGCTCTCTATACGAGACATTTGCGTTGTATGTGAAGAGTTTGAACCCAGTCTCCAATGTTGTTGGTAAGTTACTTCACAGCCATCTACCGGTCATTTTGAAGTTGCTTTAACAATATCTAATAATAAAGACATTGTTGAAATAATCACAAGTACTCTGCAAAACAAAATCATGAAAGTAAACAGGTTTAAATAGTAATTCAAACACGTATCAACTAAAGTGGGCTTTGATGAAGGAAGTTTTCAACACCACTAAGATTTAATGATCAATTGTGTATGACAAACTGACACGTTCAGTATTATTTTACTGATGTATAGGTAAGGCTTGTGTGCTAAGATCTAATGATCAATTGTGTATGACAAACTGACACGTTCAGTATTATTTTACTGATGTATAGGTAAGGCTTGTGTGCTAAGATCTAATGATCAATTGTGTATGACAAACTGACACGTTCAGTATTATTTTACTGATGTATAGGGAAGGCTTGTTTGTTAAGATCTAGTGATCAGTTGTGTATGACAAACTGACACGTTCAGTATTATTTTACTGATGTATAGGGAAGGCTTGTTTGTTAAGATCTAGTGATCAGTTGTGTATGACAAAGTGACACGTTCAGTATTATTTTACTGATGTATAGGGAAGGCTTGTTTGTTAAGATCTAGTGATCAGTTGTGTATGACAAAGTGACACGTTCAGTATTATTTTACTGATGTATAGGGAAGGCTTGCAAAACAAGATCTAGTGATCAGTTGTGTATGACAAAGTGACACGTTCAGTATTATTTTTGATGTATAGGGAAGGCTTGTTTGTTAAGATCTATGATCAGTTGTGTATGACAAAGTGACACGTTCAGTATTATTTTACTGATGTATAGGGAAGGCTTGTTTGTTAAGATCTAGTGATCAGTTGTGTATGACAAAGTGACACGTTCAGTATTATTTTACTGATGTATAGGGAAGGCTTGTTTGTTAAGATCTAGTGATCAGTTGTGTATGACAAAGTGACACGTTCAGTATTATTTTACTGATGTATAGGGAAGGCTTGTTTGTTAAGATCTAGTGATCAGTTGTGTATGACAAAGTGACACGTTCAGTATTATTTTACTGATGTATAGGGAAGGCTTGTTTGTTAAGATTGAATGATTGATTTGATATTTGTTATGTAGCTGTTACCAGCGAAGTCTAAATCAACATTCGTTTTTTTTTCCTAGGTCAGCCACAAAAAATGTATTCCCAGATGATCTCCAAGACATCACGTCTCTGGCAGCCATTTTTAGATATAATTCTCAGGGTATTTGTCTTATTAATCCACCTAACACATCCACAACCCAGACACAACCAATCCGCTCGTCCACAACCCAGACACAACCAATCCGCTCGTCCACAACCCAGACACAACCAATCCGCTCGTCCACAACCCAGACACAACCAATCCGCTCGTCCACAACCCAGACACAACCAATCCGCTCGTCCACAACCCAGACACAACCAATCCGCTCGTCCACAACCCAGACACAACCAATCCGCTCGTCCACAACCCAGACACAACCAATCCGCTCGTCCACAACCCAGACACAACCAATCCGCTCGTCCACAACCCAGACACAACCAATCTGCTCGTCCACAATCCAGACACAACTATTCCATTTGTTCCACAACCCAGACACAACCAATCTGCTCGTCCACAATCCAGACACAACTATTCCATTTGTTCCACAACCCAGACACAACCAATCTGCTCGTCCACAACCCAGACACAACCAATCTGCTCGTCCACAATCCAGACACAACTATTCCATTTGTTCCACAACCCAGACACAACCAATCCACTCGTCCACAACCCAGACACAACCAATCCGCTCGTCCACAACCCAGACACAACCAATCCGCTCGTCCACAACCCAGACACAACCAATCCGCTCGTCCACAACCCAGACACAACCAATCTGCTCGTCCACAATCCAGACACAACCAATCCGCTCGTCCACAACCCAGACACAACCAATCCGCTCGTCCACAACCCAGACACAACCAATCTGCTCGTCCACAATCCAGACACAACTATTCCATTTGTTCCACAACCCAGACACAACCAATCTGCTCGTCCACAATCCAGACACAACTATTCCATTTGTTCCACAACCCAGACACAACCAATCTGCTCGTCCACAACCCAGACACAACCAATCCGCTCGTCCACAACCCAGACACAACCAATCCGCTCGTCCACAACCCAGACACAACCAATCTGCTCGTCCACAACCCAGACACAACCAATCTGCTCGTCCACAATCCAGACACAACCAATCTGCTCGTCCACAACCCAGACACAACCAATCTGCTCGTCCACAACCCAGACACAACCAATCTGCTCGTCCACAATCCAGACACAGCTAAGCTGGTTGTTCCACAACCCAGACACAACTATTCCATTTGTTCCACAACCCAGACACAACTAATCCGCTTGTCCACAACCCAGACACAACTATTCCATTTGTTCCACAACCCAGACACAACTAATCCGCTTGTCCACAACCCAGACACAACTATTCCATTTGTTCCACAACCCAGACACAACTAATCCGCTTGTCCACAACTTAGACACAACTATTCCATTTGTTCTACAACCCAGACACAACTAATCCGCTTGTCCACAACCCGGACACAACTAATCCGCTTGTCCACAACCCAGACACAGCTAATCCATTTGTCACTCTGTGCATGCGTTCCCCTTGATCTCTCTGTGTGTAGGTGTCCCCTCTGTGTGTAGGTGTATCTCTGTGTGTAGGTGTCCCTCTGTGTGTAGGTGTCCCCTCTGTGTGTAGGTGTCCCTCTGTGTGTAGGTGTCCCTCTGTGTGTAGGTGTCCCCTCTGTGTGTAGGTGTACCTCTGTGTGTAGGTGTCCCTCTGTGTGTAGGTGTCCCCTCTGTGTGTAGGTGTCCCCTCTGTGTGTAGGTGTCCCTCTGTGTGTAGGTGTCCCTCTGTGTGTAGGTGTCCCTCTGTGTGTAGGTGTCCCCTCTGTGTGTAGGTGTACCCTCTGTGTGTAGGTGTCCCTCTGTGTGTAGGTGTCCCTCTGTGTGTAGGTGTCCCTCTGTGTGTAGGTGTCCCCTCTGTGTGTAGGTGTCCCTCTGTGTGTAGGTGTCCCTCTGTGTGTAGGTGTCCCTCTGTGTGTAGGTGTCCCTCTGTGTGTAGGTGTCCCCTCTGTGTGTAGGTGTCCCTCTGTGTGTAGGTGTCCCTCTGTGTGTATGTGTCCCCACTGTGTGTAGGTGTCCCTCTGTGTGTATGTGTCCCCTCTGTGTGTAGGTGTCCCTCTGTGTGTAGGTGTCCCTCTGTGTGTAGGTGTCCCTCTGTGTGTAGGTGTCCCCGCTGTGTGCAGGTGTCCCTCTGTGTGTAGGTGTGTGTTTTAACATCAGAATGATTATGAATTCTTTCATTGGGCTACATAATTTGATAGAAATGTATGTTTGTATGTCATGTCCTATACAGTTAATATTTCTATAAAGGAAATACACTGTATTTAGAATCCTAAAGAAAGGTGTGTAGATATGTATGTGGTTTTTATGGTCCAACATCTTCACACCTCACCTAGTCATGTCAACATAGGTCAGAGTATATATGTGTACAATCATTTGGTTTTTATTTGTATCTAGGTCGGCCAGATGCAATTGCTGAGGAAACAAATCCAACACGAACTTAGCACATCCTGTAAGTTTGACTCCAAGTTCCTGGCCACCGGTTTACAGACCATGAACACGTGAGTCACTCTGGAATTATGTGTACCAGAAATGTGTTAGGTCAGATCATGATGTGTGAGTGTTAGTCTTAGAAACAGATTGTAGTGTCTTGTATAGAAACAGATCATGGCATCTTTGTGTAGCTCTTTGGAACAGATTGTTATGTGTGTGTGTTGTTCTTGCCACACATTGTTAAAATTAAAAATCCAAAAGTATATATTTTTAGTCATTACTCAGCAAAATCTTGAATTCATGTCCTAAATTGACAAGAAAAACATGATTTGATGCCTTTTGATGTCTTCTGTGTTAAATTCATCCATCCAACACCTTGAACATTGCACTTTTACTGTACATCATACAGGCAACATTTATCTGACTTTTGTTGACATATTTTTTATCATTGACGAGTCGTTGTCATTGTGGTAATTTATAAGTTGATCTGGAGATCTCCAATGACAATATCAGCTGATCTCTTCTTAACTTGAGGGCTTTGTAACTCTAACATGGAATTATCCTTTGTCATTATCATTTCATTTCCATATTTGTAATCATTTCAATACAGTGACTTATTTCTTTTTGACCTGGGACAGTCATGTATTATTACCCATCCCCTTCCAATGCTCGTGTTGATGGAGTTATGTCCCTTTATCTTCTTAAGAAGATTGAAGAGCAAAAATTGAGCCTAATGCTGGTGTTGTAGGGCCTTGCTGGCAGATATAGAGAGACATTATCAGGACCCTACTCTTCCTTACCCTAAGGAGGAAAACCCACTTATGTTTGAACTGGCAGCATACCTGGAGTCTGCTGGTCTGCACAATCCTCTAATGAAGGTAAGTCATGATAGAAAAAATAGAATATCAATGGTCATTCAAACTGTAGCTTATTTGGTCATCTGACATGGAGGGTCAGGGTGTCTATAGCCATCATGTTTCGCCAACTGCCATGCGTAAACTTTTTACATTTTGAACTTTTCAAGTTCACACTGTGGGATTGAGCTGAAACTTGCTTGAAATAATCTTAAGATGGTCCTGACCAGTTGTATTATTTGAGTTGTACCAAAAACAATATGGCTGCCATAGCTGCCATCTTGGAAAACACATTTTCAAACTTCTTCTTCAGTGCTCAGATGCCATGGAACTAAAATTTTTTGGGAATGGTAAGAAACTGAAATGAAGAGAGGTTTTGCCTTTTGTCCGTCCGTCCGTAAACAATTCTTGTTACCGCTATTTCTGGAAAAGTACTGGATGGATCTTTGTCAAATGTCATATGCAGGTTCCCCTTGGTCCCTAGTTGTGCATTGTACCTTTTTTGAACTGATTCACATTCAAGATGGCCAACAGGTGGCCATCTTGGATTTTGGAAGTAAAAGTTTGTTACCACTATTTCTGGAAAAGTACTGGATGGATCTTTCTCAAATTTCATATGCAGTTTCCCCTTGGTCCCTAGTTGTGCATTGTACCTTTTTTGGACTGATTCGAATTCAAGATGGCCGACAGGTGGCCATCTTGGATTTTGGAAGTAAAAGTTTGTTACCGCTATTTCTGAGAAAGTACTGGATGGATCTTCCTCAAATTTCATATGCAGTTTCCCCTTGGTCCCTAGTTGTGCATTGTACCTTTGTTGGACTGATTCGAATTCAAGATGGCCGACAGGCAGCCATCTTGGATTTTGGAAGTAAAAGATTGTTACTGCTATTTCTTGGAAAGAACTGGATGGATCTTTCTCAAATTTCATATGCAGGTTCCCTTTGGTTCCAAGTTGTGCATTATGCCTTTTTGGACTGATCTGAAATCAAGATGGCCGACAGGTGGCCATCTTGAATTTTGAGAGTAAAATCTTTTTACTGCTATATCTGAGGAAGTCCTGGATGGATCCTTCCCATATTTCATAGATATTGGTTTCCCTTGGTCCCTAGTTGTGCATTGTACCTTTTTTGGACTGATTTGAAATCAAGATGGCCCACAGGCAGCCATCTTGGATGTCGACAGTAATACAGCACAAGCATATTGTCCATTATTCACCTGTAACTGACTGCTATCTAATAATACTTTGGGATCTTTTTCAAATGATATTTGCTAATAGGTGCTTAATAAAAATATCTTGTGCCATCATTGAGTACATTCAATGAAGACCAGTTCATGAACATTTACAACACCTGTAACAAAAAAAAATATAAACAAATCTTCAAGAACTGAAAACAGATCCTCAAATGGTGGGCGCCAAGATCCCTCTGGGATTTCTTGTTAAGTTGACTAATTGTATTGCTTGATTGACATTTGAAAAATCTCATTTCAGTGATCATTATTTCTTTTTCAGATTTACATCACCACAGAAAGATTGCCATGTTTCTCCATATTCAACTTCCTGTTGGTAGTGTCTCACCTCCCCAAACTTGTCTACAGCAAGTCACTCAGTAAGTACTGTTATATCTAACTTCCTGTTGGTAGTGTCCCACCTCCCCAAACTTGTCTACAGCAAGTCACTCAGTAAGTACTGTTATATCTAACTTCCTGTTGGTAGTGTCTCACCTCCCCAAACTTGTCTACAGCAAGTCACTCAGTAAGTACTGTTATATCTAACTTCCTGTTGGTAGTGTCTCACCTCCCCAAACTTGTCTACAGCAGGTGCCTCATTAAGTACTGTTATATCTAACTTCCTGTTGGTAGTGTCCCACCTCCCCACACTCTGCCTTCAGCAGGTGCCTCAGTAAGTACTGTTATATCTAACTTCCTGTTGGTAGTGTCCCACCTCCCCACACTCTGCCTACAGCAGGTGCCTCATTAAGTACTGTTATATCTAACTTCCTGTTGGTAGTGTCCCACCTCCCCACACTCTGCCTACAGCAGGTGCCTCAGTAAGTACTGTTATATCTAACTTCCTGTTGGTAGTGTCCCACCTCCCCACACTCTGCCTACAGCAGGTGCCTCATTAAGTACTGTTATATCTAACTTCCTGTTGGTAGTGTCCCACCTCCCCACACTCTGCCTACAGCAGGTGCCTCATTAAGTACTATTATATCAAACTTCCTGTTGGTAGTGTCCTGCTGAATATGTACAATGTATTAAAAGCATTAAGGAATGTACTGTTATGTAATTACATTTTAGGTGGTATGGTTAGTAAGAAACTGACTGACCCTCTGGACGGCCCACCATTTGTGACGGGATGTGTGACACTGCTAAAACAGTTCCATTCAGAAAGTACTTCTCATTTCCTGGCTTACCTTGGACAATATGTCCGTTCCATCGTGGAAGTCTTGCCAGTGTAAGTCCTGTTTTTTGCTCAAACAGCTTATAATTGCTACTTAGTCTGTCCATCAGTTTTTTTCTTGTCCAGAGCATAACTTTCCTTTCATTGAAAGTTCAAGGATGATGAAACTTGGGTGTATATTGGTCATACTAAGAGGATATGCAGTGTACCAAAGTTGTGGCTTACAACCCCCCTTATAACAGAGTTATTGCCCTTTGTTAAAATATCATGTTTAGTGCATAACTTTGCTTCCAATCAAACTTTAAGGATACTGAAACTTGATGTATGCTTTAATAATGACAATGTGCAGTATACAGAAGTGAGTGCCCAAACCCCTTAATGATAGAGTTATTGCCCTTTGTTAAGATTTTGTTTTCAGGACATAACTTCGCTTTCATTCAAAAAGGGCCAATGAAAATTGGTGTATACTTTGTTTTTATCAATTTGATGTGCATTGTATGAAAGTCAGGGCCTGCAAACCCCTTAATTACAGTGTTATTGTTTTTGTTAAAATTTTGTGTTTGGGACATAACTATATTTTGAATCGAAGCTAATGAAACTCAAAATGTTCAGAAACAGATTGAAAGCCTTTAATCTTTTAACTTTTGATTATCTCCCTTACAAGTTACAATACCAAAATATTTATAAACACACATACTAGTAATGACCAATGCTTATTTCAGTGTCATGCTGAGTGAATTATGTCCTTATTTTCATTGCACAAGCATAAATAAATATGTACCATATTTCACCACAAATAAGCCACCTCCCGCAAATAAGCCCCCCACCACTTTTTCTAATTTGCCAGGAATAGGGGGGTATATAATATGTTTAGATAAGTAAATATGTAAGATGTTTACATAAATACATATGTATGTAACATATTGACATAATAAATATGTATATGTTTACAAAAAATATGTATATGTTTTCAAAAATATGTAATATGTTTACATAAATATGTAATATGTTTACATAAATGTATGTTTACTTAAATATATATATAAGATATTTACATAAATACATATATATGAAACATAAATCAATATTGTTCTTTCTTCTTCTAAACTTTCCACATGACAAAGCTCACAGACAGTACAAGCTTCCAATGAAGTTGTTTTCGGGACACATTCATCAGTTCTAAAGATAGGCCTCTCGTTTTCATACAAATCGTAGAATTTCTTGATGGTTGATTGATTACAGATTTTCAGTCTCCATGACTACTCCCGCTGACAGGTATTGTCTCACCGACGAATGTCATTGTCCTGGGGTCGTGTTCTATCTTGATAAATATGTTAATTACATACCTGTTAAATCTGACACAAGGGATATAGAGATCTATTCATGATGAAAACATTTAATGTTTACAGCACCAAGTCCCAAGATGCACCACAAGATGTTTTGAATACCCTAGTCTTCCTAGAGGATTTCCTGTTTTACAGTGGTCTTTCTAGAAAGGTAAGTCTGCCCTGTATATACAGACCACCTATCTTTACAGTGGTCTTTTAAGAAAGGTGGGTCTGCCCTGTATATACAGACCACCTATCTTTAACAGAGGTCTTTCTGGAAAGGTAAGTATGTCCTGCATATACAGACCACCTATCTTTACAGTGGTCTTTTAAGAAAGGTAGGTCTGCCCTGTATATACAAACCACCTATCTTTAATAGAGGTCTTTCTGGAAAGGTAAGTATGTCCTGCATATACAGACCACCTATCTTTACAGTGGTCTTTTAAGAAAGGTAGGTCTGCCCTGTATATACAGACCACCTATCTTTAACAGAGGTCTTTCTGGAAAGGTAAGTATGTCCTGCATATACAGACCATCTGTCTTTTAGAGTGGTCTTTCTATAAAAGTAGGTCTGCCCTGTTTATAGAGACCATCTTTCTCTTACAGTAGTCTTTCTAGAAAGGTAAACTACCCTGTATATACAAACCACCTGTCTTTAACAGAGGTCTTTCTAGGAATGTAAGTTTGCCCTGTATAGACAGATTATCGACCTATAAAGTATTTCTTGTTGTAACAGAGTTTAGATAGTTTAGAATCGTAAATATTTTACGAAGAGAAACATATATGATGTCCCATTGGCGTTAGCTGTGATTGGCTAAGTGAAAACTTTAAAACATTTAAAATCATTTCATAATCCTGAAGTCAGATATCTTTTGATAAATACAGGATTAATATGGGTTTATAAAGAAATGCCACACTGTAGCCTAGATAATGAGTAAATAACTCTTGTGTATATTATTTTTCATTCAATTTCAGGCTCTGGATGCACATGTGCCAACCTACATATTTGATGAGTTTAGGAGCCAGTTTTCCCAATAACTTTGTAACCAACTTTTTAGTGCAATATTTTAGAGGTACCAAGTGCTGTAGATTAAAGTCGGAGGATGACCTTGTACTTAAGGTTCAGTCTCCAGGAACATAGATGTGATGATACATTCCATTACTGAATTCTCTGTACAAGCATTGATCTAATGGCATCATTACAATATAACAGTATCATCAGAATCATATCTGTTTTCCTGTAGTCAAGCTGTTAGCTTGTTTACAGTGGAAACGTTCATCATCCATAGCTTTGTTACATTGATGAAACTTTATTCTCTTTCTCAATCAGCAATTCTTATACAAAACTATTTTTTTACAGATAATTGTTCTTGCAAAAAAAAAAAATTTAAATATTAAGATTACCAGGTATGAAGTCGCCCATGAAATCAAGCCGAACAAATGTGATGTTTATTTTAATTTACAATAATGGTTGCTGAAATGCAACTCCTACCGTTTGGTGATGTATTATAAGTCATGGATGAATTGTGGACAAATTGCTAAGTTTGTGATTATGTCTGTTAACAAGATATCAGCAGACTTCCTAACCATATGTAGGGCAAGTGTGATAATGATATCTGCTGTGTTAGTAAGTGGAACACAGATACTGTTTTTATGAATGACTGGGTTCAGTAAAAGTGAAGAATTAATGTAGAAAAGAATTGATCTTACATTACTCTTACTACGGTAAAGATGAAAACGAGACAAGAAAAGATAGAAGTTTAAATACATTATTATTGTCAAAGAACAAGTCACCTAATACTATATATGTTGGGTCTTCTTCAAAATGAAAATTCTAGGGCCATAATACTGGATTAGTAGCATGCTTGATGTGGATGTTATGAAGTTTGTTTAAATGAATGACCTTGACCCACTTTTGAAGCCAAAGGAATAAAATTGCTTAAACATTGTTTTCTGATTAACCTGTAGCCCAGAGTACAACCTTGACGTTTGGATGGCCGATATAAAAGGCCATATAGATAGGGATTAAAAGGAAGGACCTCTTGGGGGAAATTTATAGGTTACAGAATTACAGGGAGTTATAAATTATTTAAGATATTAAGATATATATAGAAACAATATATTGAATTCATATGAATTTTAATTAAGCTCACAGTCGAGTTAACTGAAGAGAGACAATTCACAGAGTTTTTTATGCAGGCACTCAGGACCAGTTGTTAATGCTTACAGAGTCTAAGAGTATGAGTGAGTGATACAGGCCTACTGGACCTGTTGTCATTGTTACATGTGCTGTATTGATTATAAGAGTACTAGTGAGTGATACAGGCTAATTGAGCCTCGTGCCACAAGAACAAAATAAATCTGAGTAAAAAAAATCTTGTTTTGTGGATTTCTCTTTTCATATATGAGAATAGAAAATAAAACAAATCACAGCAGCACCAATGATAATTTATTTGAGAAGATATACATACATAATCAGTCCTTTAATTAAATAATAGTAAATCAACAAGATTAACAACCATTATCACAATTTATTGTAACATCTTTCTTCAAACAAAGTCTACCCCAGAAAAAGTACCCCTAGTACAGGGGGTAGTGATAACAAGTCTACCCCAGATAAAGTACCCCCTAGTACAGGGGGTAGTGATAACAAGTCTACCCCAGATAAAGTACCCCCTAGTACAGGTGGTAGTGATAACAAGTCTACAGACAAAGTCTACCTCAGATAAAGTACCCCCTAGTACAGGTGGTAGTGATAACAAGTCTACCCCAGATATAGTACCCCTAGTACAGGGGGTAGTGATAACAAGTCTACAGACCAAGTCTACCCCAGATAAAGTACCCCCTAGTACAGGTGGTAGTGATAACAAGTCTACCCCAGATAAAGTACCCCTTAGTACAGTTGGTAGTGATAACAAGTCTACAGACCAAGTCTACCCCAGATAAAGTACCCCCTAGTACAGGGGGTAGTGATAACAAGTCTACCCCAGATAAAGTACCCCTAGTACAGGTGGTAGTGATAAGTCTACCCCAGATATAGTACCCCTAGTACAGGGGGTAGTGATAACAAGTCTACAGATGAAGTCTACCCCAGATAAAGTACCCCCTAGTACAGGGGGTCATGATAACAAGTCTACAGACAAAGTCTACCCCCGATAAAGTACCCCCTAGTTCAGGGGGTAGTGATAACAAGTCTACCCCAGATAAAGTACCCCCTAGTACAGGTGGTAGTGATAACAAGTCTACAGACGAAGTCTACCCCAGATAAAGTACCCCCTAGTACAGGTGGTAGTGATAACAAGTCTACCCCAGATAAAGTACCCCTAGTACAGGTGGTAGTGATAACAAGTCTACCCCAGATAAAGTACCCCCTAGTACAGGTGGTAGTGATAACAAGTCTACAGACGAAGTCTACCCCAGATAAAGTACCCCCTAGTACAGGTGGTAGTGATAACAAGTCTACCCCAGATAAAGTACCCCCTAGTACAGGTGGTAGTGATAACAAGTCTACCCCAGATATAGTACCCCCTAGTACAGGTGGTAGTGATAACAAGTCTACCCCAGATATAGTACCCCTAGTACAGGTGGTGGTGATAACAAGTCTACCCCAGATATAGTACCCCTAGTACAGGTGGTGGTGATAACAAGTCTACCCCAGATATAGTACCCCTAGTACAGGTGGTAGTGATAACAAGTCTACCCCAGATAAAGTACCCCTAGTACAGGTGGTAGTGATAACAAGTCTACCCCAGATATAGTACCCCTAGTACAGGTGGTGGTGATAACAAGTCTACCCCAGATATAGTACCCCCTAGTACAGGTGGTAGTGATAACAAGTCTACAGACAAAGTCTACCTCAGATAAAGTACCCCCTAGTACAGGTGGTAGTGATAACAAGTCTACCCCAGATATAGTACCCCTAGTACAGGTGGTGGTGATAACAAGTCTACCCCAGTAGTGATAGTACCCCTAGTACAGGTGGTAGTGATAACAAGTCTACCCCATATATAGTAACCCTAGTACAGGTGGTAGTGATAACAAGTCTACCCCAGATAAAGTACCCCTAGTACAGGTGGTAGTGATAACAAGTCTACCCCAGATATAGTAACCCTAGTACAGGTGGTAGTGATAACAAGTCTACCCCAGATATAGTAACCCTAGTACAGGTGGTAGTGATAACAAGTCTACCCCAGATAAAGTACCCCCTAGTACAGGTGGTAGTGATAACAAGTCTACCCCAGATATAGTACCCCCTAATACAGGTGGTAGTGATAACAAGTCTACCCCAGATATAGTACCCCTAGTACAGGGGGTCATGATAACATATCTTCAAACAAAGTCTACCCCAGATAAAGTACCCCCTAGTACAGGTGGTAGTGATAACAAGTCTACCCCAGATAAAGTACCCCTAGTACAGGTGGTAGTGATAACAAGTCTACCCCAGATATAGTACCCCTAGTACAGGTGGTAGTGATAACAAGTCTACCCCAGATATAGTACCCCCTAGTACAGGTGGTAGTGATAACAAGTCTACAGACAAAGTCTACCCCAGATAAAGTACCCCCTAGTACAGGTGGTAGTGATAAAAAGTCTACAGACGAAGTCTACCCCAGATAAAGTACCCCCTAGTACAGTTGGTAGTGATAACAAGTCTACAGACCAAGTCTACCCGTGATAAAGTACCCCCTAGTACAGGTGGTAGTGATAACAAGTCTACCACTGTAACAAATAACATTGACCAAGTCAGATAAAGTACCCCTAGTACAGGTGGTAGTGATAACAAGTCTACCCCAGATAAAGTACCCCCTAGTACAGGTGGTAGTGATAACAAGTCTACCCCAGTACAGGTGGTAGTGATAAAGTACCCCCTAGTACAGGTGGTAGTGATAACAAGTCTACAGACAAAGTGATACCCCATACAGACAAAGTCTACCCCAGATAAAGTACCCCCTAGTACAGGTGGTAGTGATAAAAAGTCTACCCCTTATTAAGTACCGCTAGTAAAGGTTGTAGTGATAACAAGTCTACCCCAGATAAAGTACCCCTAGTACAGGTGGTAGTGATAACAAGTCTACCCCAGATAAAGTACCCCCTAGTACAGGTGGTAGTGATAACAAGTCTACAGACCAAGTCTACCCCAGATAAAGTACCCCCAGGTGGTAGTGATAACAAGTCTACCCCAGATAAAGTACCCCCTAGTACAGGTGGTAGTGATAACAAGTCTACCCCAGATATAGTACCCCTAGTACAGGGGGTAGTGATAACAAGTCTACCCCAGATAAAGTACCCCCAGGGGGTAGTGATAACAAGTCTACAGACAAATTCTACCCCAGATAAAGTACCCCCTAGTACAGGTGGTAGTGATAACAAGTCTACCCCAGATATAGTACCCCCTAGTACAGGTGGTAGTGATAACAGACCTTTTCTCTAATACAACTCCCTCTTACTCCATTATCATCTTAAATGCAAAGAATAAATGAAACATACACATAAAAAATCCTTCTCCAGATCAATCATACTACACATTCAGCCCACTTCACAATGAATATACTGTCTCCAATCTTTACAGTAATGAGACTTGACAAGGATGTTTTAATTAACATTAATTACATGTACACTGAATATAATTTATTAATTATAGAAACATTCCACAATAATGATCACAAATCAATTTTTCAAATTTTCCTCAGCTGTTTTATTGATCTTTACCTAGATGAACCCTGTGTGTTAGATAATCTACAATTACTGGAATGATGACAGAGTAGTGCATATCAAAGTTAATTACATAATCATTCCAGAAAAGATAACTAATACTGACCCACCTCCCACCCTAAAAAAAAGAAAATCTTGAGTATCTCATGTCTTAAACACTTTTGTCTGCTGTGAAACATTTTAAAGGTCGAAGAAGCAGTATACATCTGATTAATGTATTGAATGTATTCAGACTGTCATAAGGTCATAAGGCAGTTTATGGCTTAGTAAAGATTCCTTCACTGAAAAGTCTCTCCCACTCCTTACCATCAGGGTATTTATAGTCTGCACGGGCTTGGTCTGTTATTCCGACTACAAAGCCTGGACACTGTAACAAATAACATTGCAGATTAAATATTTTACTGGATAATGTGTTTCTCATTCTCTGGTCACCATGACAATGAATGATAAAATGTAGCTATACTTGACTGAATCACGGATACAATCTGATAAACATTGACGTTCTGAAATTTTGCAGGATTCCATCACCGAGGCAGAAGAGATCCATATGTACTAAACCGTTTCTAGTTTTTATAAAACTGTTACATTGAGACAATGGCAGCTGTTGTTTTTATAAAACTGTTACATTGAGACAATGGCAGCTGTTGTTTTTATAAAACTGTTACATTGAGACAATGGCAGCTGTTGTTTTTATAAAACTGTTACATTGAGACAATGGCAGCTGTTGTTTTTATAAAACTGTTACATTGAGACAATGGCAGCTGTTGTTTTTATAAAACTGTTACATTGAGACAATGGCAGCTGTTGTTTTTATAAAACTGTTACATTGAGACAATGGCAGCTGTTGTTTTTATAAAACTGTTACATTGAGACAATGGCAGCTGTTGTTTTTATAAAACTGTTACATTGAGACAACGGCAGCTGTTGTTTTTATAAAACTGTTACATTGAGACAATGGCAGCTGTTGTTTTTATAAAACTGTTACATTGAGACAATGGCAGCTGTTGTTTTTATAAAACTGTTACATTGAGACAATGGTAGCTGTTGTTTTTATAAAACTGTTACATTGAGACAATGGCAGCTGTTGTTTTTATAAAACTGTTACATTGAGACAATGGCAGCTGTTGTTTTTATAAAACTGTTACATTGAGACAATGGCAGCTGTTGTTTTTATAAAACTGTTACATTGAGACAATGGCAGCTGTTGTTTTTATAAAACTGTTACATTGAGACAATGGTAGCTGTTGTTTTTATAAAACTGTTACATTGAGACAACGGCAGCTGTTGTTTTTATAAAACTGTTACATTGAGACAATGGTAGCTGTTGTTTTTATAAAACTGTTACATTGAGACAATGGTAGCTGTTGTTTTTATAAAACTGTTACATTGAGACAACGGCAGCTGTTGTTTTTATAAAACTGTTACATTGAGACAACGGCAGCTGTTGTTTTTATAAAACTGTTACATTGAGACAATGGCAGCTGTTGTTTTTATAAAACTGTTACATTGAGACAACGGCAGCTGTTGTTTTTATATATAAATGTATTACCTTAGGAACCTGGTAGCTGCCGTTTTTGATGACAACAGGATCAACCATATGTTCATGAAGATGGTCAGCAAATTCAATCATCCTGTTTAAAATACAAATTAACACCTGTTGACAAGTTAAATCATTCTGGTACCTTAAATTTTCATACAGAACATCATACCCTTTCTTCACACTATATATGTTGCAGGTGATGAATAATTTAACCCTGGACATATTGGTTTTGTATGAAGATTTTAAGACATTTGACCCCAGTGACCTTGAAAGTTGGTCAAAATCCTTTATCCCAGCAAGCAACTTGCCTAATGTTATGACATAAGGATTCTTAGTTATTGAAAGGAAGTGTTCAAAATACTTTAACACATTTGAACCTTGAAACCTAGAAATTGTGCCAAATTCATTCATTGGCACACACTTTGTAGCCTTTTATCCCAGCATGCTTCACCCAAATACCCATTCCCTGACCCATTAGGTTGAGAAGGTGTTGAAATATTTTAGAATATTTAAACCCTGTCACTTTGAAAGTTGGTCAAGGTCATTAATTTGAACAAATTTTGTAACCCTTGAACCCTAAAAGTCCAACATCCTTACCCCTGACCTCTTCCTTATTGAGATGAATTAACTTGCAGATTTTATACACATACCCTTGTGGCATTTCAGTGTTTCAAGGACACTCCTTTGAACAAACTTGATAGCCATTCCATCAAGGAATACTACATGTCCAATATCATGACTCAGGGCCTCTTGGTTATTGAGAAGAAGGCATTTACAGATAGATGCCACAACATAAGCTCACATGGCAAGTGAGCAAAAAAGTATTGAACATATTATCTTACCCTTTCTTAGGAAATAAATGAAGTCTGAACAATAATGATAATATCCCTACTAGAAATGCAACATCCTTTCAATCAGAACTTACCTGTTTTCCATAGTTCTTGAAACACATATGAAGTCAAAGATAGAGTAATGTTGTACAAGTTCACAAAGGGCAACACCTCCAGCATGGGGACACACAGGCACTGTAACATAACATAGAGGGAAAGAGTCAGACAAACCAGTATATAACCTCAGGTACAACACCATAACGTAATATAAAAAACCAGGAGTACACAACCTCTGGTACAACACCACGAGTACATAACCTCAGGTACAACACCACGAGTACATAACCTCAGGTACAACACCACGAGTACATAACCTCAGGTACAACACCACGAGTACATAACCTCAGGTACAACACCACGAGTACATAACCTCAGGTACAACACCACGAGTACATAACCTCAGGTACAACACCAGGGGTACATAACCTCAGGTACAACACCACGAGTACATAACCTCAGGTACAACACCACGAGTACATAACCTCAGGTACAACACCACGAGTACATAACCTCAGGTACAACACCAGGAGTACATAACCTCAGGTACAACACCACGAGTACATAACCTCAGGTACAACACCAGGAGTACATAACCTCAGGTACAACACCAGGAGTACTTAACCTCAGGTAACACAAGAGAAGTACATATCCTCAGGTAACACAAGAGAAGTACATATCCCTAACACAAGAGGAGGTAACACAAGAGAAGAGTAACACATATCCTCAGGTAACACAAGAGAAACACAAGAGAAGTACATATCCTCAGGTAACACAAGAGAAGTACATATCCTCAGGTAACACAAGAGAAGTACATATCCTCAGGTAACACAAGAGAAGTACATATCCTCAGGTAACACAAGAGAAGTACATATCCTCAGGTAACACAAGAGAAGTACATATCCTCAGGTAACACAAGAGAAGTACATATCCTCAGGTAACACAAGAGAAGTACATATCCTCAGGTAACACAAGAGAAGTACATATCCTCAGGTAGAACATAACCACATGTCCACGAGTGACATTATTATATATATATATTTCTTAAGAATCACAAAACATTGTAAACAACATGGCCAAAACGGAATTAATCGAAAGCTTTTGAACCTACCTCCAAATTTGGCAGCCAATAAAATGATAGCCAGATTTTCATTAACTCCGCCAACCCTTGTAGCATCAATCTGGCAGTACTGCATGGCCTTGGCCTTAAGAAATTGCTTAAACATGATCCTGTTTTGACAGTGTTCTCCAGTGGCTACACCAATCCCAAGGGGGTTTAATGCCTGAAACATATAAACAGTAGCTACACCAATCCCCAGGGGGTTTAATGCCTGTAACATACAAACAGTAGCAACACCAGTCCCCAGGGGGTTTAATGCCTGTAACATACAAACAGTAGCTACACCAATCCCCAGGGGGTTTAATTCCTGTAACATACAAACAGTGGCTACACCAATCCCCAGGGGGTTTAATGCCTGTAACATACAAACAGTAGCTACACCAATCCCCAGGGGGTTTAATGCCTGTAACATACAAACAGTGGCTACACCAATCCCAAGGGGTTTAATGCCTGAAACATATAAACAGTAGCTACACCAATCCCCAGGGGGTTTAATGCCTGTAACATATAAACAGTAGCTACACCAATCCCCAGGGGGTTTAATGCCTGTAACATACAAACAGTGGCTACACCAATCCCCAGGGGGTTTAATGCCTGTAACATACAAACAGTAGCTACACCAATCCCCAGGGGGTTTAATGCCTGTAACATACAAACAGTAGCTACACCAATCCCCAGGGGGTTTAATGCCTGTAACATACAAACAGTAACAACACCAATCCCCAGGGGGTTTAATGCCTGTAACATATAAACAGTAGCTACACCAATCCCCAGGGGGTTTAATGCCTGTAACATACAAACAGTAGCTACACCAATCCCCAGGGGGTTTAATGCCTGTAACATACAAACAGTAACAACACCAATCCCCAGGGGTTTAATGCCTGTAACATACAAACAGTAGCTACACCAATCCCAAGGGGTTTAATGCCTGTAACATACAAACAGTAGCTACACCAATCCCCAGGGGGTTTAATGCCTGTAACATATAAACAGTAGCTACACCAATCCCCAGAGGGTTTAATGCCTGTAACATACAAACAGTAGCTACACCAATCCCCAGGGGGTTTAATGCCTGTAACATACAAACAGCCTATAAGTTTTTAATTGCAGGAAAGAATCAAACTGACAGCTGAATTACCTCAGCAATGGCAGCATGTCCTAAGATGTCGTCAGGGTTGGTAGGTTCCTCTATCCACAAGGGTTTGTACTCTGCCAGCTGTTTCATCCAGTCGATTGCCTCATCTACCTCCCATTTTTGATTGGCATCCATCATCTACACAACATAAACATCACATGAATTAGTCAACCAGACATCTTCGTTTTGGTTATTTCCACTGTAATCTTGAAAATAGGTCAAGGTCATTACCCTGAACAAATGTTGTATTCTCTTATCTAAAGAAGCTACAGAGACAATATTTTACATAATCTGAGAAAATAATTTTAAGATTTGAAATACAAAAATAAAATTGATTTAAACCCTGTGACCTTGAAAGTGGACTTGAATTATTTTTAGTAAGATTTAACATTCAAACATAGAAACATATTGATTTAGGTCAACATATGATCCAGAAGAGAAAGTCATTTAAATTTCCATTTTGTTTGTCAGTTTATTATTGAAATAAAATCAAAAGTCTCCAAAACAACAATTCATATATGACTGATACATTGTTAGCCATAGTATTAATTTAGAGACAGTGCACTTTGAACTTTCCCAGGAGTTTATGAGATACTGGAAAATTAGCACATTATGATTGTCACAGCAGCATATTATCAGGCAAATAGCTTACTTGGGAACTGAACATTACAGATGAAACAAAAGCTAAGGGGTGAATTAAATTATATGAGTGAACTTTCATGGTAAAAATTACTCGTGAAGCGAAGACCACTACGCAAGTGGAGATGTACAAGTGAACTACGGTGAACTGGTGAATCAAAATTTGTATGTGACTAAAAATGTACTTTTAGGTGAACTCAAACTAAAAGGTAAACTTTAAAGTTACAGGCAAACTTAAACTTACAGGTGAACTAAGAATTACGAAAACTGAAAAGTATATATAACATGAACTTATGAACTTTTCTGTCCTGTGGCTGCAAAACTTTTTCCATAATTCAACCTGGAAAAGCATTTGATTAAACATGCTAGATCATAGGATGGTGTTTTTATGAAGCTGGTATAATATTGTAACAATATATATTTGAAGTTTCAGGTGTCAGTTCTCATTGAATGCAACATAACAATGTTCTTAATGATACTTTCATAAAATCAACATTACAGACATTGAATAAAAGATTAACAGCATGGGAGAGAGAACCAACATCCTGGTCGCTCCGATCGAAAAGGAATTGAAAATGGATACCCTAACGTGTTCAATACAGCCTATCAAGGAAGGTAAATACAAACAACATAGAAGATGGACCATCAACAGCTGTATTCCTCGTCGCCATTATATTGTCAATACCACGTGATATAGACAATTGTAATTACTTCACAGCTGAGTTGTAATTCTAACCCTAGCTATGTAAATATTTATACCGTTGATCTGATGATGGCTAGCCAAAACATGTAAACTAATACTAAAACCATGGAATCCAGACCTTGATTCTCGGACTTCTATGTCATTAACATTACCGAAAGTTTCTAATCAGACTCCCGATCTGGTTAAACTATACTTTACAAGAGATCCATCGAACCAGCAAGCCTAACCTGGTTATTTCAGCATAATGACAATACATTCTTTAGACAACCATAGGGGTATAGAGCCAATGTCGTTCTTTTCGTAGTGTTGGTAGGTTCTGTGGTCCCTAGCTTGGATACCTCCAGGTATGCAGGGCGATTGAGAAATAGTGGTAACTAAAGGGCAATATTCAATGTCCAAGTCCATGTTGCGATTCTTTAGACAAGGCATTTTTTTGCCAAAAACAAGCATTTGATCTTGTTAGCTAATATCTTGTTTAAGTATAATGTACTAACAAAAACAGGAGTCAGCTTTGACCTAAACATACCAGAGGTCGTTCATATCCTATTATTTCACGAAACATTTTGGCTCTCCTTGCGTCATCCTTAACATCTCCTCCAACCTTCATTTTGAATCTGTATAAAAATCAATATGTAATGTAATGGATTTTATACATTATGGACATCTGAAAAACTGAATCAGTATACCAAGCTAAAACAGGTATACAAAACACCGAGCAGATATTTGTAAAAATGAAACAACATCGCTCTATACAACTGGAATTTAATTATCTAATCTTTGGAATTATTTATCTTTCATATATGAATTTTCCTGACACAAGTACCCACCTACACATGGTCTGACCTAAGACATCTCCTGTCACTACTACCCACCTACACATGGTCTGACCTAAGACTTCTCCTCTCACTACTACCCACATACACATGGTCTGACCTAAGACCTTTCCTGTCACTACTACCCACCTACACATGGTCTGACCTAAGACTTCTGTCACTACTACCCACATACACATGGTCTGACCTAAGACCTTTCCTGTCACTACTACCCACCTACACATGGCCTGACCTAAGACTTCTCCTGTCACTACTACCCACATACACATGGTCTGACCTAAGACTTCTCCTGTCACTACTACCCACATACACATGGTCTGACCTAAGACCTTTCCTGTCACTACTACCCACCTACACATGGTCTGACCTAAGACTTCTGTCACTACTACCCACATACACATGGTCTGACCTAAGGCCTTTCCTGTCACTACTACCCACCTACACATGGTCTGACCTAAGACTTCTGTCACTACTACCCACCTACACATGGTCTGACCTAAGACTTCTCCTGTCACTACTACCAACCTACACATGGTCTGACCTAAGACTTCTCCTCTCACTACTACCCACATACACATGGTCTGACCTAAGACCTTTCCTGTCACTACTACCCACCTACACATGGTCTGACCTAAGACACTACTACCCACATACACATGGTCTGACCTAAGACCTTTCCTGTCACTACTACCCACCTACACATGGTCTGACCTAAGACTTCTCCTGTCACTACTACCCACATACACATGGTCTGACCTAAGACTTCTCCTGTCACTACTACCCACATACACATGGTCTGACCTAAGACCTTTCCTGTCACTACTACCCACCTACACATGGTCTGACCTAAGACTTCTGTCACTACTACCCACATACACATGGTCTGACCTAAGGCCTTTCCTGTCACTACTACCCACCTACACATGGTCTGACCTAAGACTTCTGTCACTACTACCCACCTACACATGGTCTGACCTAAGACTTCTCCTGTCACTACTACCAACCTACACATGGTCTGACCTAAGACCTTTCCTGTCACTACTACCCACATACACATGGTCTGACCTAAGACCTTTCCTGTCACTACTACCAACCTACACATGGTCTGACCTAAGACTTCTCCTGTCACTACTACCCACCTACACATGGTCTGACCTAAGACTTCTCCTGCCACTACTACCCACCTACACATGGTCTGACCTAAGACTTCTCCTGTCACTACTACCCACCTACCCATGGTCTGACCTAAGACCTTTCCTGTCACTACTACCCACCTACACATGGTCTGACCTAAGACTTCTCCTGTCACTACTACCCACATACACATGGTCTGACCTAAGACTTCTCCTGTCACTACTACCCACCTACACATGGTCTGACCTAAGACTTCTCCTGTCACTACTATCCACCTACACATGGTCTGACCTAAGACTTCTCCTGTCACTACTACCCACCTACACATGGTCTGACCTAAGACTTCTCCTGTCACTACTACCCACCTACACATGGTCTGACCTAAGACTTCTCCTGTCACTACTACCCACCTACACATGGTCTGACCGAAGACCTTTCCTGTCACTACTACCCACATACACATGGTCTGACCTAAGACTTCTCCTGTCACTACTACCCACATACACATGGTCTGACCTAAGACCTTTCCTGTCACTACTACCCACCTACACATGGTCTGACCTAAGACTTCTGTCACTACTACCCACATACACATGGTCTGACCTAAGACCTTTCCTGTCACTACTACCCACCTACACATGGTCTGACCTAAGACTTCTGTCACTACTACCCACCTACACATGGTCTGACCTAAGACTTCTCCTGTCACTACTACCAACCTACACATGGTCTGACCTAAGACCTTTCCTGTCACTACTACCCACATACACATGGTCTGACCTAAGACCTTTCCTGTCACTACTACCCACCTACACATGGTCTGACCTAAGACTTCTGTCACTACTACCCACATACACATGGTCTGACCTAAGACCTTTCCTGTCACTACTACCAACCTACACATGGTCTGACCTAAGACTTCTGTCACTACTACCCACCTACACATGGTCTGACCTAAGACTTCTCCTGTCACTACTGCCAACCTACACATGGTCTGACCTAAGACTTCTGTAACTACTACCCACCTACACATGGTCTGACCTAAGACTTCTGTCACTACTACCCACCTACACATGGTCTGACCTAAGACTTCTGTCACTACTACCCACATACACATGGTCTGACCTAAGACCTTTCCTGTCACTACTACCCACCTACACATGGTCTGACCTAAGACTTCTGTCACTACTACCCACATACACATGGTCTGACTTAAGACTTCTCCTGTCACTACTACCCACCTACACATGGTCTGACCTAAGACCTTTCCTGTCACTACTACCCACCTACACATGGTCTGACCTTAGACTGCTGTGACTTGTACCCACCTACACATACCCTGACCTTAGACTGCTGTGACGTGTACCCACCTACACATACCCTGACCTTAGACTGCTGTGATTTGTACCTACCTACACATACCCTGACCTTAGACTGCTGTGACGTGTACCCACCTACACATACCCTGACCTTAGACTGCTGTGACGTGTACCCACCTACACATACCCTGACCTTAGACTGCTGTGATTTGTACCCACCTACACATACCCTGACCTTAGACTGCTGTGATTTGTACCCACCTACACATACCCTGACCTTAGACTGCTGTGATTTGTACCCACCTACACATACCCTGACCTTAGACTGCTGTGATTTGTACCTACCTACACATACCCTGACCTTAGACTGCTGTGATTTGTACCTACCTACACATACCCTGACCTTAGACTGCTGTGATTTGTACCTACCTACACATACCCTGACCTTAGACTGCTGTGATTTGTACCTACCTACACATACCCTGACCTTAGACTGCTGTGATTTGTACCTACCTACACATACCCTGACCTAGGGCTTCAGTTGCCAGCTGAAAAGATAGATGTGAAAATTAGTAACATCACAACCATACAACTTGTGTCATATCAATATAAATCACTTTCAAAAATCACCACAGTTATGACAACCTCTCAAGCAATCAACAAGTTGATCATTGAATCTTGTTGGCTTGAATGAAGTCAGGTGCATGGTTTAATAGTGAATCCTTCTATCTCAAACAAGGGATATAATCAGTAATGGATAAATTTCACTACTGATACAAAATAAGCTTTACTGACATTACAGAAAACAAGTCTGAAGTTGAATTCATTAAAGCTATTTCTGAAAGAAATGTAACATTTATTTAACTCAAGTGAAAGTTGCTCAGTAAAATGCAAGCTTTATTTTTGTTTTCCCTGCCAAGGTAACTACATAGTTGTCAGATCTAAGATTACTTATCTGCATTAGCCAACAAGGATATAAATTAATTTTCAGATATTTTTTCAAAGTGTAGAAAGAGAAAACTCAACTCACCCTTTTGATTTTTTCATCAGAATAACCGAGCCAACCACAGGAAGTGGTGTATGCTGGGTAGCCGTTAGCAATCAGTTCAGCCTCTGTAATGTGTAAATACATATCAATACCAGGACCAGCAACAGGAAGTGGTGCATGCTGGGTAATTATTGATGATACATATCAATACCAGGACCAACAACAGGAAGTGGTGCATGCTGGGTAATTATTGATGATACATATCAATACCAGGACTAACAACGGGAAGTGGTGCATGCTGGGTAATTATTGATGATACATATCAATACCAGGACTAACAACGGGAAGTGGTGCATGCTGGGTAATTATTGATGATTACCTCAGCCTCTGTAATGTGTAAATACATATCAATACCAGGACCAGCAACAGGAAGTGGTGCATGCTGGGTAATTATTGATGATACATATCAATACCAGGACCAACAACAGGAAGTGGTGCATGCTGGGTAATTATTGATGATACATATCAATACCAGGACCAGCAACAGGAAGTGGTGCATGCTGGGTAATTATTGATGATACATATCAATACCAGGACCAACAACAGGAAGTGGTGCATGCTGGGTAATTATTGATGATACATATCAATACCAGGACCAGCAACAGGAAGTGGTGCATGCTGGGTAATTATTGATGATACATATCAATACCAGGACCAACAACAGGAAGTGGTGCATGCTGGGTAATTATTGATGATACATATCAATACCAGGACCAACAACAGGAAGTGGTGCATGCTGGGTAATTATTGATGATACATATCATTACCAGGACCAACAACAGGAAGTGGTGCATGCTGGGTAATCATTGATGATACATATCAATACCAGGACCAACAACAGGAAGTGGTGCATGCTGGGTAATTACTGATGATTACCTCAGCCTCTGTAATGTGTAAATACATATCAATACCAGGACCAGCAACAGGAAGTGGTGCATGCTGGGTAATTATTGATGATACATATCAATACCAAGACCAACAACAGGAAGTGGTGCATGCTGGGTAATTATTGATGATACATATCAATACCAGGACCAGCAACAGGAAGTGGTGCATGCTGGGTAATTATTGATGATACATATCAATACCAGGACCAACAACAGGAAGTGGTGCATGCTGGGTAATTATTGATGATACATATCAATACCAGGACCAACAACAGGAAGTGGTGCATGCTGGGTAATTATTGATGATACATATCAATACCAGGACCAACAACAGGAAGTGGTGCATGCTGGGTAATTATTGATGATACATATCGATACCAGGACCAACAACAGGAAGTGGTGCATGCTGGGTAATTATTGATGATACATATCAATACCAGGACCAACAACAGGAAGTGGTGCATGCTGGGAAGTGGGGTTTTATCAAAATGAAGCAAGTGAGAAACACTGGTATGAGGGGAGTTTTATGTTAAACTTCCGAAAAAAAGTTTCCAATATCTTTGATTTTAGGCAAGAATAAAACTGTTTATCAGCCTAATACAGAATGCTATGACCTATATTTGAAATATACAGCCTTGGAATTAATTTTTTTCCACTGAACTTACTCCATGAGAAATAAATTTATTGAACAAATTACAAAAATTATAAAATCATGAGACAGATTATAGTTTTTTATAGTTTTACTTTCATTTTTAAGAAATATCTCTACCTCCTCCTCCCCTCCCCTCCCCTCCCCTCCCCCTATACATTTTTTCTCCTATTTATTATACTCTCCAAAATAACTGAAATTTTAACCCATCAAAATCAACACCTTTTTACCAAATACAAACCTCTCTCAGCTTTCCCAACTTGACCTTTCTTCAATATTTCTGTAAAAATCAAAGAAAATCATAAGTGAAAGGTTCTTTTCATGTGTTAGATGAATGAAGGTTTAATCTCACTGTTTCAGATAGAACAACACAATATTCCTAAAAGAAAATATTGTTGACACGGATAAGCCTTAGGGGAGTCAACACAAAAACTCAGAGTCTTTGAAGGGAGGCTATTTGGTTAACAAATAAAATGAAACAACTCTTGTTGATGTTTCTGTTGAAATTGCTTTAGTTGTGAGTACAAGGCTTCACGCCCCATAAATATTGTATATCCTCACATCAGTGACAAGTCCTCAATTACATTATCTACTGAAATAGTGGATATTGTTGTGTTGAATTTTTCACTTGCATCAAACTGTTTATGATGTGATGGCAGGCTTAACTTCTATCAACAATAAAACTGAGGAATACTGAAGCAGCATATTAACTGTAATTTGTGTAATTTATAAAGCTGGTGCTGTTTGGTGTTAATTTTGAAAAAAAAAGAAAAGAATAGAATTAGTTTGCAACTGATTTTAAAGGAACGATGAAAAAGTTTGACAATCTGAAAATACAATTTCATTACCAATGTGTGATTGAGTAGTAATGTTTTGTGGCCATTTGTAAGTGTGTGATTTTTTTTTATTAAAATCTTGTGAGAAATGAAGTTGCTAGAATACTGACAATGATTTTCTAAAAAAAAAGTAAAAGGGACCATGAACCAACATATCCTGAATATTTTGCTGCTTAATAAAGTTTGATGAGAATCCCTCCAGGACTGGAGTCCCTAGAGTGCAGATATATGTCACACATGCATGGAAGGAAGTAAAAGGAAATTATAGTCCCCTCCTCCCTTTCTCAAATTTCATCGGCAAACAATGACCTAAAGGCCACTGACCTCTACCCTGTCAGTTGTTATGGTAAATAACCATGACCTAGAGGTCACTGACCTCTACCCTGTCAGTTGTTATGGTAAATAACCCTGATCTAGAGGCCACTGACCTCTACCCTGTCAGTTGTTATGGTAAATAACCCTGATCTAGAGGCCACTGACCTCTACCCTGTCAGTTGTTATGATAAATAACCCTGATCTAGAGGCCACTGACCTCTACCCTGTCAGTTGTTATGATAAATAACCATGATCTAGAGGCCACTGAGGCCACTGACCTCTACCCTGTCAGTTGTTATGATAAATAACCATGATCTAGAGGCCACTGACCTCTACCCTGTCAGTTGTTATGATAAATAACCCTGATCTAGAGGCCACTGACCTCTACCCTGTCAGTTGTTATGATAAATAACCCTGATCTAGAGGCCACTGACCTCTACCCTGTCAGTTGTTATGATAAATAACCATGATCTAGAGGCCACTGACCTCTACCCTGTCAGTTGTTATGATAAATAACCATGATCTAGAGGCCACTGACCTCTACCCTGTCAGTTGTTATGATAAATAACCCTGATCTAGAGGCCACTGACCTCTACCCTGTCAGTTGTTATGGTAAATAACCCTGATCTAGAGGCCACTGACCTCTACCCTGTCAGTTGTTATGATAAATAACCATGACCTAGAGGTCACTGACCTCTACCCTGTCAGTTGTTATGGTAAATAACCACAATCCAGAGGCCACTGACCTCTACCCTGTCAGTTGTTATGATAAATAACCCTGATCTAGACCTTATCATCTCTGTGCAAATATCATAAAATACAAATAAGTTAATATTTCCAAGCAAAACAAAGCATTTCAATACCTTATACACCAAACAGACACGAGTGTATCCTAACTTAGCCTAGATCAATCAGTGACAAATGACAATGAACATAGATACTCACCTAAAGCTTCTTCCTTTGTGAGAGTATCACCCCTACAAACAGAAAACATGGCATCAGTCAGTGATATTAGTGGTGCAGAAAAACAGGACTGTGAATCATAAAAGTTTTCACATTTATATTTACCTTCAAATGATATGGTAAACTATCTTTTCAAAATTATTCTTCTTTGATTAGGAAGTTAAAGTACATTAGTTCTTCTAGAAATGCATTCATCATTCGTTTCCGTTTTTCTAAATTTGATTATCATGATAGCTACAGTAGAGTCTGAACATATAAAGGTTTACTCTTACATGTGTCTGAAGTCAATGGTGGACACTAACTGTTCTGGGGACTGAAACAGAAAGCAGATCACAAACAAAATTCCTAAATGTTAAAGAAATTAAGAGGCACACAGGGCCTGAATCTCTCCCGTGTTAGTTTTCTAAAATATCTTCCAATATTGAGTGAGACATTGTCAGCTAAAGTCCTAAAGATTTTATGTTAACACAATCACTTTGGAAAAAAATATAAACATTATATATTATTATATATTCTATGTATAATAGGTCACTTGAAGTGTAACCAAGGCAATGTACTTACCATATCTACCATTAACTTCCACAGTGGCTGGAACAATGAAACACAGACAGGTAAATTTTATGTATGTCGTATAATAAGTACCAAACGAAATCAATGTTAAATAGAGAAGGCCTCGTAAGTTGTAAGAACTTCTGCCCAATACTTCTGATGTATTTTGCATGATTGCATGAAACACTGACTGTTTTAACACTGTAATTACTATAAAAAAGCCTGCCTATACCTTGCCCTCCATTTTGGCCCACAAATCCCAGACAGCATTGATGATGGCCGCTACTGCTAAATGAGTTACACCTTTTTCTGGTCCTAGCTGTGGAAGAAATCAAAGGTCAGTAAATATATAAAGGTTTATCAGGGGTCACCACAAACATGTAAAAGGTCATCTAAAGGTCAATATCGTCAATATTAAAGGTCAAGCCTATGATCTGAGGTCAATTTTAAAGTCCACTGTGCTGGTTGCTGTTGTGTCAGGTCAACCAGAGGTCACCATGGGGATGTAACAGACCAAGTACAGGTAAATATAAATTAGTACAGTAAAGTGAAAGGTCAATCAGGGGTCACCAGGATGATGAAACAATCTACTACAGGTCACCATAGTAACATGAAAGATAAATTGGAAATATCAAGTCAAGTAATAATCAGCATTGTAACTAAAATGTTATAGATGGTTTCTGAAGAGAAGTTGGAAATTTGTTTGTAGACATTAGAGAAAAGGCAGTTGTAGCCAGTCACCAGAGAGATGACTGGTCACTAGTGTGACTTAGATCACATGTCACTAGTGTGACTAAGATGACTGGTCAATAGTGTGACTCAGATGACTGGTCATCAGTGTGACTTAGATCACTTGTCACTAGTGTGACTTAGATCACTTGTCACTAGTGTGACTAAGATGACTGGTCAATAGCGTGACTCAGATGACTGGTCAACAGTGTGACTCAGATGACTTGTCACTTGTGTGACTTAGATCACTTGTCACTAGTGTGACTAAGATGACTGGTCAATAGTGTGACTCAGATGACTGGTCAACAGTGTGACTCAGATGACTTGTCACTTGTGTGACTTAGATCACTTGTCACTAGTGTGACTAAGATGACTGGTCAATAGTGTGACTCAGATGACTGGTCAACAGTGTGACTTAGATCACTTGTCACTAGTGTGACTTAGATCACTTGTCACTAGTGTGACTAAGATCACTGGTCAATAGTGTGACTCAGATGACTGGTCAACAGTGTGACTCAGATGACTTGTCACTTGTGTGACTTAGATCACTTGTCACTAGTGTGACTCAGATGACTGGTCAATAGTGTGACTCAGATCACTAGTCACTAGTGTGACTCAGATGACTGGTCAATAGTGTGATTCAGATGACTGGTCACTTGTGTGACTTAGATCACTTGTCACTATTGTGACTCAGATGACTAGTCACTTGTGTGACTTAGATCACTTGTCACTAGTGTGACTCAGATGACACTCAGATGACTGGCCACTTGTGTGACTCAGATGACTGGTCAATAGTGTGATTCAGATGACTAGTCACTAGTGTGACTCAGATGACTGGTCACTTGTGTGACTCAGATGACTGGTCAATAGTGTGATTCAGATGACTGGTCAACAGTGCGACTCAGATGACTGGTCACTAATGTGACTCATATAAATGGTCACAAGAGTGACTCAGATGACTAGTCATAAGAGTGACTCAAATGACTAGTCATAAGAGTGACTCAGATGACTGGTCACTTGTGTGACTCAGATGACTGGTCAACAGTACGACTCAGATGACTGGTCACTTGTATGACTCAGATGACTGGTCAACAGTATGACTCCGATGACTGGTCACTTGTGTGACTCCGATGACTTAAGTATCAATTGTGATGTAGATGATGAGAATACTTGGAATCCTTACCCATCTGATTTGATCCTCACTGGCCAATGATCGCCAGAATCCAGCGAAATCACTAAAGATATCTTGAAGGTTTTGTCCAACAATCAAACTTTTGTAATTTTCAATAGCCATACACACTGAAAAAAAAAGAAGAAACCTAAAACATGAAGAAATAGTAAACTGGTTGGTGTCTTCAATAGTAAAAACATTTGATGGATAAAACTAATTTGTTCAAAACTGTTCACTTATTTCAATAATTTTAAATAATTTTAAAAAATTACCTATAACTCTAGCTAGATTTATGCATAAAATGATTCCTGTTGAACAAGAACAAATTTTTTTATTTTGTTTTGAATTTTAAAAAATGGCTGAGTTGTCTACCCTGATATCCACTATAATATACGAGGCTCCACAGCACAGTGAGTAAGGCATACGTTTATGCAATGCAGCTGATTTTGTTTTGATTTTAAGAGAAGCAGACACAAGCCAACAATTTTCAGGGAAAGAGGACCAGATACTTCTCACGGTAAAGGAAATAACCATCATGGTTTTAGCAAAAGCAATCCAGAGAATTGTAAAAATAGAACTAGACTAACTTTCAATGTGATAAAATCTGTACTTCACTCTCAAGGCAATAGAACCATCAACTGACTTGATAACAGAACTAGACTAACTGTCAGGGTGATGGAACAATTCGTAATTGCCAGGGTAACATAATCTAGTTCAGGGAAATAGTATTTGCCAGGAAACATATATGACTAGATATTTGACAGAATAACGAACAATTGCTGCACTGGTGCATCACTGACAGAGGGACATCAGGAATAACATATCAGTTACATAGACACAGGGAAGATTAACTGGGTACTTAGCTAGATGCCACGCCCACTTGTGAGTATCACATGTCAGTTTTATAGAAGCAGACATAGGGAAGATAAACAGTGTTCCTAGCCAGATGACATGCCAAATTGTAAATAAAACACATCAATTTTACAAAAGCAGAAACAGGGAAGATCATCTGTGTACCTAGCTTGATGCCACGCCCACTTGTGTGTATTGCAAGTCAGTTTTACAAAAGCAGAAAGAGGGAAGATAAACTGGGTACCTAGCTGGTTGCCACGCCCAGCTGTGAAGCTTGAGCCACACCCTTGTAAGGCTCCATCAGTCTCAAGTATTATGTACGGGGCGGCATAATCTGGCGCTTTATGCTGCAATGACAGCAATTACTCGGTATTAATCATTTAAATTTAAAATTCAGTCATAATAAGTTACTTTTTACTCATGACAGCCTGGACTCCTTTCCCTGTTACTGTGTGGCTTGAATCAAACTGTCTGTACCGATTGCTATACAATGGTACCTGTCTATGGAGACCACCTGATCAATAGAACCTGCCTATAATGATCTCTTTGCTTGCAAGATTTTACGAATCTCTATATACAGGTATATGGACTTTAAGTTATAGAGCCAGTAGGATTCAATGACGCAGACATCATATTTTCGACAGACTACATAAAACTTAATATCTGTAACAATCAAAAGTTAGTCAATATTTAATTAATTCAAAAGTCAATGGTAGAAGTTTAATGCAAGTCTGTCTGGTGTATAATATTTTTCAACATGCTTCTAATTCAAGTTGTATTGTCCAAGGACAACGTTTTATTTATAGTTTAACATTATCCTGTGTAACTTTATAACTGACAGGTGGCCACTACATAAGGGTGTTGAATGTTAGGGTACTGCAGCCACAAAACATACCTTTTATCCTGTCTATAAACGTTGTTCAAGGAGAAACATGACCTTTTTCCATTACTATAGATAGTGCTATGTTGCAACTTGAAAGCAATGACCTTTATAGACAGGTAGACTTTACATAGAGGTGGCCTCTCAGACAGGTTTGACTCTATATATGTAGCTACCCTTGATAAACATATCCTCTTTTGATCTTACAGACTCTGTCATGACAGAATTGAAGTCCAGTCACTGGGGCATCACCAGTCCTTATAAGAGATGGGAATCCCCAACAAAACCAAAGTGAATGTTACTTTAATGCAGTGATACAGGTATATCAAAGTTATGCCTCCAGATTCCAAAGTTTCCAGACTGGTCAACATTCACCATTTCCAAGTGTACAGAAACTGTCATGACAGGATGTTTTCATGATAGGTACCTATATACATGTATAGAGACAAAACCCACTGTATTTTGATGACTGTATACTGTTTACATCCTCATATGGGTTCCAGGGAAAATGTACTCAAAGTTGTTTTTTGTTTTTTTTAAATATGAAAAAAATGAATTCATCATATCAGGACATGATAATTCTTATATCAGTGATGACTTAAAAACAATTGTTGAAGTTTGTCCATATAAGGATATATTGAGTATACAATATCATTTGTACCTATGGCATTGCCCTTGCCCAGAGTAAAGGTCGTGCCACATCCCCGTAGATCTGTGTCAGTTGACAAAATGACGTACGGACAGGAATAATCAGGTGACTTGTGCTGTAAACAACATAAACATTTATGATTAAACCTCTTCAAGCTATACATTAGAAGAAAACATATTACTATCACTGTTTCAAAGAAAACCTGTAGCTGGTGGTTGCCTCACTGAACAACATATGTGAGGTCTGTCGCATACCATCTGCAGCAAATGAGGTAGAGTCTTGTCCAAAGATATAACCATGTCAGCACTGATGATTTTCTCAGCTTACTGAGAAAGACAAATTCACACAGGCAGGAAGCATCACACCAGGCACCTCAGTGCACAGATCTTAACAAAGCCTTATGTTGGCTAATGTTCTACAAAAACTCTGCTTGAACATGTTGATTTTAAAAAGAGTAGAAAGTTTCCAATCAATGATACCAGAGAGTAAGTGAAACATTTCAAATTCAAAATAGAATCACACAACACAAAACATCAAATAATTCAAATATAAAATAATTCAAATAAACTTAAAAAATTCCTTATCTTTATACATTAATCTGATCTTTAACACTGAAAGTATCTTATGTCTGGAGTTTGGAGCCTGATCTCTAGACCTGAAAATGTCTTAAGTCTGGAGTTTGGAGCCTGATCCCTAGACCTGAAAATGTCTTAAGTCTAGAGTTTGGGGCCTGCTCTCATAGCCTGTAAATGACTTTAGTCTGGAGTTTGGGGTCCGAGTATATCATTCGGTTAAAATAGTAAACTCTGTAACACCACTGGGTGTAATTAAATTTTTGGTTTTTTTTTTTTGTGATGTTGATTTCACCATCTTCTAATTTCATATTCAAATTACTTAAGTGTAACCAAAAATCTACATGCTGAGCTTCATTATGTTTTTATAGTCCCAAATCTATTGAGGCATCCAAATATTTCACAAAACTGAGAGAATGGACACCGTACAAGTGTTTTATGACGTCAACAGATGAGGCCAGAAAAAATCATTCATTTTAATCAGTAAATGATGACGATCTTAAACAAATCAAAATAATTTCTTAACATGAAGACACAAATCAAAATCTCAGGCTGTTGGGCCTTCAGACCAGTGGGCACATGACGTCGGATCAACATTGGATACAGGTTGTATCCTGGTTGTGAGGTCAGCGACCAGATTACAACATCTATACCACGTCTTAAACCAGACATAGTATGCACGTCAGATTTTTGGCATCAGCATGATGTACCCTTTAGGTCATGACTTCTAGGTTTGACAAAATTTCTGAAGTATGTAAATTTCAATTAAATTTCTGGGTTCTGTGTCTCTTTCAAAACCCAAACTACATCACCTACTTTAAGTTAAGTACCGACTGACAAGACCAGTATACATGTACTTTGTGTCTATCCTTCCTTTCTTAACAACCATTTACAGAGTGCATAACTGAATATTAACAGCGTATGAAGTGTGCCAGACATGACAATCCATATTTATTTGTGTTATCATCCTGGGAAATCAATTTTACATATACAAATTCAGCATTATAAATAGGTACTTATGTTAAGTCACAGATGTGGAGAGGCTGACAGGGGGAGCTTCCAGCAGGCGGGACATGGTTTGTATACAAAAAAATGAGATGTCCTTTTAACAGACAAAACATGCTCTCCCTTGCATCACAATATTCATCAAATTACCAAATTTCTTAAATAATTTTGTTTCCAGTTAAATGTAATAATTTGAAGATTTGAGACGTAACTGCTAACAATGTGAAGCCAGAGCTAATTTCTTGAAACCTTGGAGTTGATTTCTCTAAAACAAGAAACTTTAATAAACTATGTCAGCTATTGAATATTGTGAGAAGAAAACAGGGACAGGTTTCTCTGTGTCAAATAAGGATAAGAATAAAGATATTGTGTTGAAAAGCATAAAACACACTGATCTAACACATCTATTGGTCCCTTGTATTTATCCTTTGCCCTTTCTGCTGCCCATCATTACACTATACAACTGTACCTCGGTAGTGATGAGAACTGACTTTTGAGTCCACCCCTAATTACATATTGTGTAAGGAATTTCATGACCAACTTACATACCAGTCAACCCCCAGACGACTCAACCCATGAGGGGAGCACCCCCTCACGTCGCCACAGAATCGACACACGTCGATTGGACAATGCCCGGCGACGGGCAGTCAGGGAGACGAGAAACCATCATCATCACGACCAACTGATGACAACAGTTCTCAGTATGTTTAACACAGGTTTCCTACAATATAGGAGTTGTACCCCGAATGCACCGACATACATAATACAGGCCTACATTAGGTCTCAGCGTTGACACGTTACTATATATTTACACCTACACATTCCTGCATTCAGTTTTGCACATGTAGTACAATAATTGATTAAATTAAAATGGAATATATAAATATTCAAGGAAATATGTCAACACCAACGATCAGTTTTAAGCCCGAACATAACAATGAGAGCAAGGATGCGACCATACTAGACAGCTGTAGCTCTGACAAGGACGGATATTATTATATATAATATATATACAATGACATCATTTCAAATGTTTACAAAGTTGTCAATGATGATCTAACCCACCATGGCATCAGATCCATCTTTCTGTAAGGAGGTAGGGAAACGCAGATCTTCTATCGTCAGTCCTGTAATCTTGGTTGGCGCTGCCATTGTTGCACACGAGGGGCGGAGGTTGTACTGTCAACCTTGAACTCGTCCCCGATAAAATCACGTGAAAAGCATTGTGTGCTTAACGGAAGTAAACTAGTTAAACGAATGAAAAAAAACCATTTAACTTCAAAAAAGTTTTAATCTGGGCGAAAAAAAATCATCTGCAATTGCTCAAAGTTTGTTTATTTAAATACGGCTATTCCACTACTCCTTTACTCGTCTGTTGCTGTTATTGGGAGGACACCCTCGTGCATGGACACTGCAATAGCTCGAAATTCTCGGGTACAAGCTGTCATTGATTTATCTCCAAAACATGGGTGTCTCTCTGAAGGAGTTGTATGACTTCTAGGCCATAAATATTATCCTCGGTTTCATAAAGCTAGCATACATATATACTGTAGAGACATGGCTGGATTCACGCTGTTACACCTAAGGAAACCTGTATTCCAAGTAGACCATATACGGTCCGGAGAGCAGTGTCGTTAGCGACTGTTGGTGTTCCTCCGGGAGACCAGTGTCGTTAGCGACTGTTGGCGTTCCACCGGGAGACGAGTGTCGTTAGCGACTGTTGGCGTTCCTCCTGGAGAGCAGTGTCGTTAGCGACTGTTGGTGTTCCTCCGGGGGAGCAGTGTCGTTAGCGACAGTTGGTGTTACTCCGGGGTAGCAGTATCGTTAGCGACTGATGGTGTTCCTCCAGGACAGCAGTGTCGTTAGCGACAGTTGGTGTTCCTCCTGGACAGCAGTGTCGTTCGCGACTGATGGTGTTCCTCCTGGAGAGCAGTGTCGTTAGCGACAGTTGGTGTTCCTCCGGGAGACCAGTATCGTTAGCGACTGTTGGCGTTCCTCATGGAGAGCAGTGTCTTTAACGACAGTTGGTGTTCCTCCGGGAGACCAGTGTCGTTAGCGACTGTTGGCGTTACTCCGGGAGAGCAGTGTCTTTAACGACTGATGATGTTCCTTCGGGAGAGCAGTGTCGTTAGCGACTGTTGGTGTTCCTCCGGGAGAACAGTATCGTTAGCGACTGTTGGCGTTCCTCATGGAGAGCAGTGTCTTTAACGACAGTTGGTGTTCCTCCGGGAGACCAGTGTCGTTAGCGACTGTTGGCGTTACTCCGGGAGAGCAGTGTCTTTAACGACTGATGATGTTCCTTCGGGAGAGCAGTGTCGTTAGCGACAGTTGGTGTTCCTCCTGGACAGCAGTGTCGTTCGCGACTGATGGTGTTCCTCCTGGAGAGCAGTGTCGTTAGCGACAGTTGGTGTTCCTCCTGGACAGCAGTGTCGTTCGCGACTGATGGTGTTCCTCCTGGAGAGCAGTGTCGTTAGCGACTGTTGGTGTTCCTCCGGGAGACCAGTATCGTTAGCGACTGTTGGCGTTCCTCATGGAGAGCAGTGTCTTTAACGACAGTTGGTGTTCCTCCGGGAGACCAGTGTCGTTAGCGACTGTTGGTGTTCCTCCGGGAGACCAGTATCGTTAGCGACTGTTGGCGTTCCTCATGGAGAGCAGTGTCTTTAACGACAGTTGGTGTTCCTCCGGGAGACCAGTGTCGTTAGCGACTGTTGGCGTTACTCCGGGAGAGCAGTGTCTTTAACGACTGATGATGTTCCTTCGGGAGAGCAGTGTCGTTAGCGACTGTTGGCGTTCCTCTTGGAGAACAGTGTCGTTAGCGACAGTTGGCACTTCTTCAGGATAGTAATGTCGATATTCATGCTGTGAGGAATTCTGATAAAACTGCACACTTATAAATGTTCATAATTTCAATGAAAACTTTGAGTTTCTGATTGTATGGTTAAAGGTTGTTGCTACGATTTAAAAGTAATTTGCCAGTAATCAAGCAGTTTCGTTCCTGAAGATCTATGATATCCTCTCTTCAGTATAGCGCAACCATCAGTGACAATAAAAAAAATCTTATTATTACCAGATAATGTATTGTTGTATCTTAAATAAATAACCCCAGTGTTTTTACCCGTTATCGACGTTTAGCCTAAGTTTGTTCTTTGCAAAGTAACGGTTGTAATTATTCGAACTGAAATTGTTTCGCAATCATCATGATATGCCTACTATAAAAAAAATTACTGGTAGAAAGTACCAACAACTCATCATAATCCGAACACAGAGCCATAAAACTATCTGTGATGATATATATATATAATCATAACATTCAAGCGGTCTCTTGTTTTAATCCACGCTATATTAGCGTATATTCTGGTAAATCTTACTCTTTGCCACATTAGCATATATGTATATTGGGCACTTAGGTATTTAGTGTTTATAATCATACTTTATATGCGACATGAGATCTTATGTATGCATGACTTTTAATACTTAATTTATCATAATGAATACTCATATATCTTTCATAATTCGGAAATTCTGTGATATCAATGTTATATTCTGTGATATCATCAAACGTTTTGTAATGTTCTATGTTTTAACTATGCTGTAAATATTGTATATTTTATACTTTTTACCACATGTGAGAAGAGTCTTGGACTCAATGTGTAATCGAATGAAAATAAAATCTGGTATTATTATTATTATTATTATCATTATAAGATGTGAACAAAAGAAAGATTAACACGGAGACTCATGAAAAGTACAAGGAGAATAAGAATATTTCTCAGTGAGACTACCAAACGTACCCGAATATACTACGATGCAGTGTTACAATGTTTTTTTATGTAATCGTTTTACCATCTCATCACACTTTCTACCTCAGGGTACATAAGATTATGTAATACAGCCGGAAAAGTTGATAGATTCATTACCATCTTGCACACAACATACGTCAGCGCTAGTACGATTCGTACTGGTCATTTGTCTGGAAATGTCACTTTGTAGTCATCGAAACGTTTGGCACTAATATTCTGTTGATTGTGTTGTAAGAGCTTCTGCTGCACCATGTGTACCATCTAGGTTGTCTCTAGTCGCAGTTGACTCGTCTACCCAAGGGCTTGCTCTCACCGCTGAAAAAGTTCGTGGAAAACACCAGCAATTGGCGGTTAAACTGACTACACCAGTTTTTGAGAGATGCAGGTTGATTCAGAGTATACGAAGTCAACAGAAGATGTAGAAATCTGAACCATTTTAGGAATATATCTTATCATTTTATTGACACAATAAAGAAATCATCATTTAATTTATACAAAAGGCCGGGAACGTAGCTGTCATGTTTTATTTACAGGTATCTACCCCTAGTAATATACATTCCGAAAATACAAAATTTCGGTAATTTCCTTTCAGATTAATACATATCATATATTTACTAGATTACATAATCAACTCGAGGATTTTATTTTCTTTTACAAACAAACACTGCAAGATATTTTCATACAAGACGTTGATGGTAATGATCCGTTCATTGCGCGCGTAAGTTGTTTTCTTTCAAATTAAGGAACTCTTTGAATTCATGAGCCCTGCTGTAATAATAAAATCATGTGGAGAAATAGGCTCGCTTAACTCATTAATAGTCATGAAGTAATGACGCCAAAATATCTGTGACGTCATCAAATCTTGAGAGGCAGCAAGCACGAAAACGGGGATTAGAAGGGGGGTATTCAAATATATTTTTTCTTTATTTTTGACTCTGTGTCCAATATCAGACGTAGTGGCAAAACAAAACTCATTTTTTATGTGTAAAATAATGTCTTAATGTAGATTTATGCTATCTATTCGACAATTATATTTGTTCAGTAGTATCATGACAAAGTGAATTCGTCAGTCACCTTTTAGTAATTTTAGAAAAAAAAGTTTAGATTTTACTATGTTCTAGCACATAAGTTACATTTTCCCAGAAGTTTGTCTCTCTTGAAAAAAATGTATGCAAAAATATTGGAATATACACGAAGGATATATAACTTGACAAAAATTATATGGTACTCGATAAGAATAATTTTGAAGGAATAATCTTATCAGCATAGGGATTCAAGATTTCATGAGTCAGAGACGTAGCTCTTTACTAGAAACGTCAAACCATGCTAGTATACACCAGATGATGACTTACCAAGTAAATCTATGAATATGGTTGATAAAAAGGAATATCATTTAAATCTGTTACCCGTCTCCTAATTCGACTCGTAATATGACGGCCTATATACAAAAAGGAAGTATTCGGAATACCTGTAAGACGTACACGTGCTTCCGTTTTTAACTTTGTTTAAAAATCTGGAATTGTGTTGGAAATGTAACCCCTAACACTAATGATTGATTAATGCGGTGCTTTTGCATTGCGCAAATGAAAGTAATTTAATATATTTTAGTGCAATCTTTCGTTTCGTAAATGTTTTACGTCTGGTCCAGAAAATGAATTTAACCAACTTCTGTATAATTCTACTTCCGGTATAATTCGCACACTTTTCAGAATGGCGGTTGTCCAATCGGCCTCAGAGCTTTTGGACTTACTAAAAGCCGAGACCATATCGGATAGTTTAACGACAAAAATAACAACTTTTATTGAGTCTCAAGATAATGCAAACGACGAATTGAAGACAAAATATGAGAGACTTCGTGTTGATGCAGGTAAGAAAGACGGCGTCACTTGCTTGCTGAAAGTGAAACCCACAAGCAGCCTTATCGTAAGATTGTTCAAACAACCAATTTACAATTTACATATATTGTTTCTCAAAAATCAGATAGACAGTCAATACTTATACAGGGCACAACACATAGCACTGAGTAAGTAGTGCCTTGATATAATTTATCACAAGTAATATAATTTATCACAAGTATAAATGTTTTGCTTTTCAGAACAAAAGTATTTTGATATTGAACAACAGCTGATCAGCAGTAACAACAAACTAGAGACTGAGTCAACATCCAATGAAGAGCTGAAACAGAGAGTGGAAGAATTGGGTAAGACAATATATTATACTCTCAAAACACTAATAGATCCGCGAGAGACGATTGCTATATATATTAAATATATTGAAATGTAAACATGGCATGTTTTAATTTTACATAAAATTTTACGTAAGTATATATACTGTTGAATTCCCACAAACCCTATACTTGGCTATAGTGATTATGTTTATCTTCCATATGACAATATGCAATTGAATCTCAACAAGCTGTGCTCTGGTCTTAAGAACTAGATTTCCTCAAAGTTATTTTGACAATCTGGAAATCTGTGTTCAACAAATGGAAATGATTTAATGGAGACAAAAAGACTTCCTTGCTTTTGCATGTTCCAGGAATTTGTTCCTGATATGCCTGTTTTGGTATTTTTTTTTAAGCATGTTTTCTTCAATATCTTTTAGTATTGTTTTAGAAATACTGGTATTAATGAATGAATCCAGTACAATGTTAATATAATCTTGTCCTGAAATCACTGAAATAAAAATTATGAAGAAAAGTTATGTCTAAATGATGTCAGAACAATGTAAAGGGAACAACTCCTACAAAGAAGGAATATACATGTATTATATCTTAACTGTGGAACACCAGGACAAGATGTACCACAGCGTCATACAAAGAAGGAATATACATGTATTATATCTTAACTGTGGAACACCAGGACAAGATATACCACAGCATCATACAAAGAAGGAATATACATATATTATATCTTAACTGTGGAACACCAGAGTTCTATCCTTTTTGTTTAATTGATAAATATTATGAGCACCAACAGAAATTGTATTTACAAACACCATTCAAGTGCAAATTTCTAATTAATGTGTGACATCTTTAACCCTATGAACAAAGGTTTTGGTAGTCTGTGCTCCAATCTATTTAGATATTGACAGGAACCAAACATAAATATCATCCATAAATAAATAATAAAGCCCCTGTCAGATCCTACCGGCACCATACTCATCCTCTCCCTCCCTCTCCTTCTTCATCTCTCTTACTGCTACTTTGCTCATTTTTCCCTTTTCTGTAAAACCGGTACACTATAACATAGCAATTACTTTAGTATCAATCTTAATGTCAGGCTTTCATTTTTTACTCTATTTACATTCCTTTGTACCTAAGTGAAAATGGCCATGTGTGAGTGGAATGTTTGATATGTTATGTTTCATGTATTGTTGAAAATCTTCAAAAAATAAAAAAAATATAAAAAACAATAAATATTATCCAAAGTCATCAGTATTGTGTTACAGAAATTGCTTACAACACCCACAAGCATTTATACAATTTTGATGCCAGATGGACATGGGAAAATCAATTAAGTACATAATCATTGGACCTTGGCAATCATAAGGCTATAGATGTCATATTGTTTTGTTCAAGTAATAGAGAAGCTTCATGCTATGTATATAATCCATATGTACAAGTACTGTTATAATGATGTAAATTCCAACACATTTCATTTTTATGTAAAACTTAGGATATATAGTGCATTTCATGACTACTGAAACATAAAAAATGGTGGTTTTCTATATTATTTAAGTCTCGGCTAGTCGATTACCTTATTACCAGTCAACTGATTAACCATCTTGGAAAATGTGTTCGGTTAAAACCCATATGTTATTGTGGATTTGCAACCAACATGTATATAAAGGTATATAGATTATTTTGGTAAATCTTAGTAATCCCAAATTGGTCTTTTGCAGAAAGGAAATACAATGAGGCAGAGTCTAAAAGGAAAAGTTTACAAGAATCTCAGGACAATTCTTTATCTACAAATGTAAGTGAATCTGGTATTGTTCAGTTAATGTACATAAAAATCTTGTAATCCAAGCCCCACTTGTATAAAACATCTCAACTTGAGATTTCCTCAAGTCGAGATTTTCCTCAGTTGTTATCTCCTCAAAAACGGCTTGTATAAAATTTTCTCAAGGAACAGGAGGAAGTCATCGGCTAGGATGTCCTGAAATTCCTTGAGGAATTTTCATACAAGATATTTTCAAGGAGATATTAGCTGAGGAAAGTCTCGACTTGAGGAAATCTCAAGTTGAGATGTTTTATACAAGTTGGGCCTGATGTGATAGTTAGATATCATTAGTGAGTGATTACTGGATACCCTTCTTCCATACTAGTAAATAAAAGAATGAATAAACTGCATCTCATTTAGTATCTAAGTGTAAGTGACTGAAGATGTTTTATGTTTTGTCAATTTATCAGCTTCGTCTCAGCAAATCAAATGAACAACTGGAGCTGGACAAGAGAGATTTAAGTGTCTTACTTGAGAAGAGGAATAAAGAAATTGATAGAATTAATGGTGAGTATGTTTAGCCAAACGACTGTTAGAATTTTAGTTACAAAGGGTCTTTCCTTAGATATGTTAAAGATGCTGTAAAAAATGCTTGAGTATAGAATGATATATTTTTTGTCCACCATCATAACTGTGTTTAAATTGCTGATTGTCCATAGTGTGTCCATCAATATGTCCTTGAGTAATTCTTGTTATTGCTATTTCCTGAAAACATACTGGCTATATCATTCCTTAGGTATCCTATGTAGTCTCCTCTTTGTCCCTAGTTGGGGGCTGTGGTGGGGGAGTGGTTTAGACATCTGGCCATCACTAGCCCTTTACCTCTTGGTCACAGGTTTGAGGCCTATGTGGGGCAGTCACCAGGTACTGGCCACAGGTTGATGGTTCTTCTGCAGGCTTTTCTCCACCACCTGGCAAGTCCTTAAATCACCCTGTTAAAAGCATGCAAAGCAACAATAAACCTGATAACTAAACATCCCCAGTTGTCTCGTTTTCATGGCCATAGTTACATTTTTGTATCTTGTGTGTAAGTTTGTATTCAGCACAACCATTAAATTTCTTCTGGCAGAGGAATGGAAGGAATTGACTGAAAAGGTATCAAGAGCCAACACAGAGAAATGTGAAGCTCAAGCTAAGCTGGCAGAGGTGCAGAACGAGAACGTTACTCTAAATGTAAGGCATTTTTATATATTACTGCTTCAACCAATATGTACCAGGTAATATGCTGCAAAGATATTTTCAACAAAACACATGTAATAAATCTTGCATATCTAAAGGGAGGTGGTCATGTGTACAAACATTTTTTTTGGCAAAGAAAACTTAAAGAAACAGGATTATTCATCACTTGACTCTTACACCCATTTTGTTTACAGTTTCAGAACAAACGGTTGGAGCAGGAAAAGAATCAGATACAGGGACTTTTAGATCTGCTGGACAAACAGCTGTCTGACAAAACCAACGAGCTCCTCAATGTCAAAAAGGAACAGGTATTATGTCTGGAGAAACATTTATATTGTAGTAGGACAAATATTTCTGTCTGCACTCAGGTACAGGTAATGGGATAGTGATTGTAGTAGGACAAATATTTCTGTCTGTACTCGGGTACAGGTAATGGGATAGTGATTGTAGTAGGACAAATATTTCTGTCTGTACTCGGGTACAGGTAATGGGATAGTGATTGTAGTAGGACAAATATTTCTGTCTGTACTCGGGTACAGGTAATGGGATAGTGATTGTAGTAGGACAAATATTTCTGTCTGTACTCGGGTACAGGTAATGGGATAGTGATTGTAGTAGGACAAATATTTCTGTCTGTACTCGGGTACAGGTAATGGGATAGTGATTGTAGTAGGACAAATATTTCTGTCTGTACTCGGGTACAGGTAATGGGATAGTGATTGTAGTAGGACAAATATTTCTGTCTGTACTCGGGTACAGGTAATGGGATAGTGATTGTAGTAGGACAAATATTTCTGTCTGTACTCGGGTACAGGTAATGGGATAGTGATTGTAGTAGGACAAATATTTCTGTCTGTACTCGGGTACAGGTAATGGGATAGTGATTGTAGTGAAAGCTCACACGGCTCTTTTTTGTCATTGTCAGTTTTCCAAGTATCACATCTGTCTTTATAAATATCATTCTCTTTTGCACATTTTTAAATACTGAAAAGTATCCTGATTGAATAAACCAGAAGAAAACCCAGATAAAATTAAATTTAGAAACTTAAGCTGACTTATCATTTTTGTTTTGTTTATTGAAAACAAAGTCTTAATCCCAGTTTTTGTCTATAATAGATATTTTACATGTTATATTACAGACCTCCAGTCTTTTGGAAACTCAGAGCAAGTTAGAAGAAAAATTTGGAGAAAACAAGTTCCTACAAGAAACAGTGGAAGCTCTGAAGTCATCTCAAGGAGAACAAGCCTCGAAGATTGATGGGCTTATCAGTAAACTGAAGGAGGTAAGACAAATCATGATTTCATATTCAGAAACTCAAAGGTGTCGGATAAGTCAAAGTTTCAAACAGATATAGGATACATTAAATCTTAAAAGTGAAAGAATGTTTTAACTTCATACAGAAACTGATGGGTGTAAGAGTATGATAGTTTCATACAGAAACTGATGGATGTAAGAGTGATCGTTTCATACAGAAACTGATGGGTGTAAGAGTATGATAGTTTCATACAGAAACTGATGGATGTAAGAGTGATAGTTTCATACAGAAACTGATGGATGTAAGAGTATGATAGTTTCATACAGAAACTGATGGATGTAAGAGTGATAGTTTCATACAGAAACTGATGGATGTAAGAGTGATAGTTTCATACAGTAACTGATGGGTGTAAGAGTATGATAGTTTCATACAGAAACTGATGGATGTAAGAGTATGATAGTTTCATACAGAAACTGATGGATGTAAGAGTATGATAGTTTCATACAGAAACTGATGGATGTAAGAGTATGATAGTTGTAAGGTTATGATAGTTTTTATACAGGAAAACCCTGTTACAGATGAGTGATACAGGTCCTGTAGGCCTCTTAAGGAAACTGCAGGTCTAAAAAGAGCATCAGACCAGTATTAAACAGAAATTGTGTGTGAATTTATAGATAAAAAAAGAAAACTAATTCAGAAATGAAATACTAGAAATAGTACATTTAATCATTCACAGATTCCTAACTTCCTGCTAGTGTCAATAAGATTACAAAATGTGTTTCAGGCAAGAAATGGAATGGCTCAGTCAGAAGATCAGTTTAACCAGGAACTGCAAGCCAAAGGTCGTCTCATAGACCTGTACAAGGTAAGTGTGTATACAGGGCTCACCCTGAACCAAAATTATCAGTAGCCAAAAAAATAGCCAAGTGTGATTTTTAGTAGCCCATTTTGTCAGAGAGTAGCCTTGGCTTATTGGCGCGTAACGTTTGATTGAAGCTCTTCGAGAAATTGAATCAACTATATCTAATTAATCTTACATTATGGAAAAATTTTAATTTTAAACTTCTTTATTACAAAGCACCAATGAATGATACTTTACAGTACATAACCAATATAAATAACAAAACAATTTTACTTTAATTAATTACACTCTCATTAAATAAGTTACACTTTTCTGTATTGACACTTGTTTGAAATACACTAGGTGTCCTTGATGTCATTTCTATGTTGCATTGTTCTTGTACAGAAATCACTAGAGTTACATTTTTCTCTATTGATACTTGTTTGAAATACACAAGCTGTCCTTGAATATATTTCTGTATTTGCATTGTTCTTGTACAGAAATCACTAGAGTTACTGTTTTGTATTGTTAACGAATGTCACTGTAGTACACCTGTCTGGGTAAAAATGTAGCCCGTCATGTTTACATTGCATACAGTCTGCTGGTAGTAGATAGGTCTACTGACTACGTAACGAAACAACACGCGTACTTTGGGATAATTAGTAAGGCTGTGATTTCTAACACCGTCATTATCAACAAAAGTCAAAAGCCGATCGTTTTTATCTGTTGTGACACCAGAAACAATCATCCTATCGTGGATTTCTTCGCCATGCTTGTGTCATTCTGAATCATTAAAGCGCTTTTTCAGGTTGGTTGAATACACATATTCAAGCGTTTAAGTGACTTGTGAATGTGGGGAATCCCCACTCGGTTTGAACACGGACCGATGGCCATGGGTTATCCAATTATCTCAGCCATAACAAGTTTAACACCAATATGTACTGTCATTTAAAACTTCCAATAATGAGTCTAACAAAGACATGATCGGGTGCGCTCAACTGTGACGGCACTGCCTCTGCTGCAGGGCCCCCCGGATTATGCAAGCGTGTCAGCTAGTGGGCCTACAATATACACGTGGACACGAAAGTACACCAACTTCACAGAGCACTTTTGTGGGCTTTATTATCGTAATGTTAGGGTTTTTTTTAAAGAAAAAAATACAATAGCCAATTTAGTAGCCACTTTGTATTTTGAGTAGCCAATTGATAATAAAAGTAGTCAATGGCTACTTTGGCTACCGACAGCGTAAGCCCTGGTGTATATCATAGACCTGTACAAGGTAAGTGTGTATATCATAGACCTGTACAAGGTAAGTGTGTATATCATAGACCTGTACAAGGTAAGTGTGTATACCATAGACCTGTACAAGGTAAGTGTGTATATCATAGACCTGTACAAGGTAAGTGTGTATATCATAGACCTGTACAAGGTAAGTGTGTATATCATAGACCTGTACAAGGTTAAGTGTGTATATCATAGACCTGTACAAGGTAAGTGTGTATATCATAGACCTGTACAAGGTAAGTGTGTATACCATAGACCTGTACAAGGTAAGTGTGTATATCATAGACCTGTACAAGGTAAGTGGGTATATCATAGACCTGTACAAGGTAAGTGTGTATATCATAGACCTGTACAAGGTAAGTGTGTATATCATAGACCTGTACAAGTTAAGTGTGTATACCATAGACCTGTACAAGGTAAGTGGGTGTACAAGGTAAGTGGGTATATCATAGACCTGTACAAGGTAAGTGTGTATACCATAGACCTGTACAAGGTAAGTGTGTATATCATAGACCTGTACAAGGTAAGTGGGTGTACAAGGTAAGTGTGTATACCATAGATCTGTACAAGGTAAGTGTGTATACCATAGATCTGTACAAGGTAAGTGTGTATACCATAGATCTGTACAAGGTAAGTGTGTATATCAGGGCAAAGATTGTCTTACAGATCTGTACAAGATAAGGTTTATGTAGAAGTCAGACCAAGTATCATCCTTTGTATTAAAGTCAGTTCAAATATCATTTCATCATGAAATATATGAGCCTATACAAGTTTTTAAGCTAGTCAGACCCTGTAGCCTCAGTTATTTGATATTTTATGATAAAAGTACAAATTAATCTGTCACAGACTTCTAAAGAAGAAGCAGAAAACAAAGTGAAGGAGTTGACTAGTGCTGTTGAAGAACTTAGGACCCTGTTGAAGGAAGCAGCCACTGGTAAGATATATAGGATATAGTGACTTGTATGACATACAGGTTTAGTGTCAGTGGTAAGATATATAGGATATAGTGACTTGTATGACATACAGGTTTAGTGTCAGTGGTAAGATATATAGGATATAGTGACTTGTATGACATACAGGTTTAGTGTCAGTGGTAAGATATATAGGATATAGTGACTTGTATGACATGCAGGTTTAGTGTCAGTGGTAAGATATATAGGATATAGTGACTTGTATGACATGCAGGTTTAGTGTCAGTGGTAAGATATATAGGATATAGTGACTTGTATGACTTGTATGACATGCAGGTTTAGTCAGTGGTAAGATATATAGGATATAGTGGTAAGATATATAGGATATAGTGACTTGTATGACATGCAGGTTTAGTGTCAGTGGTAAGATATATAGGATATAGTGACTTGTATGACATACAGGTTTAGTGTCAGTGGTAAGATATATAGGATATAGTGACTAGTATGACATGCAGGTTTAGTGTCAGTGGTAAGATATATAGGATATAGTGACTTGTATGACATGCAGGTTTAGTGTCAGTGGTAAGATATATAGGATATAGTGATATAGACATGCAGGTTTAGTGTCAGTGGTAAGATATATAGGATATATTGACTTGTATGACATGCAGGTTTAGTGTCAGTGGTAAGATATATAGGATATAGTGACTTGTATGACATGCTGGTTTAGTGTCAGTGGTAAGATATATAGGATATAGTGACTTGTATGACATACAGGTTTAGTGTCAGTGGTAAGATATATAGGATATAGTGACTTGTATGACATACAGGTTTAGTGTCAGTGGTAAGATATATAGGATATAGTGACTTGTATGACATACAGGTTTAGTGTCAGTGGTAAGATATATAGGATATAGTGACTTGTATGACATACAGGTTTAGTGTCAGAGGAATGCAGAGAATATTTTTGCACTTTTCTTTTGTCTCTAGTTCAGACTTTGTGTGAATGACCTTGTTTTATTAGGATCTCTTGTGTATCTCAGGAAGCACAAACCTCAGGTGTTGTTTTCAGGGTAATCACCTTCTACTGGATTTATTCTTTCAGCTCATTCTGAACTTGAAAACTTGAAGGAGGAGGAAGCAAAACACTTCAGAGTGGATATTGAAAGTCGAGGTAATGTTCAGTTTTACAGAAATAGAATGTGATAGGTTATGGTATCTTCATCATTTTTATCAAGATGTCATGTTTCATTAAAGATTTCTAGATGGGAAAATTTGAGAGTTTGTAAACATTTTGGAAATATGTTTGTATTCTAGATTTATCTCTGTTAAGCTGGTTTGTTATGTTTGAAGACTTAATAGTTAGTTGAAGTTTTGTCCTTGCCCTTGTCCAGACTATAAATCATTATTTAATGATCAAAATATATACATATATACCTATGCAGTTTATCAGCGAAAAAAAAACACAGACAATAAAAAAAAAAATAGAAAAAAAAACAAATAGAAAGAACAAAGAATTACAAAGTTAGTATCAACCCTGTAGGCTTTATAAAGAAATTCTATGTTTGATATCTGTTTATAAATATTTATTTCACAGAGGAGACAATTGAGAAGCTGAGACAAGAATTGGTCAATGCTAATGACCTTCTAGAACAGACCAAGAATAGAAGTAAGGACTTATAGATGTAGCTTTTCTGATTTGTTTTCTTCTTCATAATTTGTCAAATGTTAAAATAAAAGTCAATGTGAAGTTCAGATGTTGATAACAGCCATGAGCTTCGAATGTTTATCAATTGTATGGTTTTACCTGCAGTTGCCAGCGAGGACCAGGTAGAGAGTATGTTTCCTACAGCTGCAGTCACCAGTAAAGTGCTTAAGTCTGGCATGTCGCTCACACAGGTAAGTCAGGCGTCTTACCTGTCCCTCACAGAAGTAAGTCAAGTGTCCTACCAGTCCCTCACACAGGTAAGTCAGGTGTCCTACCTGTCCCTCACACAGGTATGTCCAGGTATGTTTCCTACATGTACCTCACACAGGTAAGCCAGGTATGTTTCCTACATGTCACTCACACAGGTAAGCCAGGTGTGTTTCCTACCTGTCCCTCACATAGGTAAGACAGGTATGTTTCCTACATGTTTTCTCACACAGATAGCCAGGTATGTTTCTACTTGTCCCTCACACAGATAAGCGAGGTATGTTTCCTACATGTCCCTCACACAGGTAAGCCAGGTATGTTTCCTACCTGTCCCTCACATAGGTAAGCCAGGTATGTTTCCTACATGTCACTCACACAGGTAAGCCAGGTGTGTTTCCTACCTGTCCCTCACATAATATAGCCAGGTATGTTTCCTATATGTCCCTCACATAGGTATGTCAGGTGTCCTACCTGTCCCTCACACAGATAAGTCAGGTGTCCTACCTGTCCCTCACACAGGTAAGTCAGGTGTCTTACCTGTCCCTCACACAGGTGGGTCAGGTATCCTACCTGTCCCTCACACATGTAAGTCAGATGTCCTGCATTTCCTTCAGTCAGATAAGCCAGCTATGTTTCCTACATGTACATCACACAGGTAAGCGGGGTATGTTTCCTACATGTCACTCACACAGGTAAGCCAGGTGTGTTTCCTACCTGTCCCTCACATAGGTAAGACAGGTATGTTTCCTACATGTTTCCTAACACAGATAAGCCAGGTATGTTTCCTACATGTCCCTCACATAGGTAAGCCAGGTATGTTTCCTACCTGTCCCTCACATAGGTAAGCCAGGTATGTTTCCTACCTGTCCCTCACACAGGTAAGCCAGGTATGTTTCCTACCTGTCCCTCACACAGGTAAGCCAGGTATGTTTCCTACCTGTCCCTCACACAGGTAAGCCAGGTATGTTTCCTACCTGTCCCTCACACAGGTAAGCCAGGTGTGTTTCCTACCTGTCCCTCACACAGGTAGTTTCTAGTGTTTGACAGTTTACAGTATTTCCTTGTGTGTAACAAATATACTTTATTTTCTAGTGGTTTACAGATTTACTAATGTCTTTGTGGTTTACAGATTTACAATGAATACGTCCAGGCCTCTGATGCTCTTATGCTTGAGAAGGAAGAAAACCAGCGTCTTAACCAGTATCTCACCCAAATTCTTCAGGTAAAACAACCTTTTAGAATTCGCCAGTTAAAACAAAGATTTACTTTATGCAAATCTTCAGGTAAAACAACATTTACCTGATACGAATTTTCAAGTAAAGCAACTTTGTGGCTTTGTACAAATATTGAGGACAAACAATTCATTTAAGCTTACTATCAACATATCTTCATTATGTTATTTAAAGAACAAGTTTTGCTTGGTATTGGCAAGGTTTTCAAAAAATATAACCAGTTGGGTAATGTTCAAATTTTTCATCTTGAATTTGTATTTAAGTCTGATGTGAAAAGAAAGGATTTCTTTTGTGTGATAAGAGTAGAAAGAAGTGTGGGTGATAGAAATTACAAAAAAAGTTTCTTGGCCTAGATATCATGTAGATTGTTCTGTGTTACAGGAGATAGAGGAGAAAGCCCCACTACTGAAGAAACAGAGACAGGACTATGAAAACTCTCTGTCAAACATAGAACAGCTAACCAGACAACTGGACTCCTCCATGCTGGTCAGTGATTCTCAACCTAGTGTCTTCTGTCTTGTGAAAATTGAAAGAAGACTATGGAAACAAAAACACCAATTTATCAGTTTAAAGAATTAGCTAATTTCTTTTTATATTCTAGTATGGTTTGTATATGTGATGGCTCAAGTCTATGAAAGTGTTTGGTATTTTTAGGAATCTCAAAACTTGCGGATTGAAGCTGATGACATCAACAGGAAGTACAATCACATGCAGCGAGAGAACCAGAAACTCCAGCTTCAGACGAATGACCTGTCAAAGCAGGTAACTTTTTGGTTTTACGTGACTTTTAGTCAGTTGAGAAACTTTTCATCAAGTCATTTTTATACGCCGCCAGAGACGGTCGTATATCGGCATCGTCTCATCCGTCTGTCCGTCCGTACATCCATTTCTTGTGAACGCAACTCCTCCTAAACTAATCATCAGATTTTCATGAAACTTGCTCAATGTCACAACTACAGTGGGTAGATGTGGATGAAGGGGCGATTTTTTGGTTCTTTGATTTTTGTAAGATTTATGCCATTTTCATCTTTGTATCTGTAGCTTGCTCTTAGTGGAGCTTTGTGAACGCAACTCCTCCTAAACTAATGGTCAGATTTTCATAAAACTTGCTCAATGTCACTTATACAATGGTTCAATGTGCATGAAGGGGCGATTTTACGGTTCATTGATTTTTGTAAGATTTATGATACAGACATGTTAAAAGTGATAATTAAAAGGACCAATCTTGATCTTTATATTTTGTGCGGCGTATGTTGTGTCGACGGCACTCTTGAACAATTTAGTTTTACAAGGCTTTTTACCAGTGGAGCTTGTTTTTTGTATTTAACTCTGCCTATAGACAAATTTGCTTTCTGTTTATGATAGCTCCGATACATTCTGAAGGAGATGGCCGAGTTACGAGGAGGACGTGTGGTTCGGGAAGTAGAACAGCCATCTGCAGAAGTCAGTAGTTCATCCCAAGTTATCAGTGACAAACTGGTCACCTTCAGGTAAGGAAACCGTTCAAGGTCATAGAGGTCAGGGTATCGGTGACAAACTGGTCACCTTCAGGTAAGTAATCCATTCAAGGTCATAGAGGCCATCAGTTCATCCCTGGTTACCGGTGATAAACTGTCACTTACTTGCCAACACTTCAGTTGTTGAACTAAATATATATTTAAAATGAATAACACAATTATTACAAACATCTAATTTTACCTGTTGTTTTATTCAAGATTGAAAATGATTGCTTTACATAGATATGTTTTTGTTTTGTATCAAAAATTCACATAAAATGATTTGAGACAGTGGGTACAGTTTATTTCTGAACTCATACAGAATGTTAACCGGAATATTTTCAGAACGATAGAGGACCTACAGGTTCAGAACATACGCCTGTTGACAGTGATACGAGAACTCAGTGACAAACAGGAACAAGAGGAGAAAATAGCCACTGACTCTAAGTAAGTACATCCAGCAGCTAAAAACACATTTCTGAAGGCATTCCTACTTACTGCTAAATTACCAAAATTTGCTCGAAAATATTAAAATTTTCAATAATACTTTCTTCAAATGAAATTTCTAAGGTATTGATGTCATCTGATTTCAGGACGAAGGAGCTGAAAGAACAACTGGAAATTGCCAATGCAGAGATACAGGAGTTGAAATCTAGTCGAGATAAACAAATCAAAATGGTATGATCTTTTGTAAATAATGTATGATACCAGATCTTATATAAATAATGTATGATACCAGGTCTTATATAAATAATGTATGATACCATGTCTTATATAAATAATGTATGATACCAGGTCTTATATAAATAATGTATGATACCAGGTCTATATAAATAATGTATGATACCAGGTCTTATATAAATAATGTATGATACCAGATCTTATATAAATAATGTATGATACCAGGTCTATATAAATAATGTATGATACCAGGTCTATATAAATAATGTATGATACCAGGTCTTATATAAATAATGTATGATACCAGGTCTATATAAATAATGTATGATACCAGATCTTATATAAATAATGTATGATACCAGGTCTTATATAGATAATGTATGATACCAGATCTTATATAAATAATGTATGATACCAGATCTATATAAATAATGTATGATACCAGGTCTTATATAAATAATGTATGATACCAGGTCTATATAAATAATGTATGATACCAGGTCTTATATAGATAATGTATGATACCAGGTCTTATATAGATAATGTATGATACCAGGTCTTATATAAATAATGTATGATACCAGGTCTATATAAATAATGTATGATACCAGGTCTTATATAAATAATGTATGATACCAGGTCTTATATAGATAATGTATGATACCAGGTCTTATATAAATAATGTATGATACCAGGTCTATATAAATAATGTATGATACCAGGTCTTATATAAATAATGTATGATACCATGTCTTATATAAATAATGTATGATACCAGGTCTTATATAAATAATGTATGATACCAGGTCTTATATAGATAATGTATGATACCAGGTCTTATATAAATAATGTATGATACCAGGTCTTATATAGATAATGTATGATACCAGGTCTATATAAATAATATATGATACCAGGTCTTATATAGATAATGTATGATACCAGATCTTATATAAATAATATATGATACCAGGTCTTATATAGATAATGTATGATACCAGATCTTATATAAATAATGTATGATACCAGGTCTTATATAAATAATGTATGATACCAGGTCTTATATAGATAATATATGATACCAGGTCTTATATAGATAATGTATGATACCAGATCTTATATAAATAATATATGATACCAGGTCTTATATAGATAATGTATGATACCAGATCTTATATAAATAATGTATGATACCAGATCTTATATAAATAATGTATGATACCAGGTCTTATATAAATAATGTATGATACCAGGTCTTATATAGATAATATATGATACCAGGTCTTATATAGATAATGTATGATACCAGATCTTATATAAATAATATATGATACCAGGTCTTATATAGATAATGTATGATACCAGATCTTATATAAATAATGTATGATACCAGGTCTTATATAAATAATGTATGATACCAGGTCTTATATAGATAATATATGATACCAGGTCTTATATAGATAATGTATGATACCAGATCTTATATAAATAATATATGATACCAGGTCTTATATAGATAATGTATGATACCAGATCTTATATAAATAATATATGATACCAGGTCTTATATAGATAATGTATGATACCAGATCTTATATAAATAATGTATGATACCAGGTCTTATATAAATAATGTATGATACCAGGTCTTATATAGATAATGTATGATACCATGTCTTATATAAATAATGTATGACACCAGATCTATATAAATAATGTATGATACCAGATCTATATAAATAATGTATGATACCAGGTCTTATATAAATAATGTATGATACCAGGTCTTATATAGATAATGTATGATACCATGTCTTATATAAATAATGTATGATACCAGGTCTTATATAAATAATGTATGATACCAGATCTTATATAAATAATGTATGATACCATGTCTTATATAAATAATGTATGACACCAGATCTATATAAATAATGTATGATACCAGATCTATATAAATAATGTATGATACCAGGTCTTATATAAATAATGTATGATACCAGGTCTTATATAGATAATGTATGATACCATGTCTTATATAAATAATGTATGATACCAGGTCTTATATAAATAATGTATGATACCAGATCTTATATAAATAATGTATGATACCATGTCTTATATAAATAATATATGATACCAGGTCTTATATAGATAATGTATGATACCAGGTCTTATATAGATAATGTATGATACCAGGTCTTATATAAATGATATATGTTACCAGGTCTTATATAAATAATGGATGATACCATGTCTTACATAAACAGGTTTAGAAAAAAATATTTTCAGCTACTCGTCTGTCGGGCAAGTGAAACTTGAGATTCACTTGCCCGAATCCAATATTCACTCACCCGAAGAAAAAAGGCAACAAAACATAATTTAAGGAACACAAATTTTATTATCAGTTTCTATATCAAATGTTTGAACTCAACACTTGCTTTTATTGTTTTACCCATATTTAATTCACTGTTAATGTGAGCGAGAACATAAACTTTTTGACAGTAACTACGTACACAAAACAACCTTGTTTACAACATTTGTGGTGACGTAATAGGTTTTTGCGAAGTCTGGATCAGCCCGAGTCTTGACACATGATGTAAACAAGGATACGACATCGATGCATTTGATCGACTATCAGTGAATTTAAATTAGTTTTAAGAGTGTTTAAGTTGATAAACGTCATTTATTATGGAATATTCAATAGTCAGAACTACAAATTTCACTCGCCCGCCAGACAAGTAGCTGAAACAAATCACTCGCCTGCAAGTAGCTTTGACTCGTCTAGACGAGTGGAAGAGTGGATTTGTCTAACCCTGATAAATAATGTATGATACCAGGTCTTATATAAATAATGTATGATACCAGGTCTTATATAAATAATGTATGATACCATGTCTTATATAAATAATATATGATACCAGGTCTTATATAGATAATGTATGATACCAGGTCTTATATAAATAATGTATGATACCAGGTCTTATATAAATAATGTATGATACCAGGTCTTATATAGATAATGTATGATACCAGGTCTATATAAATAATGTATGATACCAGGTCTTATATAAATAATGTATGATACCAGGTCATATAATTAATGTATGATACCAGGTCTTATATAAATAATGTATGATACCAGATCTTATATAAATAATGTATGATACCAGGTCTTATATAGATAATATATGATACCAGGTCTTATATAGATAATGTATGATACCAGGTCTATATAAATAATGTATGATACCAGGTCTTATATAAATAATGTATGATACCAGGTCTTATATATAAAGTTGTTGTCATTTTCTTATCCATTGTTTATGCTGTTCGTGTGTTGGTGTTATAATACTGACACAATAAGACACCTGTGTTAATACACTTTATTACTTACTTTACACCTTTATCATCAATAAGATGCTGTTTTTATAGTATGATAATCTCTTTCTAGGTGGAAAGTATAGTGAGACAGCGAGATATGTTTAAAGTGCTGAGCCAGTCTGGGGTAAGAAACATATCATACACACTGATTACTTCAGAGAAATAAACGTGACAGCTGATCGTTTACAAGGATGATTAACATTTAGCATCATATTATTATCATAGATAACATATTTTTGCAATTAAAATAACTCATTTGTCCTAAGTTTTAATTGAATATAGGTGAAATATTACCTCAGATCTCAGACGCTGTTGGAATAATCTTTTAAAAGAAAGGTGAACTTTCATAAAATTAGGTTAAATATAATTCTAGAAATTCTGGATGGACAATGAAATGTGATATTACAGTATTGAGATAGCAGTCCTTTTATGTGTGATTTATATTGAAGGGAATATTTTTGAAGTCCAGGATTTTCAAGGTTTCTTTTTTCAGTTTTAAACATTCTTTTTTTGTTGTGTTGACGAGTAGATTAAATGGAATTTTTATCCAGTTTGACACGACAGAATTCAATTTTATTTGCAGTGAGTCGCATCAGAATTTAAGTCAGCATGACTGTATTTGTATTGTTTGAACATTCAAAAATTCTTTCAGATGACTGTGTCACAGTCCATGACTGATGGAATGGAGATGATCACCCCGGTAAAGCAGTCTCCAGGTGTGGTGAGTCCATCATCAGATAAGGCCTTACAGGACATGAAAACTGCCCTGACTCAGCTACAGGAAGACTTCACTAACTACAAGAAGGAGAAAAAAGAAAATGAAAAGTAAGTATAAAAAAGAAGTGCCCTTTTAGGATATTAAACTTGGAAACTTTGCAACCATTTAATTTTCTACAGTTGTAGACCGTAGTGATACTGAAATTTTTCCTGTAAAGCTTTATAATTTGTTCACTTGATACTGTAAACTTAAATTTTCCCCGTAAATTTTTTTTGTTCACTGCATGCTGCACACTGAAAATTTCCCTTGTCGACGTTCAAGTTTCTGTGTTTTTTCAGTTTGAACACCATTTTAAGTTCTAATTCACTTCAGTGTCTCAACATCTTTAATCAAAACCTGTCAAAGACATTGTTTCTGGAGACGATCCTGGTTCTGTTTTTGTTTATGAAAGCTAACGTCATAAGTCCACTGTATACAAGTGGTGTATAAGGTCACTTTTGATGCTTCCTCTGTTTATAAGTAGAAGTTTTTTAATCATCTGATCTTTTATAACCTAGGCAGATGTAATTTTTAGCAATTTCAGCCCCAAGCAGAACCTGTAGAAATTACCAAGGTGTACACATTACACAGGCGGTCATATATTGGCGTCATCTTCTCTGTCTGTCTGTACGTCTGTCCGTATGTCCATTTCTTGTGAATGCAACTCCTCCTAAACTAATGATCAGATTTTCATAAAACTTGTTCAATGTCACTTATACAATTGTTCAATGTGCATGAAGGGGCGATTTTACGGTTCATTGATTTTTGTAAGATGTATATATTTTGTAGCGGCGTATATTGTGTCCACGGCACTCTTGTTTTTTTAATGGTGAGCTTTTTTTTCTTTATAGGATCATGGAGGAGGAGTTAGAGAAGTACAGAAGTGGTCTATCATCCATGACTGTCCAGAATGCAAAGATGTCCTCCCAGGTTTGTCAAAAAACTCAGAATATTAGGGCAAAATTATCTCATTGCTATGTTTATATTCAAAGCTTTAAACTCTTCATAGACAGTAAGGTAGATAACAATGTTTGTAGAAATGTTTTCTCACTATTGGGATATATTCTGGCAGTGGGACAATTATACTGATAAAAATGTTGGAACATTGTCCACTTCAATGATTTATATGCCATTAAAGATAGGGAGCAATTTTTATTCCAAACTTTCTGTATCATTCAGTGGTAGAAGCAAGAAATTTGTCAAATATGAAACTAGGACCTGTTTGCCAAAATTTTACTTGTATTTTGAGATATGATATTGACTGAGATAAATAAGAAGACTGTATTATAGGTGGATTATTCGGCCGAGAAGTACAAAGTGTTACAAGGTAACGCAGAGGGCTACAGGAAGGAGATAGCAGCACTGAGGGACAAAGTACAGAAGTATTCAGCTAGTGTTGCTAAACACGAACAAACCATCAATATTCTCAGACAGGTAGGCTCAACTGAATGATAATCAGCTAATGTTTTCTCTGGATTCTAGTCATGCTTCAATATACTCTCTATCTTTTATCATGGCTACATTAACCCGTAAACATACATTTTGCTGTAGGATCTAATGTTGTCTAAGGAGAACTTCGCCCGCACAGATACCCAGGCACAAAATCTACGCGTAGAGAAGGAGCTGTTGAAGCAGTCAGAGTTACGCCTTCTACAAGACGTAGAGTCGATGAGACGGGAGAGACACTCTCAGGCCATGCTCATGGCTAATCTTGAGGCCATAAAGGTGATTAGAAAAGGGGAGATAAGTGTGATAATGTACAGATCATTATTAGGGAGGGGAGATAAGTGTGATAATGTACAGATCATTATTAGGGAGGGGAGATAAGTGTGATAATGTACAGATCATTATTAGGGAGGGGAGATAAGTGTGATAATGTACAGATCATTATTAGGGAGGGGAGATAAGTGTGATAATGTACAGATCATTATTAGGGAGGGGAGATAAGTGTGATAATGTACAGATCATTATTAGGGAGGGGAGATAAGTGTGATAATGTACAGATCATTATTAGGGAGGGGAGATAAGTGTGATAATGTACAGATCATTATTAGGGGAGATAAGTGTGATAATGTACAGATCATTATTAGGGAGGGGAGATAAGTGTGATAATGTACAGATCATTATTAGGGAGGGGAGATAAGTGTGATAATGTACAGATCATTATTAGGGGAGATAAGTGTGATAATGTACAGATCATTATTAGGGAGGGGAGATAAGTGTGATAATGTACAGATCATTATTAGGGAGGGGAGATAAGTGTGATAATGTACAGATCATTATTAGGGAGGGGAGATAAGTGTGATAATGTACAGATCATTATTAGGGAGGGGAGATAAGTGTGATAATGTACAGATCATTATTAGGGAGGGGAGATAAGTGTGATAATGTACAGATCATTATTAGGGAGGGGAGATAAGTGTGATAATGTACAGATCATTATTAGGGGAGGTAAGTGTGATAATGTACAGATCATTATTAGGGAGGGGAGATAAGTGTGATACTGTACAGATCATTATTAGGGAGGGGAGATAAGTGTGATAATGTACAGATCATTATTAGGGGAGATAAGTGTGATAATGTACAGATCATTATTAGGGAGCGGAGATAAGTGTGATAATGATCATTATTAGGGAGGGGAGATAAGTGTGATAATGTACAGATCATTATTAGGGAGGGGAGATAAGTGTGATAATGTATGATCATTATTAAGGGGAGATAAGTGTGATAATGTACATATATTAGGGAGGGGAGATAAGTGTGATAATGTACAGATCATTATTGGGACGGGGAGATAAGTGTGATAATGTACAGATCATTATTAGGGAGGGGAGATAAGTGTGATAATGTACAGGTCATTATTAGGGAGGGGAGATAAGTGTGATACTGTACAGATCATTATTAGGGAGGTGAGATAAGTGTGATAATGTACAGATCATTAGGGGAGATAAGTGTGATAATGTACAGATCATTATTAGGGGAGGTAAGTGTGATAATGTACAGATCATTATTAGGGAGGGGAGATAAGTGTGATAATGTACAGATCATTATTAGGGAGGGGAGATAAGTGTGATAATGTACAGACATTATTAGGGAGGGGAGATAAGTGTGATAAGTGTGATAATGTACAGATCATTATTAGGGAGGGGAGATAAGTGTGATACTGTACAGATCATTATTAGGGAGGTGAGATAAGTGTGATAATGTACAGATTCAAATTCTCTATATTTCTTTTCTTTGTCTTCATAGAATAATATAGAGCATTCTGAGTCGGAAACCAGAAACAGATACACCAATAAGATTGATGCTCTCGAGATGGAGAACAGCAATCTAACCAGAAAACTTCAGTCTGCCCAGGATGAACAGAAAACTATAACAACCATCTTTGAGGTGAGTCCAAAAATATGAATTTAATAAAACGATCATCAATATATATAGTGATATGATTGAAGTGTTTGTTGAAATGACATGGGGGTCAGTTAATATAACAGTGTTGTTTGTTTCTGTTAGAGTCAGATAAAAGAAATCCGCAGTCAGCTGGAACAGGAACTGGAGAATCATGAAGTAGATAAAAAACATATCAGAGTAACACAGCAGGAACTGGAGAGTGTAAAGATCCAGGTAGGTTGTCTACCCACATATCTAAGTTACACAGCAGGAACTGGAGAGTGTAAAGATCCAGGTAGGTTGTCTACCCACATATCTAAGTTACACAGCAGGAACTGGAGAGTGTAAAGATCCAGGTAGGTTGTCTACCCACATATCTAAGTTACACAGCAGGAACTGGAGAGTGTAAAGAACCAGGTAGGTTGTCTACCCACATATCTAAGTTACACAGCAGGAACTGGAGAGTGTAAAGAACCAGGTAGGTTGTCTACCCACATATCTAAGTTACACAGCAGGAACTGGAGAGTGTAAAGAACCAGGTAGGTTGTCTACCCACATATCTAAGTTACACAGCAGGAACTGGAGAGTGTAAAGAACCAGGTAGGTTGTCTACCCACATATCTAAGTTACACAGCAGGAACTGGAGAGTGTAAAGAACCAGGTAGGTTGTCTACCCACATATCTAAGTTACACAGCAGGAACTGGAGAGTGTAAAGAACCAGGTAGGTTGTCTACCCACATATCTAAGTTACACAGCAGGAACTGGAGAGTGTAAAGAACCAGGTAGGTTGTCTACCCACATATCTAAGTTACACAGCAGGAACTGGAGAGTGTAAAGAACCAGGTAGGTTGTCTACCCACATATCTAAGTTACACAGCAGGAACTGGAGAGTGTAAAGAACCAGGTAGGTTGTCTACCCACATATCTAAGTTACACAGCAGGAACTGGAGAGTGTAAAGAACCAGGTAGGTTGTCTACCCACATATCTAAGTTACACAGCAGGAACTGGAGAGTGTAAAGATCCAGGTAGGTTGTCTACCCACATATCTAAGTTACACAGCAGGAACTGGAGAGTGTAAAGAACCAGGTAGGTTGTCTACCCACATATCTAAGTTACACAGCAGGAACTGGAGAGTGTAAAGATCCAGGTAGGTTGTCTACCCACATATCTAAGTTACACAGCAGGAACTGGAGAGTGTAAAGATCCAGGTAGGTTGTCTACCCACATATCTAAGTTACACAGCAGGAACTGGAGAGTGTAAAGATCCAGGTAGGTTGTCTATCCACAAATCTAAGTTACACAGCAGGAACTGGAGAGTGTAAAGAACCAGGTAGGTTGTCTACCCACATATCTAAGTTACACAGCAGGAAGTGGAGAGTGTAAAGAACCAGGTAGGTTGTCTACCCACATATCTAAGTTACACAGCAGGAACTGGAGAGTGTAAAGATCCAGGTAGGTTGTCTACCCACATATCTAAGTTACACAGCAGGAAGTGGAGAGTGTAAAGAACCAGGTAGGTTGTCTACCCACATATCTAAGTTACACAGCAGGAACTGGAGAGTGTAAAGAACCAGGTAGGTTGTCTACCCACATATCTAAGTTACACAGCAGGAACTGGAGAGTGTAAAGATCCAGGTAGGTTGTCTACCCACATATCTAAGTTACACAGCAGGAAGTGGAGAGTGTAAAGAACCAGGTAGGTTGTCTACCCACATATCTAAGTTACACAGCAGGAACAACAAGTCACTATAAAGTCTTTCAACGTTTCATTTTTCACAGAAATTTGCAAACACATTAACGCTATCAGTGTATCACTTAGTGCAATACATTTGTCCTTTTACTTAAAAAAGGAGTCCAGTGTACAATGTCACGAAGAGCTACGGATCAGGACAGTCCTCTTCCATACAGTCCTTTTTTATCGATCGTGTTAGCTCGTTTCCTTTACGAGGTGTCATCATTGCTTAATAAAATTCATCTGAGTTTTGTGACAGTAAAAATATGTCGTAAAAAATTTGGAACATATGCATTTTTTTATTGTTCAAACGATGTCAAGAGTGTAATATCGCTACAAAAACAGTAAAAAACCTTCAACAATGTGTGTGCGTGCAAGCAAAGGAATATCGCCTGAAAAGACTACATAGTTCATCTTTGGGTGTGCAGGGCTTCTAAGGTGTTTAACAGCATACCTACCGATCTATCAATATATAATTAACAAACAATAGATCGCTACTAAAATGTGTCTGGCATGCAGTTTTACATGGGTAGGCTAAGTTAGTCCGATAATGATGTTTACTGCGTGTAATGCCACCTCGTGACAGGGTCGGTAACCCTTGACGAAAACAATGACACACATGCTCGCGGTTCACTGCCCACCAGGTAAACTTTAATCACTGGTCAGAACTTGGTCGTAATTGTGAGGTCAATTATCGTTAATAAGTGGTCGTTAGGACTGTAAGAAGTGGTCATAATACGGAATAGGTCACCTTACTGGCCTTAGCTGGAAATGTCCTTTAAGTGGAGTGGTAGATGTCAGTCTAAAGACTAAAGGGTTACTAGTTTGAACCCCTGTGGACATGGGGTCAGGACGTTTTACTACTACATAGATACATATTATTAATGTTAAATAAAGGTCCAACAGATTTTGTACATGACAACATGTATGAAGGGTGTATTATTTTTGTTTTAGTTGGCAGCAGCTGAGACAAAGCTAGTGTCAGCAGAGACGAGACTTGCTAATACTTCAACCAATGTCACAGGTAAGTGTGAGCAGACCCTAACGTCACATCTTTGTCAATTTTTCATAGAATTCTAAAGTATTCATAACTAAAATACGAACAATAAAAGCTCCTACCAGCTATGTAGAAACCCTGAACAATTCAAAATTCTGTTATTAATGAAAATTTCTTTGGCAACTGCTATTGGGAAAGATTAATGATGAATGTCAATTACATCAAACTTGTTGTATATTCTACTTACCAGTTTGTAGAAACAAGAAGTTAAGGAAAACTGAAAGGTTGAAAGAAAAACCTGAATGTGTTTATCACGAATAAATCAGAATGGTATATATTTATGTTGATAGATTCCTCTGGTGGTAATATTGAGGCTGTAAATGAGGAACTGAAGGACCTGCAGTCACAACTGGAGCAATCCCAACAGACTATCAGCAGTGCGTACCTCACCATAGCTACTTAACAAACCATAGACATACTCAATCGGTTAGGGCATCTGATAACTTTATTTATCCTTAAGTTTACCATCTTTTACTTGATGTGTGATTATCATATATTTGATATTATTTAGAAGGCTTTACTACTGTTGTGTACTACAGATACTCAGATGCTAATTAAGTTATTTCATTGTGGGGGATAATTCCCAGTAGTTTGAAATAAAAAAGATTTACAGTTTGTTGTCTCTAAAGCAATGCAGAGAGTCCCGATTTATCTAAAATATTAATGAAAAATTTTGTTTGTTGAGCTTGCCCATTTATAATCTGTAAAGTTGAAATGTTTGAACATATGGAAGTTAACATCCTCTTTGATAAAGTCTTGACATATATTCTGATCACATCTATTGTAGGGTTTTTTTGTGTAAAACATATTTTCTCCCTACATTAAGCCTTAGGGCAAGGGAGGAGGAGGGTATAATTAAGGAGGTGGTCTTGTAGAATAGTGAAGGAGCATGGATTCATGATTAATGAACAGCAATATAAATGGATAGGTTAATATCCAGGCATAGGTTTATCACTGGATAATTACAGTGTGTTATAGTAAGCCTCCTGTAACACTGTCTCTAAATTACTGCTAATTGACAGTAAGACACATATCTGTTGTCATGGTGAAGATTTTATATTTTTTTTTACAGTGCTGCGAGATCAACTCAACAAATCCCAGGATCATATAGAGAATTACAAGGCCATAGCTGATGGGCTCCAGAAGACCATGGATGAACAATCAACGGTAGTATTTCAGTCATTGTAATAACAGTACATGAAGATATCAACCTTGCTCACATTGCTGATAAAATAGATTTAGTTTTCTTCAGTTTTAAGTAAAACAGGATCAGTGGTTACAGTTTTACTAGATTAGTCCTTAGATTGTTTATTACAATCCTGATTATATTCATAAGTTTGATTAATTTCTTCCAGGCCAACAACCAGTTTGAACAGAAGTTTGAAGAAATGTTGGAAGGTTAGTTTCATTATATGATGTTTGTCTCTAAACATGACTACTCTGTGGCGAAGCGATGCAATAGAGGAGACGCTGTGTTCCTACTGTGACAACGTGTACATAATTCTACAACTCCCTAGTGAGATCTGTTGGTCTTAAACTAGAACCTAGCAGCCTCTGGTTGTTACATATCAATTTAGAATTAACTCACTGTCAGGTAATACTTGGGTAGATTTATCCTCAATACTCGAGGGGTTACAATCACTTTCACTGTCTGTATCCTCAATACTCCAGGGGTTACAATCACTTTCACTCTCAGTATCCTCAATACTCCAGGGGTTACAATCACTTTCACTCTCTGTATCCTCAATACTCCAGGGGTTACAATCACTTTCACTCTCTGTATCCTCAATACTCCAGGGGTTACAATCACTTTCACTCTCAGTATCCTCAATAGTCCAGGGGTTACAATCACTTTCACTCTCTGTATCCTCAATACTCCAGGGGTTATAATCACTTTCACTCTCTGTATCCTCAATACTCCAGGGGTTATAATCACTTTCACTCTCTGTATCCTCAATACTCCAGGGGTTACAATCACTTTCACTCTCTGTATCCTCAATACTCCAGGGGTTACAATCACTTTCACTCTCTGTATCCTCAATAGTCCAGGGGTTACAATCACTTTCACTCTCTGTATCCTCAATACTCCAGGGTTACGATCACTTTCACTCTCTGTATCCTCGATACTCCAGGGTTACGATCACTTTCACTCTCTGTATCCTCAATAGTCCAGGGGTTACAATCACTTTCACTCTCTGTATCCTCAATACTCCAGGGTTACGATCACTTTCACTCTCTGTATCCTCAATACTCCAGGGTTACGATCACTTTCACTCTCTGTATCCTCAATACTCCAGGGTTACAATCACTTTCACTCTATGTATCCTCAATACTCCAGGGGTTACAATCACTTTCACTCTCTGTATCCTCAATACTCCAGGGTTACGATCACTTTCACTCTCTGTATCCTCAATACTCCAGGGGTTATAATCACTTTCACTCTCTGTATCCTCAATACTCCAGGGGTCACGATCACTTTCACTCTCTGTATCCTCAATACTCCAGGGTTACGATCACTTTCACTCTCTGTATCCTCAATACTCCAGGGTTACGATCACTTTCACTCTCTGTATCCTCAATACTCCAGGGTTACGATCACTTTCACTCTATGTATCCTCAATACTCCAGGGGTTACGATCACTTTCACTCTATGTATCCTCAAATTAGCTGTAAAGTTGAGTAATTTGTTTATAGTTTTGTTTCTTATTATGTTTCCAAACAGCTAAGAAACATGCTGAGAAGAGGACCGAGGAATTTGAAAAGGAGCATCAAGATTTACTGAATGAGAACATTCGTGTTTCAGAAGAAAGTCACAAACTGGTCAGTGTCCATATCCTTTAGAATCATTTCAATCTGCTTTCAACAGTTTTAAGTACATTTGTACATATGTATTCCTTTACTAGGCATATTTTTAAAGAAAAAAATCAGAATAACTAGGTTTTAATAAACACAGTCTGTGATTTAAAGTTCAAATTTCTATATACTTTTGAGTATATTAATCAAATAGTTTAAGTTCCTTAATCGATACAGGTTGCATTGATAAGAGCCTGATTTGTTTTTTAAAGAATGCTGATTTGAGGAAGCAGTTAGCTTGTCTACAGAATGAGCTGCAGGAAGCTGTACAGCGACGAGAGGATGCCATTGCTAAAGAGGAAAAAGCCATGCAAGAATATCAATCACAAACAAACCTGGCTTCAGAGGTCAGTAGGGTCAAATAAACCTAGCTTCTGAGGTCAGTAGGGTCAAATAAACCTGGCTTCAGAGGTCAGTAGGGTCAAATAAACCTAGCTTCTGAGGTCAGTAGGGTCAAATAAACCTGGCTTCTGAGGTCAGTAGGGTCAAATAAACCTGGCTTCTGAGGTCAGTAGGGTCATTTAAACCTAGCTTTTGAGGTCAGTAGTGTAAAAAAAACCTGGCTTCTGAGGTCAGTAAGATCAAATGAACCTGGCTTCTGAGGTCAGTAGAGTCAAATAAATCTGGCTACAGAGGTCAAGAGGGTCAAATAAACCTGGCTTCCGAGGTCAGTAGGGTCAAATAAACCTGACTTTAGAGGTCAGTAGGGTCAAATAAACCTGGCTTCCGAGGTCAGTAGGGTCAAATAAACCTGACTTTAGAGGTCAGTAGGGTCAAATAAACCTGGCTTCCGAGGTCAGTAGGGTCAAATAAACCTGACTTTAGAGGTCAGTAGGGTTTAAAAACCTAGCCTGGAAGATGTGTTTGGTTGCCCTAGGTGTTCACCAAGATTGAAAGTGTATGTTTACAATGATTACTTAATTTTAATTTATACAGAGTTATCAGAAAATTTATCAAAATAGGACTATTTATACTGTTATATTTAAATTTGATTGTTGTGTCAGACTTTGGGGATCATCATATTTGCATGGTTGACTTGCATGAACATTTCATTTCAGGTTCAGGATAAGTATCAGAGAGAACTTATACTACATGCAGCTGATGTGGAAGCACTGACAACAATAAAAAAACAGGTACAAATTACTGGCTTCTGTTGGGTATTGTCACGGACACTATAAAAGGTTATTTAGGCACCGTCAGAATGTTTCTCTGATTTCACAGGGATGAGATTTATACAATGTGATTTTTCCTACTTGGGTCTGATGTTTTAATGGTTCTATACTGTTTTTACAGTGTTAGAAGTTCCGGTAGGATAATATCTAACACATAGATCATGAAGGACTCGTGTGCATCAAAGTAAAACTTGTAATGAGATGACTTCTAGTATATTGTTAAAGGAAAGTAATATGTCTATATGATATAGAGGCAGAATTTGATCTAGAACCTGCATCTGTGTTGAAAATACCCAGACACTACAACTTTCTTCTTAGTCTTGGAGTATAACCATGTCTGGAATCTATTTACAGAGAAATAAACCAGTACTTGAACACACTACTATACAAAAACACTAAGCAATCTTTATTATGTCATTTTCTACATTAATCGATAAATTGTGATCTTAGATAAATTCAAAAACTTGGTTGAAAATTCTTCAACTAAGTAGAGGAAAAAAGAAATTTCAATAAAATATATACATGACTTACTGTGTTTTTATAGGCTAATATTGTAGTTTTGTAGATCGATTCGAGTCATAAAAATGTTTCAAACTAATTTTTTAACAGATGGAAGAGTTCAACGAAAAGTTGGCTACAGAACAGGAATGTCGTGTAAAAGCGGAGAAAATTCTGGAAGAATCACAGGTAGGGTCATTACTGTAGTACTTAATCTTTATGTGTTATTTTATCAAAGAGAAGGAAAGCTTATATTGTCACCCTGGCATCTGTGTTAGCATCAGTTTCTAAATGTTCAGTTTTGGTACCTGTGTTGTAACAGGGGTCGTGGGTGGGGCTTTATCAGAGACCATAGTGTCCAGACTAATTGTACCTGTGTGGTAACACGTGGGTGGGGCTTTATCAGAGACCATAGTGTCCAGACTAATTGTACCTGTGTGGTAACAGGGGTCGTGGGTGGGGCTTTATGAGAGTCCATAGTGTCCAGACTAATTGTACCTGTGTGGTAACACGTGGGTGGGGCTTTATCAGAGACCATAGTGTCCAGACTAATTGTACCTGTGTGGTAACACGTGGGTGGGGCTTTATCAGAGACCATAGTGTCCAGACTAATTGTACCTGTGTGGTAACACGTGGGTGGGGCTTTATCAGAGACCATAGTGTCCAGACTAATTGTACCTGTGTGGTAACAGGGGTCGTGGGTGGGGCTTTATCAGAGTCCATAGTGTCCAGACTAATTGTACCTGTGTGGTAACAGGGGTCGTGGGTGGGGCTTTATCAGAGACCATAGTGTCCAGACTAATTGTACCTGTGTTGTAACAGGGGTCGTGGGTGGGGCTTTATCAGAGTCCATAGTGTCCAGACTAATTGTACCTGTGTGGTAACACGTGGGTGGGGCTTTATCAGAGACCATAGTGTCCAGACTAATTGTACCTGTGTTGTAACAGGGGTCGTGGGTGGAGCAGGAGAAAACGCTCAAAACAGAGTGCGGGCGTCTGCAGAAGAGGATTCAGGACTTCTCTCAACAAAACAATCTATTGCATCAACAAATAGAGAAGGTATGTTCTCTACATGTCTTTGTTATAACATTAATGATAGCAAGAAGATGGAGATGACAAAACAAACACATTTATCATATAAATATGTTATCACCCATCACATAACTACCCTGTTATTAGTGAGATAACACCCATCACATAACTACCCTGTTATTAGTGAGATAACACCCATCACATAACTACCCTGTTATTAGTGAGATAACACCTATCACATAAATACCCTGTTATTAGTAAGATTACACCCTTTACCTAACTACCCTGTTATTTGTAAGATTACACCCTTTACATAAATACCCTGTTATTAGTGAGATAACACCCATCACATAACTACCCTGTTATTAGTGAGATAACACCCATCACATAACTACCCTGTTATTAGTGAGATAACACCCATCACATAACTACCCTGTTATTAGTGAGATAACACCCATCACATAACTACCCTGTTATTAGTGAGATAACACCCATCACATAACTACCCTGTTATTAGTGAGATAAAACCCTTTACATAACTACCCTGTTATTAGTGAGATAACACCCTTTACATAACTACCCTGTTATTAGTGAGATAACACCCTTTACATAACTACCCTGTTATTAGTAAGATTACACCCTTTACCTAACTACCCTGTTATTTGTAAGATTACACCCTTTACATAACTACCCTGTTATTAACAAGATAACACCCTTAACATAACTACCCTGTTATTGGTAAGATAATACACTTTACATAAATACCCTGTTATTAACAAGATAGCACCCTTTACGAAACTGCCCTATTATTAACATAACACCCTTTAAATAACTACCCTGTTATTAACAAGATACAGTGAATCCTGTCTAATCCGACACCATGGGGGAGTGACATTTCTGGGCAGATTAGACAGGGTGTCGGAAAAGTCAGGTATTGTTGTCGACTTCACAAAAATATATGCTACCGCCGGTAGATACGTTAAGCATACAACTAATGTGCATACAAATACACTCTGGTGTTAAAAATAAAACAAAACAATGAAGTATTAATTTACTGATGTTTTAAGTTTGTTTTAATCATTTTAATACAATGTACATGTACATTAATTCCCCGTTTTTTGATGAATTTGTGAATCTCTTTTTCTTCAACTCACAGTTTTCTTGAAATTGATTGTTGTACTGTTCTTTCCGTTTTAATATGTTGGAGACAGTCGCACGGCCGATACCATATGTTACGCTGAGTTCTTTTTGAGAAACTTTAGGTAATTTCTCGCAGTCTGCACGATTAACTGAATCTTTTTTTCCAAAGTTAAATCAGTCCGATGCCTCTTTGGTGACGGACTACTTGTATCCGTTAAAAGTCTTTTTTTTTTACACGATAGTGAAGATGTCATGGTAAATTTTCATGTCCGTAGACAACGATATCAAATCAAACACTGCAAGAATATAACTCTACTTCGACTTTTTAGTTGTTATAGATACATGTATGTGTAAAAAACTGACATATACTGACTACGGCAGGGTAAACTTACATGTGTACAGTACAATAATCCCCTCTTTGTAACCCCACCGCATGTACCGACAATCGCCATGTCAAGCGGAACGGTTGTGTACACATCTGTGGTGCGATGATGACTTATGTGTCGGATTTACCAGGTATAATTAACTAACAAAGATAGCCTGCCGTCATAGAAATATGTGTCGGAATTCGGAACTGACAGTGACCGGAAATATCAGTGTTTTAATACATTGACAAATAACGCAATTTCACAGGAATACAGTACAGTGTCGGATTTGACAGGATGTCGGAAAAGTCAGGTGTCGAATTAGACAGGTTTCACTGTAACACCCTTAACCCTATACACTTTACATAACTACCCTGTTATTGGTAAGATAACACCCTTTACATAACTACCCTGTTATTAACAAGATAACACCCACTGCACAAATTTTTACATCATGTAACACCTAGTTGAGGCTGATGTTTCTCATTATTTCTTTATAATTTCCTGACATTATTGGTTTCTCATTAAATGCTGTTTCTGTTTGCTGGCTTGTGTAAGTAAAATATCACATATTTTTCCAATTATCAAGCCAGAGACTTGGGAAAGTAACTCTTTTCTAGACTATATTCATATACCACTAAACGGAAATAGGCGTCATATTTTCTGTCATTAAAATTCAAAGTTACTGAAAAGAGAACACTGAGATATTTTATATAAGTCTTTTAACGCATGTTTCAAACATCATTATGGTTTTGCAAATAAAAATGTACAAACAAACATAGCTAATACATTAAAAAATATCTCTCTCGTTTATGTCACTGTTCTTGAAAATTTGTGTTGCTTTCCTTCAGATGAGTCGGGATGTAGTGGCTGTCCAACAAGCAGTCAGTCGCAGCGAGACATTTTCCTCCACATCTGAGGACACCGCTAAGTCATCAGAACAACTGTTAGAAGTAGTGAAGTGAGTTCTCAAATTCTGATCTATACAGACATGGTGAAGTTTGCATAAAAAGCTGAGTACACAAATATCTCCTACATCGGATAAAGTAAAACATCTTCTATTAGCACGAATGCATTGTTTGCAGGAATTATCACCTTGTGTAACTTGTTTTGATAGATTTTTGCGTCGTGAGAAAGAAATCGCAGAGACAAAGCTTGAGATTGTGCAGTCAGAGTCCAAGACAGTTCGTCAACAGCTTCAACGTGTACAGCGTTCTCTTGAGGAAGCTAATGATGCTGTACGTGAGGAGAGGGAACAGTCTCAGGTGTGTGTCTTTATTACTATAACTAACAACATTATTTATTTCACATTTAGAAGAACTGTTTCTAGTTTTAATTGGTCTTGTTTTACGTAAAGTTTGAAAGTTATTAGCACCTGTGTTGAGCTCTATTATCATAAACTTCAGTTTATTTATATCAGTGATATATATTGGTTACAGACTAACTTACAGACAGCAGCACAGCATGCTGAGTTGATGAGGAAGGTGGAGAACCTCAACCTACTCACAGACAGTAATCGTCTACTGAGGGACGAGAAAACCAAACTGGAGCAGCAGGTCCAGACACTGGAGGCCAAGGTAGGGTGGACACTGAGGTGTGGTAACTAGAGCAGTAGGTCCAGACACTGGAGGCCAAGGTAGGGTGGACACTGAGGTGTGGTAACTAGAGCAGTAGGTCCAGACACTGGAGGCCAAGGTAGGGTGGACACTGCAGTGTAGAGACTAGAACAGCAGGTCCAGACACTGGCAGCCAAGGTAGGATGGACACTGAGGTGTGTAACTAGAGCAGTAGGTCCTGACACTGGAGGCCAAGGTAGGGTGGACACTGAGATGTGGTAACTAGAACTTAGGTCCAGACACTGGAGGCCAAGTTAGGGTTGACACTGAGGTGTGGTAACTAGAGCAGCAGGTCCAGACACTGGAGGCCAAGGTAGGGTGGACACTGAGGTGTGGTAACTAGAACTTAGGTCCAGACACTGGAGGCCAAGGTAGGGTGGACACTGAGGTGTGGTAACTAGAGCAGCAGGTCCAGACACTGGAGGCCAAGGTAGGGTGGACATGTCATATATGCAGAAAACTTAAAGTGAATAACTATCTACAGGTTGATTACCTTTTTTGACAGAATGATGATGATGATGATGATGATGATGATGATGATGATGATGATGATGATGATGATGATGATGATGATGATGATGATATTGATGATATAACGATGATGTTGATGATGATGATGATGATGATGATGATGATGAATATATTATGATGATGATGATGATGAAGATATAATGATGATGTTGATGATGAATATATGATGATGATGATGATGATGATGATGATGATGATGATGATGATGATGATGATGAATATATTGATGATGATGATGATGATGATGATGATGATGATGATGATGATGATGATGATGATGATGATGATGATGATGATGATGATGATGACCCTATTTTTCAGATTGTAACCCTTGAACAGAGCATTGACCCCTTACAGTCCAGTGTTAGAGACTCTCAATCCCATCGAGATGCCATAGGAGCTGAGAGAGATGCCCTGAAGAATGAGGTAGAGAGATGGAAGTCCCGCACAAACCATCTGATAGAACAGGCGAACAAGACGGACCCAGAGGAGCACAGGAAACTCATGTGTGTATATAGATCAATTGTATAAAGTAATGAGAGTGACGTCTTCATGACAGTGTTAAATATCAGTGTAATCTCTCTGTAAGATAAACCGTATAACTCTCCACGTGTTATGTACATAGAGGATATTTAATGGTTTCCTGCTTGGAATAGTGAATATATTCCAGAAGTATGACAGAATATCTATAATTTCTATTGTGGTCGGGTGGCGCAGTGGTAACACACTTGCCTTTCACCTAGCAGTCAGGGGTTCGATTCCTGGAACAGACGTGAAAAGGATAGGGTCACCTGCATGACCACGTTGGTTTTCCCTGTGTTTTCCAGTTTCCTTCTATAGTAAGACCCCTCACACACTTCCATCGGTGCCAACAAGAGTGATTGGTATAAGCTGATATCTTGTTTAGCAATTGTTGTAAAATAAATATAGTTTATATTTTATTATTTTCCAAGAGTGCATAGCCCGAGTTGAAGATATACTTACATTCTATAATACGAGTGAAATATATATGATATTCAATGGGAAACCATTTGTCTTCTTTGTTAAGATAGATACAAACTGATTCAACAGTATTAATATATAGTCTTTAACAGTTTGATGTTACGCTCATTGACAAGATGCCAACAATTTTAATTAGCCACTTAACTTGGTATTCTACCATTTTAATCAGGATCACAAATTATACTCAGAGGAAATCCTGAATGTAAACAAAAATAATGGAAAACTTATTCAACCTTTACTTCTGATTGTGGTAAAACTAAAGTAGCAGTGAATTTCAATACAGTATCAATGGAAAAGTTATATCATCATAGTAATTATATAAAATTTCCTATATCATCTCCACGGTTTTTCTCAAACCAGTGAATTTGGATACATAGTATTTCACTTGGCAAAATGTACTGAATAACGTATTGTCATGTGGTGTCTTAGCATAGTTGTTTTGAAATAAATAATATTCTTTGCAGACTTGAGAAGGAGACCATCAGGAAAGATGTGATAAGGTTGACTGAGGAGAATCACAGGACAAGGGCTGAAGTATCCAGACTTACAAACAGTCTGACAGTGGCACAGTAAGTGAAAAGTCTGACAGTGGAACAGTAAGTGTAAAGTCTGACAGTGGCACAGTAAGTGTAGAGTCTGACAGTGGCACAGTAAGTGTAGAGTCTGACAGTGGCACAGTAAATGTAAAGTCTGACAGTGGCACAGTAAATGTAAGGTTTGACAGTGGCACAGAAAGTGAAAAGTCTGACAGTGGCACAGTAAGTGTAAAGTCTGACAGTGGCTCAGTAAGTGAAAAGTCTGACAGTGGCACAGTAAGTGAAAAGTCTGACAGTGGCACAGTAAGTGTAAAGTCTGACAGTGGCACATTAAGTGTAAAGTCTGACAGTGGCACAGTAAATGTAAAGTCTGACAGTGGCACAGTAAATGTAAGGTTTGACAGTGGCACAGAAAGTGAAAAGTCTGACAGTGGCACAGTAAGTGTAAAGTCTGACAGTGGCTCAGTAAGTGAAAAGTCTGACAGTGGCACAGTAAGTGAAAAGTCTGACAGTGGCACAGTAAGTGTAGAGTCTGACAGTGGCACAGTAAGTGTAAAGTCTGACAGTGGCACAGTAAGTGTAAAGTCTGACAGTGGCACAGTAAATGTAAAGTCTGACAGTGGCACAGTAAATGTAAGGTTTGACAGTGGCACAGTAAGTGAAAAGTCTGACAGTGGCACAGTAAGTGTAAAGTCTGACAGTGGCTTAGTAAGTGAAAAGTCTGACAGTGGCACAGTAAGTGAAAAGTCTGACAGTGGCTCAGTAAGTGTAAAGTCTGACAGTGGCACAGTAAGTGTAAAGTCTGACAGTGGCACAGTAAGTGTAAAGTCTGACAGTGGCACAGTAAGTGTAAAGTCTGACAGTGGCACAGTAAATGTAAAGTCTGACAGTGGCACAGTAAATGTAAGGTTTGACAGTGGCACAGTAAGTGAAAAGTCTGACAGTGGCACAGTAAGTGTAAAGTCTGACAGTGGCACATTAAGTGAAGAGTCTGACAGTGGCACAGTAAATGTAAAGTCTGACAATGGCACAGTGAGTGAAAAGTCTGACAGTGGCACAGTAAATGTAAGGTCTGACAGTGGCACAGTAAATGTAAAGTCTGACAGTGACACAGTAAGTGAAAAGTCTGACAGTGGCACAGTAAGTGTAAAGTCTGACAGTGGCACAGTAAGTGAAAAGTCTGACAGTGGCACTGTAAGTGTAAAGTCTGACAGTGGCATGGGAAGTGTAAAGTCTGACAGTGGCACAGTAAGTGTAAAGTCTGACAGTGGCACAGTAAGTGTAAAGTCTGACAGTGGTACAGTAAGTCAAAAGTCTGACAGTGGCACAGTAAGTGTAAAGTCTGACAGTGGCACAGTAGCACAGTAAGTGTAGAGTCTGACAATTTACGTCTGACAGTGGCACACTATGTTGAAAGTCAGAAAGTTCCACAGTAGGGTTACAATCTGAGAGTGGTATGGGAAGTTAACCGTTTGACAACTGCACTGATAATTTACAGTTTGACAGTGGCACTCACAGTTAGTTGACTGATTTTAAAAAAAAACCCTATTTAGGACTAAGAAAATAAAAGTTGTTAATCTAGAAAAGTTATTGATCTGTTAAAAATCTAAAGAGAGTTTTTAAGTAAATTCAACCAATAAATTATGGATACAACAGCATATCTTTAAGAAAGATGAATAAAATGGGAGACGTTTTTTTTTTGTTGGGGATAACAAGAAAATCTGATTTTAAATTTTAGAAGAGAAACCGGTTCCAGCAAGCAAGAGATTGAGAAACTGCAGTAAGTGATTTTATATACGTTAATATACATTCTGAATCAGAATAAATTTTTTTTAAATCCAGTTTTCGATAAATGTTTTAAAGAATATAATAGATTTAGCTTGTGATATCAGTACCGGAGTGAAAAAGGAATCAGGCCTTTCATTTGCCATGTATAATGTCTTTCTGTTGTTACCTTGATAAGAGTTATTGTGGAAATACTGACTTTGATGGATTAGTGAAAGTATTGTGTTGTGTATTCTATTGAACAGAAGAGAACTCAATGCAAGCAAACAGGAGACAGAGAAATTCCAGTGAGTACATGTTATCTTTTTTCTGTCCCACAATGCATTTGTATAGGTGGCACTGTCAGCTTCCTTATAAAAGATTGGATATTGAAACATGTAAAAGTCACATTCTAAACTTGTTTACAAACTTAGCCCACGGTGCCCTGTAGTGATAATTTGTTAACAGCATTCTTCTATATGAAGGCAAATATTTTAGTTCTAATATTTATATATATAAACAAAGAACGGTTTCATTTTTTATGGTATCATTTCTGAATTCTTATAACATGAGTATTGTACTTTCTTCTTCTTCTTCTTCAAAAAAAAAAAAAACAGAAAGGAAGTTGAAGTTAAAGTGGCTGAAACTGAAGCAAAGGACAATGAAAACGAGGAGAAGACCAAAACCATTAACCAGGTAACAGGTCTCATTATCATTTCTACACCTTAATTGAATAATAAGTCTTAAATTACCATAAATTATCTTAAATTATCATAAATTATCATAATTTATCTTAAATTGTACAGCTAAAGAAGATTGGACGGAAGTACAAAGAGCAAGCAGAGGCTGCACGTAAGGAACTGGACGACCTTCAGGCCCAGCAAGCTGCCAAGAGTCAGGAACCAGCTCCACCTAGCAAGGAGGCCATTGAACAGGCAGTGGGTCCTGTCCAGGAGAGGCTTACTGCCACAGAGAAAGAGAGAGATGAACTTAAACAGAGGCTCGAGCAGACGACGACTGAATCAAACTCATCAAAGGAACAGTTCTCAAAACTTCAACAGGTCTGCTTGTCACCCTGTAAAAAAGTTCCATTATAAAAACATGATTAGCATTTGCTATTTTGAAGGGTGAAAAAAATATTTAAAAAGTTACTAATTCATAAGATATCAACACTTTTGTTGTACAGAAGAACATGTGAAAATTCAAGTTATAGAGTTGAACCTATCAGCTGACTTTTTTATGTATTAGTTGAAACTTTTCTCCAGACTTTCGTTCATATGTATATATATTAGGAAGTGAAACCTTTCATCACAATCCTTATTTATAAATATTTGAATCAGTTCACCAGACTTATCAACTAGAAGTTTAATTTGTTTGACATCTTTTTTTATTTATAAGGAGCTGACACAAAGTAAAGAGGAACATACGAAAGTCAAGGAAGAGAATACAGACTACGAAAAAAAACTCAACCAGTCACGGAATGTCTTACAAGCAGCAAAGAAAAAGATTGGCTCTCAAAACGAACAGATAGAAAAACTCACAACAGAAATGAATGATGTAAAACAGAAACTGGCAGTTTCTGAAAAACAGATTGTGTCAGCTTCAGAAAAGATGAAAGGTGTGTTTCCAGTGTTTACGCTGCTAAAATTTCTCTACATGTTTTATTTGATATTCAAGTCTTAGACAAGGGATCGAATATTGAAGTTGTACACGGTATATAAGGATCTACTTGTATATATCATTAGTGATGCCATTCCTCTGCAATCTTATCTCACTTCTTGAAATTTACAAATTTGCACTTTGACCTCCTCGGGTCAAAACAAGTTCACCATTACTTTAGATAGACAATGTCCATTTAACGCTGGTAATGAGTGTAAATCACTGTTTTAGATGTTTAAAATTTTAGTAAATAACAAAATGAGTAATTTTGATGTAACATACTATTTAAGTATTTAGATTTTTTTTGCTTTAATGAAATCACTCAAGCTAATCAACAAGTGTTTACAAGTACTGTACCTGTCAGACTGGTTTAAATGATTTCAAACTTTTAGGGGATGTAGAACAGCGCGTGATGGCAGTTAAGTCAGACTTAGAAGAGAAACTTTCCAAAATGGAGAAAGAGTTGACAGAAACAAGAGTAATGAAGGAATCGGCCGGCAACACCGTTTCTGAACTACAAGCTGTCATACAGAGATCCCAGGAAGAGAATACAGAGCTACAGACCAAGGTTAGTAGTGGTGGTAGACACAGTCGGTGAACTTTTAAGTCCCCGAGGTTTGCTGTAACCTGTGTGCCACTTTTTAATTTATTCAATTTGTAGCATGGTTCAGAATAAACACATACAGAGCTACAGACCAAGATAAATAAAATACAGAATGTGTTAGACTGGTATCTGTTGGAAGCCAAATTATCTGAAGGTGCTATTCATTGGTCTGTCTTTTGTACGGTCTTTGAGATAGTTGGTGTTAGATACAGTTGATGGACTTAAAGTCCCCGAGGTTTGCCCTAACCTGCATCCCACGTTTTAATTAATTTGAATTATGATATGGTTCAGAATATACACATGCACTTGATGTGTAATTACATAATTATAGAGCTGCTGGACCTCCCCATCTAGATTTTGACTTTCTTTCGATCACTTTGGATTTTCCTTAGTCGCCTCCTAGGCTTCAAAGATTTGGCCCTTAGTATCACTGACGAGTCCTAGAAGGACGAAACAGCTGTATGATGTAACATCACTGACGAGTCCTAGAAGGACGAAACAGCTGTATGATGTAGCATCACTGACGAGTTCTAGAAGGACGAAACAGCTGTATGATGTAACATCACTGACGAAGTCCTAGAAGGACAAAACAGCTGTATGATGTAACATCAGTGACGAGTCCTAGAAGGACGAAACAGCTGTATGATGTAACATCACTGACGAGTCCTAGAAGGACGAAACAGTTGTATGATGTAGCATCACTGACGAAGTCCTAGAAGGACGAAACAGCTGTATGATGTAACATCACTGACGAAGTCCTAGAAGGACGAAACAACTGTATGATGTAACATCACTGACGAGTCCTAGAAGGACGAAACAGCTGTATGATGTAGCATCACTGACAAAGTCCTAGAAGGACGAAACAGCTGTATGATGTAGCATCACTGACGAGTCCTAGAAGGACGAAACAGCTGTATGATGTAGCATCACTGACGAGTCCTAGAAGGACGAAACATCTGTATGATGTAACATCACTGACGAGTCTTAGAAGGACGAAACAGCTGTATGATGTAGCATCACTGACGAGTCCTAGAAGGACGAAACAGCTGTATGATGTAGCATCACTGACGAGTCCTAGAAGGACGAAACAGCTGTATGATGTAACATCACTGACGAGTCCTAGAAGGACGAAACAGCTGTATGATGTAGCATCACTGACGAGTCCTAGAAGGACGAAACAGCTGTATGATGTAACATCACTGACGAGTCCTAGAAGGACGAAACAGCTGTATGATGTAACATCACTGACGAGTCCTAGAAGGACAAAACAGCAGTATGATGTAGCATCACTGACGAGTCCTAGAAGGACGAAACAGCTGTATGATGTAGCATCACTGACGAGTCCTAGAAGGACGAAACAGCTGTATGATGTAACATCACTGACGAGTTCTAGAAGGACGAAACAGCTGTATGATGTAACATCACTGACGAGTCCTAGAAGGACTCTTTGGCTCTACTGTATTTAACTCTTAATTATGAGAAGGTGTCATTCACTTGTGTGACTTTCGTATAATCCTGATACATTATTGTGTGTTTAAATATCAAGATTGTTTAGAGATGAACTGTTATGAAATTTGAATAAAGTAAGCATGTTTGATTTATATTTGACAGATACAACAGTTACTGAAACAAATTGAATCACAGCAGACCAAGTCTGTTCCACCGCAGCCACAGGTAGCTCGACCCTCAGCCACTGTCACGGTAGAGCGAGTCAGGTAAGTTGTTGTGGGCCTGCTTGTGAGAAATTCACGTCTCGTCCGTTTACTTACACTGCTACAATCTGAAAGTTCCAGGGATTGATTTTACAATATAAATAGCATGCAGGGTTTCAATTTTATCTGAAACAGAATAAGTCTCATGATAACCGTATATCTATTAATTTTTTCTGATTAAGTGCGCCTACCTCTGAAGCTCCAAAGACAGCCAACATCCGGCCAATGGCATCCCCCGTACCTGTAACACCTCGGACACAGCCAGCTCAGATTCAGCCCCAATCAGCTGCCACCAAAGCCACTGCCAGTATTCGACCTATGGCCATTGCTCCAACAACAGTGGCACCAAGCAGTGGCCCCACACCAACAGCCACTGTCATGCCAACAACCGTGTCTGTACAGGATAATCAGGGTAAGGATGACTCTGTACTACAATCATGGTGGGGAGAACTCTTTAGTCAGTACAGGACAATCAGGGTAGGGAGAACTCTTTAGTCAGTACAGGACAATCAGGGTAGGGAGAACTCTTTAGTCAGTACAGGATAATCAGGTTAGGGAGAACTCTTTAATCGGTACAGGACAATCAGGATAGAGAGAACTCTTTAGTCAGTACAGGATAATCAGGGTAGGGAGAACTCTTTAATCTGTACAGGACAATCAGAGTAGGGAGAACTCTTTAGCCAGTACAGGACAATCAGGCTAGGGAAAACTCTTTAATCGGTACAGGACAATCAGGGTAGGGAGAACTCTTTAATCAATACGGGACAAAGGTAATTGTGAATTGAATACAAGCTTAATATTAAGAAACAGTATTGATGAGAATCATTGTCAAATTATTGGTATACATATTCTAATTACAGTTGATTATATTCTGATAACAAATAATTATGTAATCCTTTGTCTCTTGTATCCCAACAGAGAGTTCTCAAGTGTCCCAGCTGTCACCTGCCCTGGCTCGCCCCACCCAGCATGTCCAGAGAGTTACTCCACAGGTGGAAACTGGCACAGGTAAGTGATGTGCACAGCTCTACAGTTGTAATCAACAGTAACAAACAAGATATTGAAGTGTTTGATAACAGCTCAGGGCTCTCCTAATCACTGGCAGTCCCCCTGGGAAGACAATGAAGGTAACAAAAGGTCACTTAAAGAACAAACACCCCACTGGAGACAACTCCTGTATCAATTTGTAGGTACATCTTCTAGACAAACTGTTTGGGTCTGGTGTCTCTGGTAATTCCACCAAGGAATATTCAGATAGTTGTAAAGTTAGGGGCAAGCATCTCTAGGTCTGGAAAGTATCGTAGAGGCCTTATTTTTATACAGGTATTGTGGAGTAAACAAATTAATAAGCTCTAGCATTATTGGTTGTTTATAGAACAAACAGCTGTCATTACGGAGAGTGAGGTAGTCAGTGGGCACACAGAGACAGTCGCTGTGGATCCACAGCCTTCAACATCAGCCTTCGACAACCAAGCGACCAGCGCTCAGCTCAAACGTTCACGTGATGACATGGAAGGGTAAGGCCTGGAAATAACTGTACATTTACAAATTATCATCCTTTAGAAATAGACACTTTAGAACATCTGTCTATAGAGTTCCTAACACACCTGGTAGTGAGTCGGGTTAAATTTGGAAGACTGTGGAATTAATGTTGATATTGTTTTTACAGGGAATCATGTAGAAACATATAGAAATTAAGACGCACTGCTGTGTAGATCAGTTTGTGGATCCAGTTCTAATGTGTGTCTAGTTAAATAGCTCATAATCATTCCTTCTTCTTGGGGGTTGGTGGAGAAAACGAAATAGTTGACTTCATAAGAATGTAATTTATAGTGCATCCTAAGATAGAGGAATTTCCAGTCTGTAACTGTATTCACAGATGTTACAGATGTCCAAGAAAATTGAGAGCTTGGTTTTGTAACTCTGCAAGAAAATCTGTCAAAATCTTGGTGGAAGTGATTTTTTTAACCTAAGATTACACAATAAAGATATATATGTAACATATTAGTTGAATTCCAGGAATTTATAAACAGCCAGAACACTGAGAGAGTTGGAATAAATTTGTTTTTTTGTAGACATGACGAGGAAACAGAATCTAAGAGAACAAGAGTGTCCCCAGTAAGTTCTTTTGCTTTTCTGATTTTGAAATGTTTCATTATTCACAAATATAAGCGATATCTCCTGACATGTTGTCACTAAAACTTTGATCAAAGTGATTATTATGTGGCCCAGGTGAAAAGTATGGGGTCACCTGGCTGACCGCCTGGGTTTTCTCTTAGTAATCTACTTTTTTCCTACCTGATGTCCTACCACCTACTTTCATCCAAGCCTAAAAGAAGTATTAATACAAGCTTATTACGTGTTGCACAATTGTTTTAAGAGAATTACATTCAAAATATAAATCGATAATAAAAATTTTGATGTATAGAATGGTGTATTTTGTCACTGAAATACTGATTCTTTTCCAGGAAAATTATTTTCTATTTATTTGTTACTAGGACCAGCCAGGACTTCCATCTATCACTGTCACTGACGAGCATGCCAACACAATGTCCATACCAGAACACGGGGGTGTGGCTACTCAGGATCCTGAGGTCACAGGGTCAGAAGTCCCATCAGACACTCTTCCCACTCAGGTCAGATGCTCTTGACATCGTCACATACAATTCTCCACTAGACATCATCACATACAATTCTCCACTAGACATTGTCACATACAATTCTCCACTAGACATAGTCACATACAATTCTCTACTAGACATCGTCACATACAATTCTCCACTAGATATAGTCACATACAATTCTCCACTAGACATCGTCACATACAATTCTCCACTAGATATAGTCACATACAATTCTCTACTAGATATAGTCACGTACAATTCTCTACTAGATATCGTCACATACAATTCTCCACTAGACATCGTCACATACTATTCTCCACTAGACATCGTCACATACAATTCTCCACTAGACATCGTCACATACAATTCTCCACTAGACATCGTCACATACAATTCTCCACTAGATATAGTCACATACAATTCTCCACTAGACATCGTCACATACAATTCTCTACTAGATATAGTCACATACAATTCTCTACTAGATATAGTCACATACAATTCTCTACTAGATATCGTCACATACAATTCTCCACTAGACATCGTCACATACTATTCTCCACTAGACATCGTCACATACAATTCTCCACTAGACATCGTCACATACAATTCTCCACTAGACATCGTCACATACAATTCTCCACTAGACATCGTCACATACAATTCTCCACTAGACATAGTCACATACAATTCTCTACTAGACATCGTCACATACAATTCTCCACTAGACATAGTCACATACAATTCTCCACTAGATATAGTCACATACAATTCTCCACTAGACATCGTCACATACAATTCTCCACTAGATATAGTCACATACAATTCTCTACTAGATATAGTCACATACAATTCTCTACTAGATATCGTCACATACAATTCTCCACTAGACATCGTCACATACAATTCTCCACTAGACATCGTCACATACAATTCTCCACTAGACATAATCACATACAATTCTCCACTAGACATCGTCACATACTATTCTCCACTAGACATCGTCACATACAATTCTCCACTAGACATCGTCACATACAATTCTCCACTAGACATAGTCACATACAATTCTCCACTAGACATCGTCACATACTATTCTCCACTAGACATCGTCACATACAATTCTCCACTAGACATCGTCACATACAATTCTCCACTAGACATAGTCACATACAATTCTCTACTAGACATCGTCACATACAATTCTCCACTAGACATCGTCACATACAATTCCCCACTAGACATCGTCACATACAATTCTCCACTAGACATAGTCACATACAATTCTCCACTAGACATAGTCACATACAATTCTCCACTAGATATAGTCACATACAATTCTCCACTAGACATCGTCACATACAATTCTCCACTAGACATAGTCACATACAATTCTCCACTAGATATAGTCACATACAATTCTCCACTAGACATCGTCACATACAATTCTCCACTAGATATAGTCACATACAATTCTCTACTAGATATAGTCACATACAATTCTCTACTAGATATCGTCATATACAATTCTCCACTAGACATAGTCACATACTATTCTCCACTAGACATCGTCACATACAATTCTCCACTAGACATAGTCACATACAATTCTCCACTAGACATCGTCACATACAATTCTCCACTAGACATCGTCACATACAATTCTCCACTAGACATAGTCACATACAATTCTCCACTAGACATAGTCACATACAATTCTCCACTAGACATCGTCACATACAATTCTCTACTAGACATCGTCACATACAATTCTCCACTAGACATAGTCACATACAATTCTCCACTAGACATCGTCACATACAATTCTCCACTAGACATCGTCACATACAATTCTCCACTAGACATCATCACATACAATTCTCCACTAGACATCGTCACATACAATTCTCCACTAGACATAGTCACATACAATTCTCCACTAGACATCGTCACATACAATTCTCCACTAGACATAGTCACATACAATTCTCCACTAGACATCGTCACATACAATTCTCCACTAGACATAGTCACATACAATTCTCCACTAGACATAGTCACATACAATTCTCCACTAGACATCGTCACATACAATTCTCCACTAGACATCGTCACATACAATTCTCCACTAGACATAGTCACATACAATTCTCCACTAGACATCGTCACATACAATTCTCCACTAGACATAATCACATACAATTCTCCACTAGACATCTTCACATACAATTCTCCACTAGACATCATCACATACAATTCTCCACTAGAAATCGTCACATACAATTCTCCACTAGACATCTTCACATACAATTCTCCACTAGACATCGTCACATACAATTCTCCACTAGAAATCGTCACATACAATTCTCCACTAGACATCGTCACATACAATTCTCCACTAGACATAGTCACATACAATTCTCCACTAGACATCGTCACATACAATTCTCCACTAGACATAGTCACATACAATTCTCCACTAGACATCGTCACATACAATTCTCCACTAGACATAGTCACATACAATTCTCCACTAGACATCGTCACATACAATACTCCACTAGACATTGTCACATACAATTCTCCACTAGACATAGTCACATACAATTCTCCACTAGACATAGTCACATACAATTCTCCACTAGACATCGTCACATACAATTCTCCACTAGACATAGTCACATACAATTCTCCACTAGACATCGTCACATACAATTCTCCACTAGACATAGTCACATACAATTCTCCACTAGACATCGTCACATACTATTCTCCACTAGACATAGTCACATACAATTCTCCACTAGACATCGTCACATACTATTCTCCACTAGACATCGTCACATACAATTCTCCACTAGACATCGTCATATACAATTCTCCACTAGACATTGTCACATACAATTCTCCACTAGACATAGTCACATACAATTCTCCACTAGACATCGTCACATACAATTCTCCACTAGACATAGTCACATACAATTCTCCACTAGACATCGTCACATACAATTCTCCACTAGACATCGTCACATACAATTCTCCACTAGACATAGTCACATACAATTCTCCACTAGACATAGTCACATACAATTCTCCACTAGACATAGTCACATACAATTCTCCACTAGACATCGTCACATACAATTCTCCACTAGACATAGTCACATACAATTCTCCACTAGACATCGTCACATACAATTCTCCACTAGACATCGTCACATACAATTCTCCACTAGACATCGTCACATACAATTCTCCACTAGACATCGTCACATACAATTCTCTACTAGACATCGTCACATACAATTCTCCACTAGACATAATCACATACAATTCTCCACTAGACATCGTCACATACTATTCTCCACTAGACATCGTCACATACAATTCTCCACTAGACATCGTCACATACAATTCTCCACTAGACATCGTCACATACAATTCTCTACTAGACATCGTCACATACAATTCTCCACTAGACATAATCACATACAATTCTCCACTAAACATCGTCACATACTATTCTCCACTAGACATCGTCACATACAATTCTCTACTAGACATCGTCACATACAATTCTCCACTAGACATCGTCACATACAATTCTCCACTAGACATCGTCACATACAATTCTCCACTAGACATAATCACATACAATTCTCCACTAGACATCGTCACATACACTTCTCCACTAGACATAGTCACATACTATTCTCCACTAGACATAGTCACATACAATTCTCCACTAGACATAGTCACATACAATTCTCCACTAGACATCGTCACATACAATTCTCCACTAGACATAGTCACATACAATTCTCCACTAGACATAGTCACATACAATTCTCCACTAGACATCGTCACATACACTTCTCCACTAGACATCGTCACATACAATTCTCCACTAGACATCGTCACATACAATTCTCCACTAGACATAATCACATACAATTCTCCACTAGACATAATCACATACAATTCTCCACTAGACATCGTCATATACAATTCTCCACTAGACATAGTCACATACTATTCTCCACTAGACATAGTCACATACAATTCTCCACTAGACATAGTCACATACAATTCTCCACTAGACATCGTCACATACAATTCTCCACTAGACATAGTCACATACTATTCTCCACTAGACATAGTCACATACAATTCTCCACTAGACATAGTCACATACAATTCTCCACTAGACATCGTCACATACAATTCTCCACTAGACATAGTCACATACAATTCTCCACTAGACATAGTCACATACAATTCTCCACTAGACATCGTCACATACAATTCTCCACTAGACATCATCACATACAATTCTCCACTAGACATCGTCACATACAATTCTCCACTAGACATCGTCACATACAATTCTCCACTAGACATCATCACATACAATTCTCCACTAGACATAGTCACATACAATTCTCCACTAGACATCGTCACATACAATTCTCCACTAGACATCATCACATACAATTCTCCACTAGACATCATCACATACAATTCTCCACTAGACATAATCACATACAATTCTCTACTAGACATCGTCACATACTATTCTCCACTAGACATCGTCACATACAATTCTCCACTAGACATAATCACATACAATTCTCCACTAGACATCATCACATACAATTCTCCACTAGACATCATCACATACAATTCTCCACTAGACATAATCACATACAATTCTCTACTAGACATCGTCACATACTATTCTCCACTAGACATCATCACATACAATTCTCCACTAGACATAGTCACATACAATTCTCCACTAGACATAGTCACATACAATTCTCCACTAGACATCGTCACATACAATTCTCCACTAGACATAGTCACATACAATTCTCCACTAGACATAGTCACATACAATTCTCCACTAGACATCGTCACATACAATTCTCCACTAGACATTGTCACATACAATTCTCCACTAGACATAGTCACATACAATTCTCCACTAGACATCGTCACATACAATTCTCTACTAGACATAGTCACATACAATTCTCCACTAGACATAGTCACATACAATTCTCCACTAGACATAGTCACATACAATTCTCCACTAGACATCGTCACATACAATTCTCCACTAGACATCGTCACATACAATTCTCCACTAGACATCGTCACATACAATTCTCCACTAGACATCGTCACATACAATTCTCCACTAGACATAGTCACATACAATTCTCCACTAGACATAGTCACATACAATTCTCCACTAGACATCGTCACATACAATTCTCTACTAGACATAGTCAAATGATCTGTTTATTTCTTTTTCTTTCACAGATTTTTGAATCGTCCATGGACCAGGTTTATGATAGTCAGGCCACGATGACCTTTGATACTCAGGTATGACCCTTTTAGATGGACATGATAAGTTGTTTGAGCAACCTTGTGTCCATTTCACTACAGAATAATCATTATCATCATAACATAAGTTATTAGGGTCCCGCATCGCGATGCGGGTGCCCTATAGTAATCACCTTGTCCGTCTGTCCGTCTGTCTGTCCGTCTGTCTGTCCGTTTCACTTTCCGCACGATATCTTGAGAAGGAATGATGAGATTTCGATGAAACTTGCTTATGATACTTGGTACATAAGTCCCTCGCTCAAGTTCGATGTTCGCCAAATTCTGCGCATATTTAATGAGGCTGCTGCAATCTGATTGGCTGAATGTTTTACATGTCTGTCGGTTTCGCTTTCCGCACGATATCTTGAGAAGGAACAATGGGATTTCGATGAAACTTACTTATGATACTTGGTACATGAGTCTCTCGCTCAAGTTCGATGTTTGCCGAATTCCGCGCATATTTAATGAGGCTGCTGCAATCTGATTGGCTGAATGTTTTACAGAGAATATCTTCTGAAGGAATGATTTGGGATTTTTTAAAACTTGCTTTGTGATACTTGGTACATAAGCCCCTCATTCGAGTTCAATGTTCACCCTGTCCGTCTGTCTGTCCGTCCGTTTCCCTGTCTGTCGATCCATATATCTGTCCATCTGTCCATTTTCATTGGATTTTGATGAAAGTTGCTTTCAATACTTCACACCTGTCCATATATTTCTTAATATTAAGAAACTCAATCATAAGGGGTAGGTATTATGCGGGGCCCTTCCTCGACATTGGTCTAGTTGTCATCTTTATGTCCGTCCTTCTGTCTATCCATTTTTCCCATTACATATTTGCAGGGATAGGCTAGCAAGTTTTTGGAACAAAATTTTTGAAAAAAAAATTTAATCATTTTAAATTTTAAATCTTGGCAGTGTTCTCTGGACCCTGTTGTCTTGGCAGTGTTCTCTGGACCCTGTTGTCTTGGCAGTGTTCTCTGGACCCTGTTGTCTTGGCAATGTTCTCAGGACCCTGTTGTCTTGGCAATGTTCTCAGAACCATGTTGTCTTGGCAATGTTCTCTGGACCCTGTTGTCTTGGCAATGTTCTCAGGACCATGTTGTCTTGGCAATCATCTCAGGAACTGTTGTCTTGGCAATGTTCTCAGGACCCTGTTGTCTTGGCAATGTTCTCAGGACCATGTTGTCTTGGCAATCATCTCAGGAACTGTTGTCTTGACAATGTTCTCAGGACCCTGATGTCTTGGCAGTGTTGTAATAACCCTGTTGTCTTGGCAATGTTCTCTGGACCCTGTTGTCTTGGCAATGTTCTCTGGACCCTGTTGTCTTGGCAATGTTCTCTGGACCCTGTTGTCATGGCAGTGTTCTCAGGACCTGTTGTTTTGACAGTGTTCTTAGGACCCTGTTGTCTTGGCAATGTTCTCTGGACCCTGTTGTCTTGGCAATGTTCTCTGGACCCTGTTGTCTTGGCAATGTTCTCTGGACCCTGTTGTCATGGCAGTGTTCTCAGGACCTGTTGTCTTGACAGTGTTCTTAGGACCCTGTTGTCTTGGCAATGTTCTCTGGACCCTGTTGTCTTGACAATGTTCTAAGGACCCTGTTGTCTTGGCAATGTTCTCTGGACCCTGTTGTCTTGGCAATGTTCTCAGGACCATGTTGTCTTGGCAATCATCTCAGGAACTGTTGTTTTGGCAGTGTTCTCAGGACCCTGATGTCTTGGCAGTGTTGTAATAACCCTGTTGTCTTGGCAATGTTCTCAGGACCCTGTTGTCTTGGCAATGTTCTCTGGACCCTGTTGTCTTGGCAATGTTCTCAGGACCTGTTGTCTTGACAGTGTTCTTAGGACCCTGTTGTCATGGCAGTGTTCTCAGGACCTGTTGTCTTGACAGTGTTCTTAGGACCCTGTTGTCTTGGCAATGTTCTCAGGACCCTGTTGTCTTGGCAATGTTCTCAGGACCCTGTTGTCTTGACAATGTTCTTAGGACCCTGTTGTCTTGGCAATGTTCTCTGGACCCTGTTGTCTTGGCAATGTTCTCAGGACCATGTTGTCTTGGCAATCATCTCAGGAACTGTTGTCTTGGCAGTGTTCTCAGGACCCTGATGTCTTGGCAGTGTTGTAATAACCCTGTTGTCTTGGCAATGTTCTCAGGACCCTGTTGTCTTGGCAATGTTCTCTGGACCCTGTTGTCTTGGCAATGTTCTCTGGACCCTGTTGTCTTGGCAATGTTCTCAGGACCATGTTGTCTTGGCAATCATCTCAGGAACTGTTGTCTTGACAATGTTCTCAGGACCCTGATGTCTTGGCAATGTTCTCCGGACCCTGTTGTCTTGGCAATGTTCTCTGGACCCTGTTGTCTTGGCAATGTTCTCAGGACCATGTTGTCTTGGCAATCATCTCAGGAACTGTTGTCTTGACAATGTTCTCAGGACCCTGATGTCTTGGCAATGTTCTCTGGACCCTGTTGTCTTGGCAATGTTCTCAGGACCATGTTGTCTTGGCAGTGTTCTCTGGACCCTGTTGTCATGGCAGTGTTCTCAGGACCTGTTGCCTTGGCAATGTTCTCTGGACCCTGTTGTCTTGGCAATGTTCTCTGGACCCTGTTGTCATGGCAGTGTTCTCAGGACCTGTTGTCTTGACAGTGTTCTTAGGACCCTGTTGTCTTGGCAATGTTCTCAGGACCCTGTTGTCTTGGCAATGTTCTCTGGACCCTGTTGTCTTGGCAATGTTCTCTGGACCCTGTTGTCTTGGCAATGTTCTCTGGACCCTGTTGTCTTGGCAATGTTCTCTGGACCCTGTTGTCATGGCAGTGTTCTCAGGACCTGTTGTCTTGACAGTGTTCTTAGGACCCTGTTGTCTTGGCAATGTTCTCAGGACCCTGTTGTCTTGGCAATGTTCTCTGGACCCTGTTGTCTTGACAATGTTCTTAGGACCCTGTTGTCTTGGCAATGTTCTCTGGACCCTGTTGTCTTGGCAATGTTCTCAGGACCATGTTGTCTTGGCAATCATTTCAGGAACTGTTGTCTTGGCAGTGTTCTCAGGACCCTGATGTCTTGGCAGTGTTGTAATAACCCTGTTGTCTTGGCAATGTTCTCAGGACCCTGTTGTCTTGGCAATGTTCTCTGGACCCTGTTGTCTTGGCAATGTTCTCTGGACCTTGTTGTCTTGGCAATGTTCTCAGGACCATGTTGTCTTGGCAATCATCTCAGGAACTGTTGTCTTGACAATGTTCTCAGGACCCTGATGTCTTGGCAATGTTCTCCGGACCCTGTTGTCTTGGCAATGTTCTCTGGACCCTGTTGTCTTGGCAATGTTCTCTGGACCCTGTTGTCTTGGCAATGTTCTCTGGACCCTGTTGTCTTGGCAATGTTCTCTGGACCCTATTGTCATGGCAGTGTTCTCAGGACCTGTTGTCTTGACAGTGTTCTTAGGAGCCTGTTGTCTTGGCAGTGTTCTTAGGAGCCTGTTGTCTTGGCAATGTTCTTAGGACCCTGTTGTCTTGGCAGTGTTCTAAGGACCCTGTTGTCTTGGCAATGTTCTCTGGACCCTGTTGTCTTGACAGTGTTCTCTGGACCCTGTTGTCTTGACAATGTTCTCAGGACCCTGTTGTCTTGACAATGTTCTTAGGACCCTGTTGTCTTGGCAATGTTCTCAGGACCCTGATGTCTTGGTAGTGTTCTCAGGCCCCTGTTGTCTTGACAATGTTGTCAGGACCCTGCTGTTTTTGCAGTGTTTTCAGGATCTGTCGTCTTTGCAATGTTCTCAGGACACAGTTGTCTTGGCAATGTTCTCTGGACCCTGTGTCTTGGCAATGTTCTCAGGACCCTGTTGTCTTGACAATGTTCTCAGGACCCTGTTGTCTTGACAATGTTCTCAGGACCCTGTTGTCTTGGCAATGTTCTCAGGACCCTGTTGTCTTGGCAGTGTTCTAAGGACCCTGTTGTCTTGGCAATGTTCTCTGGACCCTGTTGTCTTGACAGTGTTCTCTGGACCCTGTTGTCTTGACAATGTTCTCAGGACCCTGTTGTCTTGGCTGTGTTCTCAGGACCCTGTTGCCTTGGCAGTGTTGTCAGGACCCTGTTGTCTTGGCAGTGTTATGGTGACCTTGTTGTCTTGCCACTGTTATGGTGACCTTGTTGTCTTGGCAATGTTCTCAGGACCTGTTGTCTTGGCAGTGTTACAGTGACCCTGTTGTCTTGGCAGTGTTACGGTGACCCTGTTGTCTTGACAGTGTTATGGTGACCCTGTTGTCATGGCATTGTTACGGTGACCCTGTTGTCTTGGCAGTGTTATATGGACCCTGTTATCTTAGCTCTAAAACCCGAAGAATTTTACTAGTGGACATCGGTAGAGTGTCCTGGATTATTCACTAACAATTGATTTATTGTTGGATGCCAGCAAGGACAAAGAGAAATGACACAGGAAATGACAGAGGAGAGGAATGAGATGGAGGAGGAGGAGGAGGAGGACGATGATGATGCAGTTATTGTTGTGGAGAGTGATGAAGAAGATGATGAGGAAGCAGAAGATTATGATGAGGATGATGATAATGAAGGATACAATGAGGATATGGGAGATTACGATGAGGACGACGAGGATGACGATGACGAACAAATCCAGGATGATGATTACCAAGAGGTCTGTGGACATGTTTATGTATTTACTATGACCCTGTGTCTGTATAGACTGTGACCCTGTGTCGGTATAGACTGTGACCCTGTGTCTGTATAGACTGTGACCCTGTGTATGTATAGACTGTGACCCTGTGTCTGTATAGACTGTGACCCTGTGTCTGTATAGACTGTGACCCTGTGTCTATAGACTGTGACCCTGTGTCTGTATAGACTGTGACCCTGTGTATGTATAGACTGTGACCCTGTGTCTGTATAGACTGTGACCCTGTGTATGTATAGACTGTGACCCCGTGTATGTATAGACTGTGACCCCGTGTCTGTATAGACTGTGACCCGTGTCTGTATAGACTGTGACCCTGTGTCTGTATAGACTGTGACCCTGTGTATGTATAGACTGTGACCCTGTGTCTGTATAGACTGTGACCCTGTGTGACCCTGTGTCTATAGACTGTGACCCTGTGTCTATAGACTGTGACCCTGTGTATGTATAGACTGTGACCCTGTGTCTGTATAGACTGTGACCCTGTGTCTATAGACTGTGACCCTGTGTATATCGACTGTGACCCTGTGTATGTATAGACTGACCCTGTGTATGTATAGACAGTGACCCTGTGTCTGTATAGACTGTGACCCTGTGTCTATAGACTGTGACCCTGTGTATGTATCGACTGTGACCCTGTGTATGTATAGACTGTGACCCTGTGTCGACTGTGACCCTGTGTGTATAGACTGTGACCCTGTGTGTATAGACTGTGACCCTGTGTATGTATAGACTGTGACCCTGTGTATGTATAGACTGTGACCCTGTGTCTGTATAGACTGTGACCCTGTGTCTGTATAGACTGTGACCCTGTGTATGTATCGACTGTGACCCTGTGTATGTATAGACTGTGACCCTGTGTATGTATAGACTGTGACCCTGTGTATATATCAACTGTGACCCTGTGTATGTATAGACTGTGACCCTGTGTCTGTATAGACTGTGACCCTGTGTATGTATAGACTGTGACCCTGTGTATGTATAGACTGTGACCCTGTGTCTGTATAGACTGTGACCCTGTGTCTATAGACTGTGACCATGTGTCTGTATAGACTGTGACCCTGTGTCTATAGACTGTGACCCTGTGTCTGTATAGACTGTGACCCTGTGTATGTATAGACTGACCCTGTGTCTGTATAGACTGTGACCCTGTGTCTGTATAGACTGTGACCCTGTGTCTGTATAGACTGTGACCAGTGTGTGTATAGACTGTGACCCTGTGTGTATAGACTGTGACCCGTGTCTGTATAGACTGTCTGTGTATAGACTGTGACCCTGTGTCTATATAGACTGTGACCCTGTGTATGTATAGACTGTGACCCTGTGTCTATATAGACTGTGACCCCGTGTATGTATAGACTGTGACCCTGTGTCTGTATAGACTGTGACCCTGTGTCTATAGACTGTGACCCTGTGTATGTATAGACTGTGACCCTGTGTCTGTATAGACTGTGACCCTGTGTCTATAGACTGTGACCCTGTGTATGTATAGATGTGTCTGTATAGACTGTTACCCTGTGTATGTATAGACTGTGACCATGTGTCTGTATAGACTGTGACCCTGTGTCTGTATAGACTGTGACCCTGTGTCTGTATAGACTGTGACCCTGTGTGTAGACTGTGACCCTGTGTGTATAGACTGTGACCCCTATAGACTGTGTATAGACTGTGACCCTGTGTCTGTATAGACTGTGACCCTGTGTCTGTATAGACTGTGACCCTGTGTCTGTATAGACTGTGACCCTGTGTCTGTATAGACTGTGACCCTGTGTCTGTATAGACTGTGACCCTGTGTCTGTATAGACTGTGACCCTGTGTCAGTATAGACTGTGACCCTGTGTCTGTATTGACTGTGACCCTGTGTCTGTATAGACTGTGACCCTGTGTCTGTATAGACTGTGATCCAGTGTCTGTATAGACTGTGACCCTGTTTCTGTATAGACTGTGACCCTGTGTCTGTATAGACTGTGATCCTGTGTCTGTATTGACTTTGACCCTGTGTCTATAGACTGTGACCCTGTGTCAGTATAGACTGCGACCCTGTGTCTGTATAGACTGTGACCCTGTGTCAGTATAGACTGTGACCCTGTGTCTGTATTGACTGTGACCCTGTGTCTATATAGACTGTGACCCTGTGTCAATATAGACTGTGACCCAGTGTATGTATAGACTGTAACCCTGTGTCTATAGACTGTGACCCTGTGTCTATATAGACCGTAACCCTGTGTCTGTATTGACTGTGACCCTGAGCTTTTGTACAGTTGGTGTAACTCTGATTCTGATGAAGAATGTTCTGTAATTATACATGTAATAATTGTTATATTTAGTTTTTATTCTTGTCTATACCTTAGCTGCTAAACAGCATTGTTAACATCAAGTTACACAATATCAAATAAAATAGATGATTGAGAACAGGATTTTTTTTTCTTGTACAACTATCACTACAAAGCCAGCAGATATAAATTATTTTCTTGAAACGGAGACATATTTTTTTTCACTGCAACAAATCATTCATTAACGATAGTTTTTTCTTGATCTAGTTACCAGAGGGACAGGACGAGGGGGGAGAAGAAGAGTATCAATCCGAGACACAAGCAGGAGATATGCACGACCCTGGAGATGAAGGAGACGACGAAGTCGTCATAGTAGGTCAGTGTCACGACAAAGATCAACTCCCAGCAAAAAGGAAACTATTCTGTTATGACTGTTAGCTTGATCTCTAACTGGAAATGAAAAAAATATGTTGTAAATCTGCTAATTCTTTCCTGTAAGTTTGTTTTTGGTTTATTTGTGATAGAGTTCTTCTGAAATGTTGAAGCCATGTCCACTCTAACCGCTGGCTGTATTTTGCGCTACAGGTGCTTTTGGAATTTGTTACCACTGTTTTACTAGAACTGAAGACAGACCATAAGTGACATAATTGATTGTTCCAGTTACTGCATGCCACATTTGTGCCTGATTGAAAATATTCATCATGAGATATTAAAATGAAAAGTTACCATTTTGCATGTTTTGTAATAAAAATTTGTTTCCACTATTTCTGAAAAGATTCACATTAAGTAACTGTTGATAGTCAAAGTTTGTTGTTACCATTTCTGAAATTATCTGTATAAAAATGTACAGATTAAGTACCAGTCTTATTTTTGCTGTTTTAATTAAGTTCTTAAATTGTTGGATATGAATTCCACTTTCGGATGTTTCACATTAATGTCTCTAGAGGCAAAAATTCTAACTTTCTTTCTAGCAACTTTTTATTAGAATCAATCATCAACATAAATAGGGGCCAGTAATTGATAACAGGATTTATCACCATTAAACTTTACTAAGTAGAATAACACATGAATGAACTTATGGTCCAAATTTTAGTTATGGGACTGGTAAATAACTTACCTAGAATTACTTCCTATATATTGATACCTTACATGTATCATTTGCATGTTGTGATATTACATCACTAGGGGTGTAGAGCCAGCATTGTACTTCTCGCGTAAGTATCATAGGTTCTGTAATCCCTCGCTTGGATTCTCCAACATATGCAGGGCGATTGAAGAATAGTAGGGACTAAGAAGGGCATGTGGTCAACCGCAACAAACTTAGCTGAAGCCCAAATGTTCGAGCAAAACCGGTAGACGTAGTTATAAAGTTATCTCACTGACGATCCTAAGTTTGTTGACCACACCCCCTTCTTGATATTACATATCTAATTTACAGAATCTCTTTGACATCATAAGACTTGACTTTTTATTTCTGTTTTAAATGTTACCAGATAAGCAGACTATTCTGAGAAGCTGAAAGTGAAAAAGTGCCTTGCTTTTTACTCTGGATGGTTTTCAGCTGTTAGATTTGAAATGAATCTCATTGCATGCGTTGGTTTTATCTATGTTGTTTAATCATAGAATGGGATTTTCTACAACAGTCATTTTGAAGACTAAATATGTTTGATATTTAGTTTATAATTCTTTATTAATTCTGATCTATATTTTCTCCCATTTTTGAACAATGGTTGTGATATTATGTAGCAGAAACTGTGTGAATACTAGGCACATGTATTCAGAACATTTTGATAATGTCTATTATACAAGTTTTCTATTTTTAGTGCCAGCTACCTGATAAAACATTTGTCTTTTTTAATAATCCAATAGATGATGAGGAAAATGATAACCAGATGGAGCCACAGGAGCCAGAGGTGCCACCAGTGCCACAGGTAGTGGCACCTTCAGTACAGACGCCAGTCACACAGCGCTCACAGCTACCTTTCCATGCCATGGAGCGTCAGGTGTCCTGCACAAGAACACAACTTGCTCCGTTTGTACTAGCGGTAAGTGAGATCAGAGATTGGTGATTGGTGGAGTCTGTGAATGACTAGAAAGGTTAAAGTGTTTGTCAGCGTTTGATGGTCAATGGAGGCTGTGTTAGGAATATAACATTCTTACAACATGATAAGTGACAAATATTGTTTAACAATATAGTTCTTAACTAAAAAAAAAAACAGCTGAAAATGAAATACTTATCTATTAGACTTGGTGAATATTGCTGTAAGTTGTTTCTTGTTGGTAGGGTCATGCTGGAGGGTTTGAGGATGGTGAGGACTGTATTGTTCCCAGCACCCCGACACTGTTTGTACCTAACAGAGGGGATGGAGGCTTTGCGGAGGCTGTCAGGTATTGGAATATAAGATACCCTCATCCTTTTTACCTTCTATTCAATGGATGCCATCCCAGTTAAATGGAAATTTATCTTGTTTTGGTACAAAGATTTTCTTACTATTACGAAGCTTAGCTACAAATTAGTTTGAAGTGTTTTAAGATATTGAAAGTACAGGAGTGACACTTGCCTTGATGTCTGACCAGACAGTTGAGTAAGTCTTTATTCAAATTTTATATCTTTGTTGTTTCAGCTCCCCACAGATCCCACATCAACGATTTACTTTCACCAGTAACACAGAAGCCATCGCTCACCATGACCTTGGCCAGCTGGAGTCCCAGGAAGGTACTAGTTTATACTATATATTTGGATTCTAAATGAGGATATTTTGACGTCTTCTCGAGTTTACTAGTATCAGAAATATCATATATCAATATATTTCTTAGAATCGTGAAGAAGAAAAAGAATTCTTTATTTTTGTGATTTATTTTTTCAGTACAAGTATTGGAATAAAATTTGATGTTAGAGGTGATCAAAATGTTAACCTGAATGGTAGTTTCATTACATTGGTTTCAGCTCTAGGAATGGATGACACTCAGGTGGACTTATCTCAGTTAGAGGAAGGACAAGGACATAGCGTACCTACCACTCCTATCCAGCAAGCTCCTACAGGTACATAAAATGGCTGACAGGTAGCCATTTTGAATTTTTGAAAGGAAAGTTTGGTATTTACAAGTAGATGATTAATCTCTAATAGATTTCACATATAAGTTCTCATAGTTGTGCCCTGTTGATTTTGGGACTGTTTTGAAAAAAATCAAAAGAAAAAAATGGCAAAAGGTGACCATGTTTGATTTAGACGATGGATTGTTATTCTTTAGAAGGACTGGGTGAATCTTTCTCAAATCTTGTGTGCAGGTTTATTTTGATCTCTAGTTGTGCAGTTTTCATTTGGGATTGATCAAAAACAAAATCGCTGATATGTAGCTATCTTGGATTTTGACACTCTAAGTTTGTTTTCACAAGTTCTTGTTGAATCTTTATCAGTGTTTATGTGTAAGTTCCTCTTGATCCCTAGTTGTGCAGTTTGGATCTTGGGACTAACCACAAAAAGGAAATGGTCTAAAAGCGGCTGTTTTGCATTTGATGGTTAAAGATGATTATGACTTTTTTTTCACAATAATCTTCAAATTTCATGTAATCAAGAGCAAAAAGAGAAGAAAAGATGTGAAAAGATCAACTTTTGAAGAACGAATAAAGATCATAGAATAGTTAGCACCAAGATCCCTCTTGGATCTCTTGTTTATTTGCCGTGAGGATGGAAACATACAGTTTCATGATGAACTGGAAATTTGTTATCAGAAATTTTTAACATTTTACACTGGTCTTAAAGTTGCTGACACTATAGTATTCATAACTGTTTACCATTTACTTTCATGAATTTCAAAATCAAAATATAGATTGATTAAAGTTAATTACTTCGAGTTATGTGTAGTGTAGTACAGGCTGCTTCAGAAAAGTCAATCATTACACAATGGTAGGGTAATGTAGTACAGGCCATTGTTGTGATTCTGATATCACAGTGTTAGGGTAATGTAGTACTGGCCATTGTTGTGATTCTGATATCACAATGCTAGGGTAATGTAGTACTGGCCATTGTTGTGATTCTGATATCACAATGCTAGGGTAATGTAGTACTGGCCATTGTTGTGATTCTGATATCACAATGCTAGGGTAATGTAGTACTGGCCATTGTTGTGATTCTGATATCACAATGCTAGGGTAATGTAGTACTGGCCATTGTTGTGATTCTGATATCACAATGCTAGGGTAATGTAGTACTGGCCATTGTTGTGATTCTGATATCACAATGCTAGGGTAATGTAGTACTGGCCATTGTTGTGATTCTGATATCACAATGCTAGGGTAATGTAGTACAGGCCATTGTTGTGATTCTGATATCACAATGCTAGGGTAATGTAGTACTGGCCATTGTTGTGATTCTGATATCACAATGCTAGGGTAATGTAGTACTGGCCATTGTTGTGATTCTGATATCACAATGCTAGGGTAATGTAGTACTGGCCATTGTTGTGATTCTGATATCACAATGCTAGGGTAATGTAGTACTGGCCATTGTTGTGATTCTGATATCACAATGCTAGAGTAATGTAGTACTGGCCATTGTTGTGATTCTGATATCACAATGGTAGGGTAATGTAGTACTGGCCATTGTTGTGATTCTGATATTACAATGCTAGAGTAATGTAGTACTGGCCATTGTTGTGATTCTGATATCACAATGCTAGAGTAATGTAGTACTGGCCATTGTTGTGATTCTGATATCACAATGGTAGGGTAATGTAGTACTGGCCATTGTTGTGATTCTGATATCACAATGGTAGGGTAATGTAGTACTGGCCATTGTTGTGATTCTGATATCACAATGCTAGAGTAATGTAGTACTGGCCATTGTTGTGATTCTGATATCACAATGCTAGAGTAATGTAGTACTGGCCATTGTTGTGATTCTGATATCACAATGGTAGGGTAATGTAGTACTGGCCATTGTTGTGATTCTGATATCACAATGGTAGGGTAATGTAGTACTGGCCATTGTTGTGATTCTGATATCACAATGCTAGGGTAATGTAGTACTGGCCATTGTTGTGATTCTGATATCACAATGCTAGGGTAATGTAGTACTGGCCATTGTTGTGATTCTGATATCACAATGGTAGGGTAATGTAGTACTGGCCATTGTTGTGATTCTGATATCACAATGGTAGGGTAATGTAGTACTGGCCATTGTTGTGATTCTGATATCACAATGGTAGGGTAATGTAGTACTGGCCATTGTTGTGATTCTGATATCACAATGCTAGGGTAATGTAGTACTGGCCATTGTTGTGATTCTGATATCACAATGCTAGGGTAATGTAGTACTGGCCATTGTTGTGATTCTGATATCACAGTGCTAGGGTAATGTAGTACTGGCCATTGTTGTGATTCTGATATCACAATGGTAGGGTAATGTAGTACTGGCCATTGTTGTGATTCTGATATCACAATGCTAGGGTAATGTAGTACTGGCCATTGTTGTGATTCTGATATCACAATGCTAGGGTAATGTAGTACTGGCCATTGTTGTGATTCTGATATCACAATGCTAGGGTAATGTAGTACTGGCCATTGTTGTGATTCTGATATCACAATGCTAGGGTAATGTAGTACTGGCCATTGTTGTGATTCTGATATCACAATGCTAGGGTAATGTAGTACTGGCCATTGTTGTGATTCTGATATCACAATGCTAGGGTAATGTAGTACTGGCCATTGTTGTGATTCTGATATCACAATGCTAGGGTAATGTAGTACTGGCCATTGTTGTGATTCTGATATCTTAAGCATTAGTCACTACAAAAGAAAAATGTGTGTGCATTTCAAAGTTCCAAGGTTGAGGTCAGACAATTCATTACGACTGACTGTCAGACAATTCATTACGACTGACTGTCAGACAATTCATTACGACTGACTGTCAGGCAATTCATTACGACTGACTGTCAGACAATTCATAAATACTTCATTAAGACTGATTGTCAGAGCTTTTTCTTTTGTAGTGGCAACATCTGGAGAATCAGCTGATCCTATTCCAGCAGCCAGTGTTGTGGACGACACTCTGACAACAGACAGGTAGTTTATCTGTTTACCTAAGAACCACCCTATCATTAGTGTAATAATACCCTTTACATCAATTTGTGTAGTAACACCCTTTACATCAATTTGTGTAGTAACACCCTTTACATCAATTTGTGTAGTAACACCCTTTACATCAATTTGTGTAATAACACCCTTTACATCAATTTGTGTAGTAACACCCTTTACATCAATTTGTGTAGTAACACCCTTTACATCAATTTGTGTAATAACACCCTTTACATCAATTTGTGTAGTAACACCCTTTACATCAATTTGTGTAATAACACCCTTTACATCAATTTGTGTAGTAACACCCTTTACATCAATTTGTGTAGTAACACCCTTTACATCAATTTGTGTAGTAACACCCTTTACATCAATTTGTGTAATAACACCCTTTACATCAATTTGTGTAGTAACACCCTTTACATCAATTTGTGTAATAACACCCTTTACATCAATTTGTGTAGTAACACCCTTTACATCAATTTGTGTAATAACACCCTTTACATCAATTTGTGTAGTAACACCCTTTACATCAATTTGTGTAGTAACACCCTTTACATCAATTTGTGTAGTAACACCCTTTACATCAATTTGTGTAGTAACACCCTTTACATCAATTTGTGTAATAACACCCTTTACATCAATTTGTGTAGTAACACCCTTTACATCAATTTGTGTAGTAACACCCTTTACATCAATTTGTGTAGTAACACCCTTTACATCAATTTGTGTAGTAACACCCTTTACATCAATTTGTGTAGTAACACCCTTTACATCAATTTGTGTAATAACACCCTTTACATCAATTTGTGTAGTAACACCCTTTACATCAATTTGTGTAATAACACCCTTTACATCAATTTGTGTAGTAACACCCTTTACATCAATTTGTGTAGTAACACCATTTATATCCATTCGTGTAGTAACACCCTTTACATCAATTTGTGTTATAACACCTATTACATCAACTTTGTAATGTGATGACAGTATCTTGTTTCATACTTCTGTGTTTTTACAGTGGCCCCGAGATCATCACAACTGACACAGCTGGAGAAAGTACTCCTGACATTTCATCATCAGCAGGTACCACTATCAACATTAACAAGTTGGGTTACAGAAACATAAAGGGTTCTTCAGATTCCTGTGGGGCTTGGCTTCCCCTGACTTTGTATAAATCTTAACGATGTCTATATCCTATGTTTAACCAGAGAAGTACTTTAAAGCATCAAGAATTTTTCTTATTGAATTTCTACACTATTCACAAAAGAAATATAGACAGTCAAGGTGTGTGCCATTGGCAGTAATATACCGCTCAGCTAGAGAGAACCGCTCAGCTGGAGAGAACTTTTCTTTAGCTCAATTGGTCAAACGTCACACTAGTTAGTCAGGGGTTCTGGGTTCAAATTCTAGCAGAGGCATTGAATTAAAAAATGACATCTGTTACATTGTCGCCCACATAGGGACTCAGGAATAATACTTAGCCATGCGCCACCAGCATCGTTGTAACCCCTAGAAACTCAAGGACGAGTTAATGAGTAATGTACTGCTCGGCTAGACAGAACTTCTCTGTAGCTTGATCGTTTGAGCGTCAGACTAGTAAGCCAGGGGTCCCAGGTTCGAATCCTAGCTGAGACTCTGAAATCAATAATGACATAGAAATCAAGCATTACCTGGCAGTGATAGACCCTTCAGTAACAGATGTCACTTCAAAGTCAAAACCTTACTGAAGGCATTAATATAGGACAGAGAGACTGTACTCTTTTGTAAATAAATATGAAGGTAATTTTCTCATCAACACTTTATATGTTCTATAGCCAAAGTGGAACCATCGGAGGCGAGTGGGGGACCAGAGAGCGAGTCAGCAACAGCGGGGCCATCATCTGCTGGCAGTGACCCCCAATCCTCTGCTTTTGGACAAGCTGTTGACAAATCTGATGCTGGTACGTGTACATCCATATTTATATGGGTTACAGTATTACAGTATACTTTGCGGAAACATCATTTTGTTTAGACGTCAGCAATCTTAAGCTGAATTTGTTTCACAACTAGTAATGAAGTGATGTTTTAAGTTTGTAAAGTTCTTATCAAGCAGGGTGTTTTTTGAAGAAGGGAGTTTTAGTCCATGAATATAAATTCTGTTAAGTCTTATATGTTATAAAACTGGATAAAAAAGAAACCTTAGTAGTAGACTGTGATCAGTAACATCTCGGAGAAGCAATGCCTGACAGTTCATTTTTAAAGGTATTTGTGTGAATTTTTAAGTGTAGGATGAAGACAAATTATTTGAACATTACATTGTAATTTCATTTAGAAAAATGGAATGAGATCAAAATATTCAAACGTTGATGCAAACCGAAAAATTTTGAAATATTCTGAAGATTCCAGAAATTTGTTGAGCTGCAAAATAATATTGACTTGCAAAACTTTTTTCGTAACAGGAAAAGCTAAAAAGATTCAGCCAATAGTGTGGGAGCAGACAGGCATGCAAATACAAACGGTGTCCCACACCCAGCCGCCTCAGCAGATGAGAGGGCGAGGAAGTATACGAGTGGCAGGACAGACAAGAGGAATGATGCAACACCCTAGAGGTCACCGGGGTTACAATAGGCCACGGGCACCGACACCACGAGGGACACGTAACATGAGGGGTGGCAGAGGGGGTAATTACAGACCACCAATGTACTAGGGAGTCTTGCCAAGGTACTTGGAGTCAGATTCACAAAGACATGCAAGCAGATCTTAGTTTCCAAGATCTTGGACTTTCAAACTTCTGACATCAAACAACTTCTGTTTTAGATTTTAGTGTAGAGCTTTGTGAATGGTAGATGTAAATGAAAAACGGCTGAATTTATTTGGTAAAGTGTAATGATAATGGTTGTGTGAATGATGTCTATATGCTGGGCTCGACCAAGAATTACAGGATGTAACAATAGAAAGTTTCAGTAGAGCTTCAACAAAATAACATTCTGTATGATACATATGAAATAAAAGGATGAAATAGTTTTCACGATTTTCCTACAGTCCTGCTGCAATTTTCTGTTTTGAATATAGCTTTTGATGTATCTCTTTCATGAACTTGATTATCAATGGAGTGTTTTGTGCAACAATATTTGACATTAAAAATCGCTCATCATGTTTGACATTTGTCAAAATCTCTTGAATGGTGACATTTCTGTATCTAGAGATACAAATCAGGCATTAGACAATACATATTGATATGTAGAAAGCAGTGTTTTGAACAAGTAACGTCACAGGAAAAGTATTTGTGATATTGTTAGCGGACTGTGTAATGATTTAGAATGTAACTTTGATATGACATGTAGTGTGAGGGTCAAGGCCAATAAATAGTGAGAGAGACCGATTGTAATGTTAACTTAGATTATAAATGTGCATAAATCATGCTTCGTTTTCCATTTAAAATATCATTGAAAAATAAAAACACACACAAAGATTTGATTTGTGTTTGAATTTTTTGTTTTTAGAATTTGTTGTTATTTTACAGGTAGATTGCATATTTAGGGTTTGGTGTCCTATCACACTATGTTGTACACTTTGGTTTTGGTGCCATATCACACTGTGTTGTACACTTTGGTTTTGGTGCCATATCACACTGTGTTGTACACTTTGGTTTTGGTGCCATATCACACTGTGTTGTACACTTTGGTTTTGGTGCCATATCACACTATGTTGTACACTTTGGTTTTGGTGCCATATCACACTATGTTGTACACTTTGGATTTGGTGTCATATCACACTGTTGTACACTTTGGTTTTGGTGCCATATCACACTATGTTGTACACTTTGGTTTTGGTGCCATATCACACTATGTTGTACACTTTGGTTTTGGTGCCATATCACACTATGTTGTACACTTTGGTTTTGGTGCCATATCACACTGTTGTACACTTTGGTTTTGGTGCCATATCACACTGTTGTACACTTTGTTTTTGGTGCCATATCACACTGTGTTGTACACTTTGGTTTTGGTGTCATATCACACTGTTGTACACTTTGGTTTTGGTGTCATATCACATTGTTGTACACTTTGGTTTTGGTGTCATATCACACTGTTGTACACTTTGGTTTTGGTGTCATATCACACTGTTGTACACTTTGGTTTTGGTGTCATATCACACTATGTTGTACACTTTGGTTTTGGTGTCATATCACACTGTGTTGTACACTTTGGTTTTGGTGTCATTTCACGGGTATATTGTACATGTAGTGTTTAGTATTTTTTCAATAATAGATACAGGAATATACTAGATTTACATATCTATGTTTTGATTCTCAATAGTTTCTGTAACTCGAGTCACTTGACTATTATTAGCTCACCTGGCCCAAAGGGCCAAATGAGCTTATGCCATAGCATGGCATCCATCATCCGTCCATCATCCACCAGTCCTGCATCAGTCAACTTTTCATTTAAACAACTTCTTCTGAAATACCAAAAGGCATAGAGTTATCAAATTTGGCTGGAGGGTTCCTTTGATGAAGCAAAAGAAAGTTTGCAAAAAGAAATGACCTTGACCCATATTCAAGGTCATGGATCACAGAGGTCAAATGTGTTAAAACCTTTAAACCACTTCTTCCAAAATACCGGAAGGCCTAGAATCATTATATATGGCTGGAAGGTTCCTTTGATGAATCGTAACAATATTTGTGAAAAGAAAATACCTTGACCCATATTCAAGGTCACAGAGGTCAAATGTGTTAAAACCTTAAAATGACTTCTCCCGAAATACCGGAAGGCCTAGAATCATTATAATAGGCTACTATATTCCTCTTATGGTGTCCTACGAAGTTTGCTAAAAGAAATGACCTTGACCAATCTTCAAGGTCACAGGGGTCAAATGTGTTAAAACGTTTAAACAATTTCTTCTGAAATATTGAAAGCCTAGAATCCTTATATTTGGTCAGTTTGTTCCTTTTATGAAGTCCAAGAAAGTTTGCAAAAAGAAATGACCTTGACCGATACTCAAGGTCACAGGGGTTTAATGTGTTAAACCTTTGACATTTTCTGATTATCCAAAACATCTAGGATAGTGATATTATGCCAAATTAGGTTCTCAATGATGCCTGATAATATTTGAGAAAAGAAATGACCTTGACCGATATTCAAGGTCACAATAGTCAAATGCGTTAAACCTTTGAACAACTTCTGCTTAACCAAAAGGCCTAAAATCATAATATTTGGCCAAAAGGTTCCCTTTATGGTGCCCACATAGTGTGTGAAAAAATAGCTTGACCCATAAAAATATTACAGGTCACTGGGGTTTAATTTGGTAAAATCATTAACAACTTCTGTATTTCAATAAATCTACGTTGATGTGTTTTTGTGGTGGAGAAAGTTTTCCTGTGACCACTGTGTGTTAATTGCCTCCCTTTGGGAAAGTTCCACGCAGCTCTATTCCCGAATTACGAGTTGTGGGACAAACACAAAATATCTATTCAAAGATGGAAATTTGAAAAGTCCAGTTTCTTGAAATCTTCAAAATAACAAACTTATTAGCAATGAGGATGGTATAACTGATATTGTAAATATATTTAAATGCTACACACTTCAGAAATACAGTTGTAGGAACATGTATTATTGCACAATGTGTGCAAAGCGCATGCATCATGTGCACATCAGGAAAATTAGACGAAATTCGCTATCACAAATCTGTTTGCACAGTGTGTTGTTCCATCACACAGATATGCGACTCTTTCATGGTTTGTATAAGTTTGGAAATGACTTCGGAATAAGTGTGGTAAAAATATTATTTATTTTCTAAATACATAAAAGAGTTCAGCTATGACTTTTTCTGATTATAGCCATATATCTATTAATTAGACACATGTAGATATACGAGAGACTGACTGAATAGTTATATATAGTTTTGTTTTCGTGCCACACATGACCAAACTTTGTGTACAGACACTCATGATATATACATTTTATATGTACACATCAATTAGATGTCTCTTTTAATCATGGCAATAAATCGTCTAAAATCTTACGTCTCATGAAAGGTAATTTTGTTGAAATTCCTTCTGTGTTATTTTCACTTCTCTATCATTTTCCAAGGAAAAAGAATTGCATACTTGAGTAAATTCAAAGTTTTGTGTTTGTTACACTGGAGATCTAGCCAGTAAAAACCTCTGTATACAATATACAAAGGTACAGAACTACACACTAACTAATTAACGAATTGACCAATTAACGCCGGGTATAAGTGTTAATTTGATAACTTTTAAAAATTACCTTTATAATCATTGATCAATATTAATTATTTCTATGATGGCTGTTTAGTCCTAACTCAAGAAGTTTTCTGTTTAAATTTCATTCCCTAACAACAGTCAACCATTTTTACAAAACCACACAAAATGCGTGATTCTGTTGCATACCTGTATGTTAGATACTGTATTGTGTGAAGGATGTATCTCAATGTGTTACCATGACTGTACATAAAGGAAAAGTCAATGGTATTTTTTATTATTATTTTTTTATGTATAGTCACAGCTTGTCCAACTGAATGCTGGTTAAAATTGGGTTTATCAAATTCTCAAGTCGTACCAGTAAATTAGTAAGTATTGCTCAAAGTGTTATTAGTACACTTAGTAATATACTGTTAAACAAAAATCACAATTTCCAACGACATTTGACAGAATCACACGTTTATTGAATAGCAACCATTTCATCAGAGTTGTCTTACCGACATATATATAAACACTAACAGGTTTTCTATACAGAAACAGATGTTGCATCCTATTCTACTCCCTCAACCCTAGTGCCCTAAATATTGCAAGATCTGGACAGGATACCTGTTCAGGCTTCCTTCAGTCTCTTTATTGCTGATTATAGGTGTCCATTATCATTTTTTTTTTCGAAAAAAAAAAACATGTTTTCTAAAAGAAAAATCTACTGGTATTTTTCAATTTTTCAACTGGTAAGAATTCCTTCACACAAAGATTGAGACAGAAATAGATATGAATTTACATAAAAGATATGACACGGAAACTTCACTAGACATGTACGTAAGCTTGATGCATGTGTGGGTATGTGCAGTTTACAATTAAAGTGCTTGGTAAAATTGATCGTGAGATTGATCACAAATGTGGGATGCTATGCAGCAAAAAGATATATTAGCCTGGCAGATCGGGCTGGCATGATCACAATAAACAGGACTAAACAAATACGTTTCTCCATCATACGAACACAACTCTCAAATATTACAACCATTTATACAATTACATGCATTCTCCAAACCTGGGACAACTCGTGTTTGATATTTTCGACTCTGTATATGGATATCACTTGGTCATTCTAAATCTGATGTGTTTTCTTGAATTTTGTTGGGTTTTTTTCCTTCTTACTAAATTTAAGTGTTATAAATCTTCATCTGAATTTTTTTATTTTTTTTTTTTTTTTTTTTGCTTTTTTTCGACAGGTTGCCAGTTTTTTTTGTGACGGTGATAATCTTTTGTTTAAAAACAAAATGAAACAAAATAATACCTCAAAACATGACTCGGTTTCATTTTATTCATGTATCCCATACAGAGACTATTTCACAAGATTTTACACCTAGACCAGTGTAGGATCAATAAGTAAAACAAAATTTAAATATTGATATATATGCGATTTAGATATACATTTTAAATAAAACAGTAAGCACAACAGCTAGCAGGTAACGGCTAGGGAAACACCTGTATTTTACAGCAGTTTTTTTATGTACAGGTGTGATATTGGTTTACTCTTATCCCAATACTACATAGGATAAAACAGTAAAATGTCCAATAAAATAACAAAATCAAAATGAATATGTGGAAAAAACAGAGAACAAAACAAAAAAAGTTTTTGTAGAAATGACAAACTTGTTGTTCTCAACATTTTGTAAAATCACAGTATGCTTAACTTATGGAAAGACCATGTTGTTGGTGGTTTTAATTCCAGAAATGTTTAATGTATAACAATGTTTATAAGTGTTTTCTTTTCTTTATCAAAATCTTTATAAGATATTTCCCCCTCTTGACATTTCAAATACTGATGATTTCAATGCTAGCACTGAACTCTTATGCAAGGACCTGAGACCTCTCTCGCTGAATTCCAGTCAGTGTCAGATTCCTCTCGAGGGCTGTGGGAGGGCGGGTCATAAGCTTCTTGCGGACATCCATACATCTATTATCAAGGTTCAAAGAGTTGATCTTTTGAGCAAGGTCATCGTTGATTCTGTGTAGGTTGTTTTCTAGGCCGTCCAGAGCATGTCTGGTAAAAGAAAAAGTTACATATATTTGTTGTACCAGCTGTTTACCAGTTTATCCTTAATGGACTGAAATCTACATTTCTGTGCTTGTTACATAGGACTCGACATTAGGAAACCAGTATGAGATATTATGATTGACAATAATATCATTACATGGAAAGTCAGTTACATTACCTACCTATAAAACTATTATATTGACAGTGCACTATTGTTATGTTGAATACACAATATCAAATGTTTTGTTTGGGGTACAATACCTCAGAATACATGTATAATCCAACACTTTCATGTTATTTATTGAATTTACAGTATAGGAAAACCTAGCACATCCATCACACTGATATCTTATGCCATTCTTAGGTTCTCTTGTGAAGTGCTACCAATGTTTACATGTTTTTAGAATCAATATTATACAGAGTTATTTCCCCTGGAATTAAGAGCAGATCTTACTTTGCCTGTTTGAGTTTCTCTTCCAGAGAGCGTTTTGTTGCCTCAAGCTGCTTCACTTCGTCAGTGAGACCGTACTGTGGAGCATCACGGCACAGTTCCACGTTGGGGCGGTATGTCCTGTTCTCCAGACGGGTCTGAGCCAGCTTCATTGGGTTCCTCTTCTCACGGATCTTTTCTTCGATGCCACGGATATCATTCTCGAGCTCGGCAATCTCCTCTTCAGTCTGTTATCAGAAGAATATAGGTTAAGTAAGTTTCTGAAGACATATATGTCACCGCTTTCATGCAAATTAGCTTCATTTTTCAATAAATTACTACAAAAGAAACGGTGACTTTCTCCTGAGAACTTTGAAACTCATATGAGGTGTTATCATAGTTGACCTTTGCACCAAATTTCACCAACACCATTAAAAAAGGATATTGTTACAAACAAATCAGAGAGATAAGGGAACTGTATCTCCTACCCCTCTAAAATAATAAAAAAGAGGGGGGAGGATGGGATGGAATTGAAATTGGTTTCAAAATTTTCAAGAAGATTTCAAAACATAATGATCACAGGAAGGGTACAATTGGTTACTACTATCAATTGATCACTCATTGTACTTTTGACATATCTATGACACCAGCGTCATTTTTTGGCATAGCAGTAAAAAAGTAGGTTTTTGATGCAAATTTCAATTCTAAGATTGGCCAAATAAGGTAAAAAACTGCAAAATATTAAATAAATGCCAACTATATAGCGCTTAGACTGAAAATACGATTAGGCTAGTACTCCCTAAGAACAGACACCTATGGATTTGCAAAATACAACATTTTGGGGAAATGCAAAATATCCATTGTATAAAAGTACGTCAATTTCAAGAATGTCAAGAATTTCAACAAAAGAAAACTTTGTATATTAAGCAGACATCTCCAATTTAGTATCAAAGTTAGGTAGATAATTAATGAAACTATCTACTTGATAAAATGAAAGTAGGCGAGATGCTTTTTGAATCATTCCATTTGTTACTTATCTGATTATTTGGAATAATTTTTTGTTATAACATAGCAAAGAAACTTTGATTTGTTTGTGCTTGTAGAACTATGATAAAGATTCAAATTCTACAACGTGACACATTGATAAAGTTGTCTGTGGAAATTTTGAAATTTTTAAACTTTATAACTTACATTCTTTTTTTGCCACTCCAGCTCGTCCTTGGCCCTTTCAAACTCGTGGATACGTTTCCTGTATGCATACTCTGTGGCAATTCTCTGGGCCTCCAGATCATTGTCACACTGCTGCAGGGTGTGGTGGATTGCCTCCCTTAGTCTGGTAGAGGCCTTCATCTCAGCATCAGCACGGTCTTTGTTGTAACGACTGAAGTCCTCCCACTGTTGTGGTGTGGTACTCCTGGTCACAAACATAAATTATCAATTCTATCAATTCAACTGAGAAGACATGTACCTTAGGCTGGGGACCCTAAACTTTAGACAATATGTGTAGAAACCTCTAATCTGTTATTAAAACAAAATTTTAAAATCAGTGCAATTTGTGGTGTAATAATACATAGAATATTAACCATGTTTGAAGCCCCATTTAATTAATGTTGAATGAATATTGTATTAAAAGGATGATTTTACACAGCAGTGTATTTAAATTTTCTGTAAATGGTTTGTCTCTGTAGTCATGGTAAGTCAACTATTTCAACACCCACAACCTCGGATGTGTACCTACACAAAAACGTTTTTAAATGTTACTTAATCAATGTAACACCTTACCCCTTTGGTACACGAAGGGAATCTGGCTTGAAACTGATGTTTGGTGACCTATCAGTGAGATTGTATTGATCAACATCAATTCCTAGGGCAAGGTTTTTATCCTGAAGATCTGCCTGAATCTGTTGTCTTGCCTCCTGGAGCAGACATAGTTGTTCAAACCCTTCGTTGACTTTCTGTTGAAGAGCCTTCTTAATCCCGTCAATGACCTCAACTTCCTGAAATTGAAAGCGCTCAGTTCTATCAGCTTGTTCCTTTTAGTTCATTCACAGAAATGATCAATTTGACAATGAAGTCAGAGACTTTGAATCTTTAAAGCTAAAATAACCATATGGATATACAACACTTAAACTGTAACATTGATGATACATTACATGGAAATGACTTAACTTGTGATGGGTAATAACCAGTGTTATTGGCCCTTATAGAAGCATGCTGAGGGTTTTAATGCCAAAGTGAAAACAATACACATACATGTATATATCAACAGGTGAGAACTTCTGTATTGTTCCAAGTTTAAGAGATATTGAAACCCAGTCACACAGGTGGAAGACTAATCAAGATGATCAGCAGCAAAAATCAACAAAAACATTTCAATTTTAAAGTTTCAAAATATTTTTAGGGTGTATATATAATAGTTTGTTTTTTATGGAGGGAAAGTAAGAGTACATGAAACAGTTTTCAAATCAATTGGATAACTCACCTTGTGGAGCTGATTTTCAACCTCATCTTGAACAACATCAATGCTTTGCCTTCCTTCCCTGAGAGTAAGACATTCAATCGCTACATCTGATGGGAGGTTCTTGGCTTCAAGTGCTTGCTCTGTCATTTCTTTTGCATCAGACAGATCAGCTATTTCTTTATCTAATTCAGCTAGTGTCTTTTCTAAAATCTCCTTCCATTTTCTGATATCATCTATACGATCTGCTAACCGGGTATTGTTTGATTGCTGATCCCATTTTGTTTGGTTGTCAGTCTCATTTCGAAGAAACCGACTTTCTTGTCGAACTTGATGAGAAGCATCTCTTTGTCTTTCCGCATTAGTGGAAATTGTGTGACTATTTGTAAACCAATCTGGAACTTGGTGCCGGGGAATCGGTCTTAGTTGTGTTGCCATGATGACCTGACAAGATCAAAATTTCAAAGTAAGTAACCATACAATCACTTTACTGGTGACTAAAAAGTCCTCTATGGCTCAGTATTACAGCATCAATGACTAGGAAACCAGTGGTCCTGTGTTTTATTTATATTTTTTATAGATAAAATATTAAGCTTAACACTTAACCAATAAATATTCCACTCACTGGTGACGCTTTGTGTGTGTTGTGATTGAAAGTTACGTGGATTAAGCTTAACACTTGTAACTCTTTCATAAATACAATTTCTACAAACATGTAAGAATTATTTTTTAATTTATACTCCTTTATTTCACACTCCTGGCTAGAGCAGAAGCATTTTTAACAATGCGAGAAACACAACGATGTTTCGTTAATTTGTCAAGAGAAACAGATTGCACAGATAGATCTCTGAAAAATAGCATTAATATTTGAAAAATTGATGTGTCAATTTTTGTTTTATCAACAGAAGCCACCTTTTTTCGTAATTATTCAATTTCTTTTAAGACTTTGTCTTACTTGGGGCGATGGGGTGTTAAATTGTTGCCACAATGTATAAGGTGTTAAAAAGTAAACACATGAATCGTCAGTGAATAAATAATATAGATTTCAAACAGTCGCAAAATAAACAGTGCTGTCGTTTCACAAGGCGAAATCGTGGATGAATACTTTGCTATTTCATGAAACGACAAGTTATGTATCTTATTTACAACAAAAATCTTATATGAAAAATGAAACTTACCTTTAGCAAAGCTTTATTGATGTTCGCCTTGCCTTTTTAACAGTGGTCGTTTACAGGGGTTACCATCAGTTGGTTGCTATCTAAACAAGGCAAACATGCTAAGTGTATGACGTCGTTTCATTGGTTTAATGTTGTTTCCTCAACCAATGAACAAGCAGGTAACAACCGTTCCGTCGTTACCTATGACGACCGCTGAAACCGGATATAAAAGTAAAGCGCTATGCAATGAAACAAAATTAAAGAGAAAGAGGAGATAACTCTTCCGTTTTGCTACGTAGAAGCAGAGACACTTGTGTTATATACGTCTCTGGTAGAAGTATTATAAAATACATTGAAGATTTTCAGCTGAGCAAATGTAGCAAATGAAACGTCCATGTTATATGAATCCAAATTTCGAAGAAGAAAACCACACATGGATGAGTAAAAACAGTATTAATCCGTAATACAATTTATTTTAAAAGAAATAAGTAGAAGGGAGGTAACTCCTATGAAATGTAAATATCACTGAGTTACCTTGGGCTTTGATGAAGAATGAGTTTGTCAAATTATACGTTTGACAAGCTTGTAAGAAATAACGTGTCTTTATGTTTATTTTAGTGTATACAACTTTTCACAGAGATTTAAGTAACGCGTGTTACAGATGTTGATATATATTTAGATGTGATTTACACACCTGTAAACAAATATTACATTTTTTGAATACCACAGAAAGGTGACGATTTAGGAAACAATGGCAATTCAGTGTTATATAAATTTTTTGAACTGGAATTTTACCCGAGATTTACCTGTGTTTTACGACAGGTTATATTAGGTGATTTAGCACGATACAACACAAAGAAAGACTAAAATAGTTTTTTTCTGGGATGAAGGAACTCGCATCCATTTTATCATAGTTCTTATTTATAAACGTTAATTTTGGATATATAAGCATGCTGATTTTAACAGTGTAATAAACTGATTTCTAATTACGATTGGGAAACGTTGATAGAGCGTTGTAGATATTTGATGTGAACTGTTTTGTGAAATTTATTTAGATTTTGTCCATGTTTTTTTCCTTCACAAGTGAGGCTATGCTTGTACATGCATGATCACCAATTTGCCAAGGATGAATAATGGTTTCCTGTTGTCGGTAATCATCGTTGACTCGTTTTCTAAAGATGGTTTGTTGGTTGGTTCTTTAGGTTATTTTTAAACTTAAAAAAAATGTCACGGAAAAAAGATCAGTTATAATGTATGTGATTGTGACTTACATGTACTTAAACAGGTTTTAATGGAAAGGTTTTCAACTTATACTTACAACGTAGCGGCAAATGCAACTGGACAACTTAAATCGTCACTTTTTGATGTGTTTTTATCAAAATTTCTATATTTCACCGGCAAATATGTAATAAACGTTACGGATTAATAAAATAATTCAAACTTGGTAGTAAAATCATATTTTTAAGTTCAGTTGTCTAGAAGTTAGATAGGACGATTTTGAAACAGTAGATGTAGCTGTGCCTGTGAAGAGAATCATTCATCGGAATACCGTAAAGAATAACAGGCCACAGATAGATTGACAACTTTAGACCCCAAAAGGCTGCAGCTTGCTATGGAGTAAAATGTCCTTCCAAACGAGAAACGATCCACATTGAATACCATTGTCATTTTATTGGTTTCTGGCAGAAAATGAGTATTTTTAGAATCGGCATGATTGAAATTAAAACACGTACACGTGATATTTTGGAACATTTTCTTGAGGTTGGTAATAGAATAGAAGTTCTTATAACAAAACCAGTAGAAGATTAAAGTGTGACGTTTCAATGACGTACACTAAGACCGAATTGACTACAGAACATTGTTACCATCTTGTGTAGTTGGTAATAGAATAGAAGTTCTTATAACAAAACCAGTAGAAGATTAAAGTGTGGCGTTTCAATGACGTACACTAAGACCGAATTGACTACAGAACATTGTTACCATCTTGTGTATTTGTTGGTCTATAATCTGTTTACCATCTCGTCACACTATTTTCGACCATAGTGTACAAAGAATTATAGTACAGTCGAAGAAGACTGTGTTATAAGATGAAGGTGACTGTAATCATTAAAACGTCACATTCTAATCTTCTACTGGTTGTGTTATAAGATGAAGGTGACCGTGTAGTCATTGAAACGTTACACTCTAATCTTCTACTGGTTGTGTTATGAGATTAAGGTGACAGTGTAGTCATCAAAACGTCACACTCTAATCTTCTACTGGTTGTGTTATCAGATGAAGGCGACCGTGTAATCATTAAATGTCACACTCTAATCTTCTACTAGTTTTGTAATAAGAACTTCTGTACTCATTGTGACAGTTGGATGGCGTGATGACAACCGAGACACGACTTCTAAATAATACTTTACTCGAATTTGGTATTATCCAGAACAATGAATATAACAACATATTGTCTAAATACGTAATATTTATTTGACAAGAAGGATCACAAACACACGCTACAGACAGCGACAAGAAATAATTACATAAAACATGTAGTTTCAATTAGCAAAACGTCATTAACAACGCGCGAGAATCAATAATTAACATATTAGAAATTAATGTTAATTAATAGGACGAAATCGGAAACAAAAGTACTACACTCTGCGTCACATTCACCATTGCTTTGAATATTAATCGACAGGTGCTATCAGAAAGCCGGAGAATGTACTACGTCCACCTCCGTAGATCTTGGGAGAATTATCGACGTTGTTCTTCAGCCAAACGATGTCTCCGACGTCAAGAAACACGACTGTTGACCTGATCGACGTGCCAGAACCGAACAAATATAGAAGACCAATATCATCTCCATTCTTAACAATGGAGACGTTCAATTCAGCAGTGTTGGAACTTCTGAAGTGGATGTTAGCTGTAAAGGAATATAACCCGGAGACACTTGCTGTGAAATGTCCGTGCGTGACGTCATACGCTCGTCCTTGGTTAACTAAAAGATGGTTCAACACAACTGTTTCTACATGAGGAATGGTAAGAAAATCCGTTGTAAGTGTGACGTGAAATCCGACGGCTGGAGGGTGATAAACGGTAGCGGTCCCTGGTCAAGAATAAAAAAAATACATGATTTAGAAAACGCGAATATATAGAACCGATAAGCCGTAGCTACTAAACAGATATGGTCGATATGGGCTGCCTTATAGTGTAATACCGCGGGCTAAGACATATCTAGATCAACATATTCTATAATTTGATGATAAAACTGTATGATTAGGATATAAGATAAACATGTAAGGTTTAGAACATTACATAAAATTGTTATATAATGTATTTATATATATATTCTCACACCTCCCACCATATCGCCAATGAAAGTCTTTATCAATCCTAATGATTGATCAATATTGTAATACATTGTCGATGTTTAAATAGTCCGGCCCATGTTGAAGGTTTGGGCATTTTTATCCTGTAACTTGCTGCTGCCATCGTAAGAATACATCTGCCACATAAATTTCTGCGAAATTCGGCAGTGGCGGTAAAAAGCTGTATTAGCACTTCTTGAAATTTACATAAATATAATGCTTAATAATATTAAAAAAACAAGTCTGATATGTTGTAACGAACATTAAAAAAATCACTGACATATTCGTTGAAGTTTGGAACTATATTTCAGCGCGGAGAAAACATTTTGACGTACGCCAGCAGGAAAAAAATAAGCGTAATGATTATCAACAAAACGGATGAAGATTTGATGGTCTGGTTTTACAATCAGTGTTGCAGGTCGCCAGAGACTCGCCACTTATGTCTTGCTTCATCCTCGCCAAAGTAGAGCTTATATTTGAAGACACTGACCGTGTATTCTATTTATCTTCGGCGGAATGTAAATCGTTCTTGACATTTAATTGCGTGAACGTCTAAGGCACTTTAAGTTTGTTATCTAATTTTCTTTCTGGAATATGAAGATTATCACAAACTTATGGGCAGTTTGGCTTAATAAAATGCTTAAATCTTACCATGCTGGGTCGTGTTGTGGGCGGTGTGTCCAGTATTATGGGCGTTGTGTCCGGAGGTATGCGTTGTATTATGGGTGTTGTGTCCGGTTGCATTATGGGTGTTGTGTCCGGAGATATGCGTTGTATTATGGGTGTTGTGTCCAGTATTATGGGTGTTGTGTCCGGTTGTATTGTGGGCGTTGTGTCCGGTTGTATTGTGGGTGTTGTGTCCAGTATTATGGGTGTTGTGTCCAGTTATATTATGGGTGTTGTGTCCAGTATTATGGGCGTTGTGTCCGGTTGTATTGTGGGCGTTGTGTCCGGTTGTATTGTGGGTGTTGTGTCCAGTATTATGGGTGTTGTGTCCAGTTATATTATGGGTGTTGTGTCCAGTATTATGGGCGTTGTGTCCGGTTGTATTGTGGGTGTTGTGTCCAGTATTATGGGTGTTGTGTCCAGTTATATTATGGGTGTTGTGTCCAGTATTATGGGCGTTGTGTCCGGTTGTATTATGGGTGTTGTGTCCAGTATTATGGGCGTTGTGTCCGGTTGTATTATGGGCGTTGTGTCCAGTATTATGGGCGTTGTGTCCGGTGGTAACATTTTGTGACGTAGTATATGCATGAGATCCGTTATGAGACTGGACTGCTCTGTTTATCTTTGCCGATTGTCCTTGTAACAGTTTTTCTTCAAAATATCCGTCCTGTTGCCGGTCTGCTTCATCCCTAGTCTCCACATTGTTCGCCCCAGTCACTGCTGCAACTCCTATTAGAAAAATCGCAACCACACGGATCGTCGCCATATTGTTCCCTGCTCTTGTGTTGGGCGACAAGTGTTAAGGTCTGTTTTATATACCTCGCCAGTGTGGAAATCGTATTAACGTAGGCTTACTGAAAAATGTCAAATCTATCTTCCCTTATACTAGTAATTTACAATATCTACACAGGAATGAAGAATTCACGTGTCATATCTAAGTATTACTTCGTGACAAATTGTGATAGATGTTGTCACCCGTATTAGATCTGTGTGGGAGTTCAATACATCAAACCAGCAGTCGGAATATACAATTATCCTAAACAAACAATATTAAGCAAGACTTTAAAAAGTTAAGTCTTAGTCTAGCGTTCTTGCTTACGTCATGGTTTAATAAGACTCACCTACAAAGCCCTCAGTG